TAGATAATTAATGGGAATCTACAGCTGGTCAGGTCTTATCCTAATAAACTTTAAATGGAATACTATAGACCATTTTAATCCATTACTACCACTGTAAACCATAGGATTTTGATCTGAAAATTTGCTAACTATAAATTTCGGTAGTGATCTCTAATCTATATTAATTTCAACTGGATCAGCCGTATGGTTGAGTTAGCATCATACTTAAAGTGCTTCAATCCATGATACTTGATCGGGAAAAAACCCTAACCCGCTCCGCCAATCCGCGGCCGCCGTCGGCTCCACTTCACTCCATACTTCTATGAATGCCGACCCCTTGTGGACTAGCAAATACAGTATAGTTATAGGCTAGAGTAGCTTATTTAAGGTTATTATAGTGCTCAAACCCGGTGAAAAGTGGTGGAAAAGTGATGGGAAGATGGTAAAAAGATTATGGTTAATAATAATAGAGATTAATATAGTTTCTGTATACAGGTGGGGCCATGTGTGGATTGGCTAACCTTATCAGGCCACCTGTGGGCACTAAACTATCTCAGGATTGGAATCCTGGCCCTAACCTGCTGATAGTCAGCAGTCACTCTATATTTTATTATTTTAATAAGTTATATTACCAGTATCCCCTGTATTGCCTAGATCACCTGAACAGCCATACTAGTCAGTCTAGAAATCCTTTAGATTATTTAATATATTATAGTATTTATTATAGTCTGATATTACCACTGTATCTATTAATAGATATATAGAAATCTTCTATTACTGTAGTTTCCAGTAGAGCTAATTTAATTAGGGTTTTATTAGATATACTATATAATACTTTCCTGAGTTAATATCACTATATATAACTATAGAATATAGAGAACAGGGCTTTCTATCTACTCAGCTATACTTAAGCCACATGCTGGCCAGTTAGTAGTTAGATAGATAACTATCAGTAAATCCTGATTATTATATATTTTTTATATCTTTAATATCTTCTTTAGCTATTTTAATAGAATTATAGCTTAACTATAGTAATAATTAATTTAATCTCTAGATCTTAAATATAAATTCTCTAATTCTCTAGTTACTGATTAATTTAGACTGTAATCCAGAATATTCTATTATAATATCTAGATCTATTATAATAATAATATAGAATTACTTAGCTAGTTATATCTCTTTCTTCTTAGTAGCTTACTTCCGCGGTTCTAGATATATTTTAAATTCTAGAAAATTATGCTATTTCTGGCTAATTACTTAATACTGCCGCTATCATGTCTCTATATAGCCCGTGGCTTTCTGTAAGCTCCGGATATATACAGTCCCTGTAGTCCAGGATCTATAGCTGGCCTGCTTATTAAATACGGTATTATCTGTCCTGTAGTCTTGCTTAAATCTTCTATATTTCAGATATACCCGCGAGATAGTAATAGCAGCATGCTAATAGAACAGAATATTTATCTTAATCTGCAGGTAGCTCTTTACCTCGCGCTGTAGTACTGCCTGTAGCTATTCTAGGTTTTAGCTCTCTTTACTACAGGACTAGAGAAATAGTAATATCTTATCTTATCAGCTATATATCCGCTGCTTGAGATTCTGGGCAAAGGACAGTACTAACTATAGATAGTATATAATAAGCTTACTGATAGGCTTAGATAGATAGCAGTAAATAATCTTAATAGAGTTACTTACTAAGTAGCCCTTATAGTATACTGTCACTGTGCTAATAAGTCTATTTTTAATAAAGATATTGCAGTACTATCTATAAACTGTATTAATATATTATAAGCTAAGCAGCTCTGTCACCTGCCCTAGCTAGTCTACAGTAATATATATCAATAGAAGCAGCCACTTAAGAAAATAATTAATCTACTATAGATAGTAATATATAGCTATACTTTACTAGACTATCTAAGACTTATTCTACTCTATATCTATAAACTTCTCCCAGAGCCAATTACTGCTCAGTATCCAGTTTATTAATTACTGCAGGTCACTAGTAGTAAAAACTAAGTAGTTTAATTAATACTGAAGAAAATTCTATCTATACCTGTTATTAGTAAGATTATCTTGTAGATCTGCTAGAAATAAATTTAGTACTATATTCTCCCGCGTCTTATTCTTATAGATTAAAAAGAGCTCTGCCAGATCTGCCTGTGCCAGCTCTATCTCTAAGTAAATAAAGTGCCAGAAACCGGTTATTATTAGATATAGCTCTTTGTATATCAATATCTGCTTATTATTACTCCAGTAAATAAATCCTTGGCTGGTAGTGATATTTTAGATCTTCTTGCTATATGTGTGCAGGCAGGTGATCCAGCCAAAGAGGATCCAGACCTATAAAGCAGAAAGCGCTCCTACATGGCATCCAGGATATCTGTGGGATACACTATGTCCCTCTTGTCTGCTATCTACACAGTACACTCAACTACCAGTATCTATATCATCTTTACCAGCCTGGAGAGGTAGCCTGTATACCTATATGGCTTATGGAAGATCTGCTTCGCAGTATCTATCCCTAGTATTATCAAAAAGCTGACCACTGTGCTTTTAAAGAGATTCCCTTTGAGGAAATAGTCCAGAAGGGTAATCAAGAAGTCCAGACAGGCCTGGTCCAGCACTTACTGCAATATAAGAGACCTAGATTCAGGCTGTTCCTTTTCCTGTAAAAGCTGCTTTGCAGCCGCTTCTATCTGGTCCAGGGCCGCGAGTTACGCGGTAGTGAGCTGATAGTAGAGAATTATTATCTGGTCCGGGCAACTAGTCCGGTACACAAAGCAGACCAGACACTGCTATACCTGCCAGTAGCACTGATAGATTAACAGCTTTAGATAGATCTGGATTGGACAGTCCTAGATACCTGGCCGCTATAGGAAGCTGTTAATATAGATCTAATCAAACTTATTAACACAGTAGTTATTAATAGTATAATACATGTATTTAATCAGCTGTGTAATACTCTGGCAAAAGAGAATAAACAGTGATTTCTAGGCCTGATTAGGCAATACTGCTAGAGCTGCTATAGTAATAAAGAAGTGGCTATAAAGATATTTAGACTATTGAATTAGCTCCAGCCAGAAAGAGATCTCAGTAGAGTCCTGTTATTCAAAAGTCCACTAATCTTCCTCCTGCTCCTCGGCCAGGTTACAGTCCAGCTCCAGGTTAGCCTAGGCCTGGATAAATTCTATCTGACTTATATCTATCAGCTTCTTAAGTTAATACCTGGCCTGGCTTAAGGGCCGGATCTCAAAGAAGGTATTTCCTGCAGTAGAGAAGAAAAAGCGCTGGCAGTAGATTAGATATTCTATTAGTCCAGTTAGTTTAGGTTTCCGGCTACTGCATCCCTACCGGGTCTCAGGGTGTGCTCGCAGTAGATAATTTCTCAGACTCTCCACAGCCTGACAGGCATAGTTACAGCGGGGACAGTCCAGACTAGGGAAGACCGGTAAACCCGGCATGGGAGGGCTGTTAGGCAGTGGAAATATACAGGGTTCCCGGGCTGGGTCAAGCCAGGGCCGCTAGAGCATTTCAGTCAAGGCTGCCCGGCAGAGCTTAGCGGTGGCAGCTGTTGGATAGGTGACATAGTAACTACAGAGATAGTCCTCCAGGCGCCAGGGGCAGACTGTATACTTACAGAGAATATAGATCCAGAGTTAATAAATTAGATTATAGAAGAATAGATCTATTTCAGGTAGATACTGGTAGAGTTAGTGCAGAAACCTGTATACTATACTGGTTAAGTTCCATAGATTATTATATAGCTCTGTTATGACAGTATCTCAGGATCTGGAGATTTAGGAGAGCCAGAGAGAAATGCTGCGTGGAAAAAGAGATTTCAGGGATAAAGATATTAATAGAATATATTATAAGTATTATAGATCTATTCAGATTCTTAAAGAGACTACAATTTATTTACCAGTTATAGTTCTAGCAGTCTAGAATATTAGTAACTGAGAATATTATGGTTCTAAGAATAAAGATATTATTTTTCTAAATAATCAAGAATATATCTCTCTCTTATATATTTTTTAAGTAATAATATAATACTTTTAATGTTGTTCTGCTCTAAATATATTTCTTAGTATTAATAAAGAACCAGAAAAAATTATAGCAGTTATATAACTTTAGATAATACTTAAAGAGAGTAACTAAATTTATATAGTAAGGTCTTAGATATCTTATAGATTATCAGATTCCGGTCATGGATTGATCTTGAATAGAGGAGAAGGAAAATAAGTGATCTTGTTGTTAGGAAAGGAAGAAAGAAAGAGGAAGAGAGAGAAGATATTGTTATTATTGTTATTGCTAAATTGCCACGCACCGCGCGGGACGGGAGCACGCGAGAACATGAAAGTTGGGCCAATGAGAGGGCCCGGATACCCACTGAGGGTACGATGCACCGAGTACTAGGGTATAGAAAGTTTGTGGACTTGAACGTCAACGATATCCAGGATACGGGCTAAGGTCAATAAGAGGTGAACAAATTCAGCAAACCCCGTATTTGTGACACAAGTATGAACAATAAGGATTCTCAGATCAGTTTCCAGGAAGCATCCCAGACGAGCATGATAATACCTGCCTTATATGACTAGTGTCATACATTTTGCTTTACCATAAGCACTCTTTTTAGCCATCTCTAAGAGCCTACCTACTGCCTGTAGATTGGCCCGGATTGGAAAAGGTGGGAGAGGGTAATTTCACGTCAGACCGGGCCATCTTATTAACAGTGATAAAGAAATTAATCTAGAGCTGATCTAGAGCTCCAATCGAGGCACGCACTCGTAGGGATCATCGAGGTGGGGAAGCTTCAGCGCAGAATTCAGTTGCCAATCTATTCATCTTGGTACCTCCACCCCCCGGGGGGCAATCTTAAAACGAATGTGTTGGTTACTGCCACCAAGGTAAATTCACTGGAAGAGAGAGCCTGAACATGAGGGAAAACAAAAAGGACATATACGAATCTTTTAAAAAGTACAGGGGGTAATATGCTGTGACAAATGTCACACATCATACTAAACAGTTCAATCTCCGTCTGTCAAAAAGGTATCCAAAGATGCCCCTATTCGTACGATAGGAAGCATAGGAGGCTCGCTCTCGAGCTCAACATCCAGAACAGCCGGCCCAACAGCTTCTAGCAACCATTGTATGCTATCCTTCAGATCTTCTGGATACTTGCATCGACGTCCCAAGCAACCCATGCTTTTCGCTAGAAGAGCAAAGTCAGCATTCTGAGGATATGCATGTGCACAACGACCGTTGTAGTAGGTTTGCTGGAACTGGGTGATCATTCTCTGCTCATGGTTATCGAATATAAGGATTTTGACTGGTATCCCGTGTTGTGAAGCCGTCAGGAGCTCCTCCATTGTCATGTTGAAAGAACAATCTCCATCCAGATCAACAACTAACAAGCCTGGGCAGCCGAGTTGAGCGCCAATGGCAGCGGGCAGTCCAAACCCCATCGTGCCCATGCTACCTGAAGTAATGAATGTCCGCGGGTACCGCCACTGATAGCAGCGCGCAGCCCACATTTGGTGTTGGCCCACCCCGGTAGTAATGATCGCCTTAGTAGGAAGCATCCGGATCTGCCGATTAAGCTCATTCACAATATCGTGAGGCAAGATTCGTGTTTGATGATTGTCGGCGTGCTCATTTACGAGCAACGGGAACGGATTGTTCTCTTTCCATGTTTGGATTTGTTTTAACCAGAGGTTCCGAGGGCCTTGCTGTCGGATTTCTGATATTAGAAAAGGTAGGATATCTGTTAAATCCCCATACACCGCACCGGTAACCTTAACAACCTTGTTCACATTTCTGGGCTCAATGTTAAATTGAATAATTCCGCCGCAGTTGCTTTCCTCTGCAGCTCGAGCCTTTGGTGTGAAACTTGCTGGATCAGCAACCGCACGTTCGTCAAGCCTAGCGCCCAATACCAGAATTAAATCAGCATTTTGCACAGTATAGTTTGCGTATACTGCTCCATATGTTCCTATCATATGGACGGCCTCGGGTCGGCTTTCATCGAAACTTCCCAAACCGAGAAGCGTGGTAGCAACAGGGAGATGGGCTTTTGCTGACAGTTGGGCAAGCAGTGCTGGCCCATCATGACTGCTGAGAACACCATGGCCAGCAATAATCACTGGCTGTTCTGCACGATCGATCAACTGCGCTGACCAGCGAATACTTTGTATGGTTTCGGCAGATACTAGGTCTTCTATAGTGTGGGTGCCAAGAATACCAGGGTATTGCGGTGCGAGTCCTAAAGCTTTTTCATATGCTTTGCGGCTGAAAATCGCCGAGCTGACATCTTTAGGGACAGCTACCAGTACTGGTCCTTGTCGACCGCACATAGCTTGCTTAAAGGCATATTCTAGCGACAAGGGCAGCTCCTCGATTGAGTTCACAACAGTAAGCCACTTCGTGCATGGCTTAGCAAAGGCCTTAACATCTATTTCCTGAAAGGCATTCGTGCCTTGCGCAGTGGTCGGAACTTGGCCACAGATAACTACCATTGGATTCCCATCTAACAGCGCGTTTAGCATGGGAGTTGCTAGATTGGACGTGCCTGGACCGGACGTTACAAGCACCACTCCGGGCTTGCGGGTTGCTTGGGCATATCCTTCTGCCATATGGCCAGCACCTTGCTCATGATGAGTGAGTATAAAGTGGAACTTGTCCGTATTGTATATTCCATCAAACAAAGGGAGGGCAGCGCCACCAGGGTAGCCAACTGTACCACAATCAGTTACATTACGTCCCCGATGAAAGTGTTGAACAACCGTTGCGTTGAGACTCACAAGCATAATCAACACCAAGAGTGGATAGGAGATAATGAAAGACCTCACCACCCCTGAGCCCAACTAAGTGTTCAAAATTCATCTCTTCTTCCCTAATGGCAAGCACAGATTCCCGCGGATAACTCAACAGGTCAATAACATGTAAGGGTAGGGCGATGTCTCACGTTTTGCCAAAGGATTAAGCCACTCAGCATACACGCCTACGCCGAGAAGTCAAGCACATTTATACTGGCACGCTTAGTGAACATCACCCCGCTTCTAGATGTCATGTTCCTACCCTGACTTGTGCCGCAGGTCTAGCCAAGCACTTCCTTACAAACGCCCAGAACGTTCTATATTCTAGACATTCCTAAAACGAACGAGATTACAGGAAAAAATAAAGTCTCATGTTACATCAATGATTTTTCGTCGCCGGGGTTATGAAACCGGGCAAGGTTTCGAAAGGGCACCACGGTAGCTCTGCATCTGTCCCGAAGTTTATTTTTTGCACGCAAGTATGAATCATAGACGTGGCATTTTCGAACTTTTCGAACTTTACGGAGGAACTCCGTACACATCCCCTACTCTCGTTCATCATACCCTGTGCGTATTCTGCCCACAGGAGGCAAGGTACGGAGTACTCCATCCTGTATTACCCGCCGCTTGATAATTTCTTAGTCTGACAGGTGCGTGTGTGTGTGTGTGTGTGTGTGTGGGTGGGTGGGTGGGTGGGTGGGGAGTCCGGGTAACCTTATCGGATAAGTCCAAGTACATGACACACCACGCAGCTTGTTTGCGTCACCTCGGTGCCGGAAAATGGTCATATCCTATATTAATAGACATATAAATCATTGGGCTGCTCGCTTACATTTGATTTATGCCGAGCTTCTTGTCACGCTCATTCAATACGCTCTCCCCGCTTCCTTGGGTGAACGCACCTATCGGATATGATGTACTACATCGCAGTGATCACTGGTGGTAGTAAGTGGCATGGCGCCGTGTCTGGTAGAAGTATCACAGAGATTGGGCTAACGCAAACTTGGGTACAGCCAGCGGGATCGGGCTTGCTGTCGCGCAGGCTCTGGTACGCCGCTTGACATGGCGCGTGTATATTCTGGGCACAAACCAAGAGCGCGGCAGCAAGGCCGTTGAAGGACTTCCCGGCGCCTATTTTCTCCGATCAGACGTGAGGGACTACCATAACCTGGCAGATGCTTTTCACGAAATATATAAAGAGAATGGCAGGTTAGACCTTGTCTTTGCCAATGCGGGTATTCTTGAATCATGCGATTTTCATGCCCAGCATCCAGAAAACAGGGTGCCACCGAAGCCGGATCTGGAGGTTCTTGACGTGAATCTCGTGGGGGTCGTTTACACCAGTTACTTAGCCCTGCATTACTTTCGTCAGTCGTCCAGGAATAACTCGGAGGCTAATTTGGTCCTCACGGGAAGCTGTCTATCTTTCTACCCTTCCACCATACCACTCTATACAGCAGCGAAGCGTCAGTATCTTCACGATCTGGTCCTTAACAAGCATATAAAGAACAAGAGCGGCTTACACTTTTAACAGACGCATTAATTGGGTTCATGCGGTCCATCGGAAAACGCTGTCATGACGAGGGCATTCGAGTCAATGCTCTTTGTCCAGGGATAGTGCAGACGAACCTAGGAAACGCGGACTCATTCAGAGATATTCCCCCTGACATTTTCGTCCCGATCGGTGAGGTTGTCCGCGTATTATTACTTATGGTGGATGGACCTGATGTGACAGACAGCAAGGGTGTGCAGGTCTCGGGTTCTGAATTCTGGAGTCGAGCTGTAGAGGTCACCCGGAAGGGCTACTATTTTCGGGAACCTCCAGAGTGGTCCGACGAACATATGGCTCGCACGATGACTCAGAGTTTTCTACAGTTGTAATGTTACATAGAAGGCAACGGGGAAGACTCAGGACTCGTCGAGGTCTACGGTCAATAACACAAATAACACATTGCGTACTTTCCTTCTGAGATATGCTTTATTGCTCTGGAATGTATCGTGTCCACGTGCAGCCAACCTCACTACTCACCGGTGAATGAAAAGAAACTCAGGCGTGGAGATAAAACCAAATGCAAGGAAAATCAACTAACAGATGGGTCAAGTGAGTGTTTTGAGTATTTGCGTAAAGCACCGTATACGGCTATGCTCATGCGATCAAACAAGGCAGCATTGGGGGCTGTGTGGCATGTCTATACTTCAACTTACCACTTTCCAACATACGGACGATCTTAGTTGGAAGGTCCTACAAGCTTGCATTGGGAGGATACAGCAAGAAGAGGCTCATTAATCATACCTTCAGTTATGCTCTGATTTTGGCCTCATGGAAAATTCTGACAAGTTCAACCAGGTGACTCGATCTGTTGAACAGAGCACGCTGGATATATAGAATCAGTAGCCACGGGTGACTTAAGTGGGAGTTTATAATAGCCATATTGTATTGAAAGGACGGGTCTTCTCTGTGTTTAGAAGATGGCCAAGATTATTAATTGAGAATATTCAAAGCGCTGGCAACTATTATGCGTACTTTTACTATCTTGTGTTATGGGTAGACTTGTTAGGCCCGCGGGTTGAGCCGGGTTTTTCAGGTTTTGCAACCCAGCCTGTTGGGTTTGGGCCGGGGTCAAGATTGTATACAAACCACCCACGGGTCAAAATATATATATATGAACCACCTGCGGGGGCCTATAGCTGTAGATCCTTTCCTAGTAGAGTAATAATTTATATTCTTGATAAAATACAGTCTCTTAATACTGTAATTTATTTATATTACTATAGGTAAATAATATATTTACTGTATTTTATCTCTTGGCAACCCGCGGGTTAATCTGTTGACCCATGGGCTGGGATAGTCAATAACCCGGCCCGGTATGGACTTTCATATACATAAACCCAGCCCATTTCTTGGCGGGTTGGGCTGGGTTGGGCCGGGTTTCATGGGCTGGGCCTAACAAGTCTAAGCTAAGCATGGTGATTAGACTTGTTAGGCCCAGTCCACAAAACCCGGCCCAACCCAGCCTAACCCGCCAAGTAATAGGCTGGGTTTGTGTATATGAAAGTCTATACCGGGCTGGGTTATTGACTACTCCAGCCTATGGGTCAACGGGTTAACCCGCGGGTTGCCAAGATATAAAATACAGTAAATATATTATTTACCTACAGTGATATAAATAAATTACAGTATTAAGAGACTATATTCTATCAAGAATATAAATCATTGCTCTACTAGGAAAGGATCTACAGCTGTGGGCCCCCACGGGTGGTTCATATATATATATTTTGACCTGTGGGTGGTTTGCATACAATCTTGACCCGGCCCAAACCCAACGGGCTGGGTTGCGAAACCTGAAAAACCCGGCCCAACCCGCGGGCCTAACAAGTCTAGCCATGATATTTTAAGTCAACGCAAGACTTGACTTGTATAGACTGGTGATCAATGTATTACGCCTGGATATTCAGACAGGAGCTCTGTAAGTGTTAGCTGCCTTGTATTATAGTACTACTATACCTAAACAATGAATCCAAAGTGATTCCTAATATAATCTTATCCGGATTCAATAGTATGACCTAAACTGAGGTCTAAAGACATATAATAATATTCTGTAAATAGCTTGAGTCCAAAGGGCCAGGCCTATTAAGTACATATACTTAATAGTTAAGAAAGTGTAAACAAGTTGATTACTAACTTAATATCAAAGATATATTCTAAGTAACAGTTAAGATTAATCATAAAGAACTAAACTAAGTATATGAATAAGTGTTCTTATATACTCCCATCCCCTATGTCGCTGCCATAACATATTATGTTGCCGGTATGTCATATCATGTCACTGACATGTTCCGGTTGTAGCGCCGCCATGATATAGCTTGTCGGTGATATATTCATGGCCACGTGACCTGGCTATTATATATACACAATAATTACTTATATAAGTAGGTGTCCTTTGGTGCTTTTCCCTTCCTGGCACTAGTGCTTAGTTCCTTGACTGTCGTGTCACTGGTTCTGCCGCCTGATTCCGCGTCCGATAAGTGCACTAGACAAGGGTCTGTAACAAATATATTCTTAATATTAATATCTTATTTTAGTCCCTGATTATTTCTGAACTTTCTTAATTATGGTATACTACTTCTCTTACATCACGCAGTAGCTATGGCACCCTAATTATCTATTTATCCAGTCTATAAACAAGGGCAACCACGAGTATATTTATTAACAGTACAGAAACAAGTATCTAATACAGTTTAATAGTAGAGGCAGTAACAAGCTACTTATACAGCTGAGTAAAGTACTAAGTTTAATCAGTATTATACCCCTACTACTACTGCGCTGACTGAGATTAATCTATCAGTAACTATCTACTTTCTTCTAGGTAAAATAACTGCTACTGCCTCTCAGTTCTCTAATATTACCAATTGATTCTGCTTCTGATATTATATTCCCAATTACCTCTGATAAAGAACTATCTATACCTGTTACGGGACGAATAGATTGTTCTAACCTAAGCGTGCCTATTGAACAAGAAGAAATAGCTAATTAACAGAAATAACATATCGTACAAAATATTTGTGTGGTAAAGGCTTGGCAGCGATGCCTTAGACAGAGCTTCCCATGATATAGGGCTGCCTGTAAGTCAGTCCCATAACATAAGGCCTCCCTCCCTCTCTCCTGTGTAGGATCAATTATATGAATTCCAGTGAGGAATAAGGACTTAGTGTTATTTTCTGAATGGTGTTATTATGCGAAGTGTATAACTTACTTTATTAGAAGCTAGTTGTTAATTTGTAGGATTAGCAGATATATAGATTATATATCTATTATAACACTATAATCTCTAGGCATGTGATATAGATATATCCAGATCAATTATTATACAAGTATATACAGTTTACTATAGGTGATTTCCGGGAGTTTGTATATAGATTAACTGGGGTGACCTGGCAGATATTGTGCCAGAAATTGATATTTAGCAAGATTCCCACTATCCCGTGGCACACGTTATATAATGATCCCACCTAGAGTACTGTAGGATAAAGCTTTTTACAGGATTAATATACCCAGTGGCCGGTAAAGGGCCCACAGTGGATCATGGAGCAGGTCCGGGCCAAGCCTGACGTGCAGGCACATTTTATTTATTGCTGCCAGCCTATCCAGTTCCAGCTGCAGTTAGTAATGCAGTATTTGCAGCAGGTGACCTGATTTAAGAAGAAATTAGCCGTGCTCATGCATATTATAGACAGGCAGCCCAGCCAGGCCCTGGAGTTATTGAGCTTGCAGTATATCAACCTACTAATTTAGAGCCTAAAACACCTCATAATTTAAAGCAATTACAAAAGCAGGAAGCTACTTTAAAAAAGCTACTTAAAGCTCATACAGAGAGCCCTGTAAGGCTGTGATAAAACAGCTTGTTAAAGACTGTGAACTAGCTCTAAATGAAGCTACTATTGCAAGGCAGGAAGTTAGGGAACTACACACCGCGCATGAAAAAACGCTTAAAAAGAAAAGGCGCTCTACTAGGCAGATTCCTATAGAATCAGGCGCTTCGGTTAAGGAGGCTCAGGAGCTTATATAAAGCAGGAATTCTACTAATGGAACTATATCTACTACCTCCATAGATATAGGTCCTGTAGTAGAAAACCAGCATGTACGCGCTCCACCAAAGTGCTCTGGTTGCGGTATTCTAGGCCATAAAATAACTCATTGTCCTAATGACTATTTAAACTTTCTATAGAAATGCAGATTTTTCGGTGGTTTGAATAGCTTCATTTCTAGGAGGCGCGAAAAAATTGCGAGGGTTGACCTACCCGGTTGCGTGACCCAGCCGCTTACCGAATACGTTACGTAGACTGTGCGGGAAACTGCACCAGCCTACGTCTGCGGTGTCCCGTATTCTACCCGCGATGGCCCGTAGAGTGCGGGGGCCACTTATATAGAGCTTTGGCCTGCTGGTTATTGAGTAGTTACTAGTCCTTATATTGCTGCTTCCTTAGCTGCTGTTTTCCTTGATGATGTCTTTGCAGTGTATGTCGGTCAACATCAAACTCTTTTGCAGCTTTAGAATAATTAATTGATTCTCCAGGTCCCACCAAATTGATTGCTTCTATCGCCGCTTCAATTGGATCCATATTCATTGAGATATGAGGTGTTGTAAACATGAAGTCTAAAAGTCGGTGAGTAAGAGAAATCGGGCGGCAGGCGGGAGCGGGCGGCAGATGGGCGGCAACGTTAGCGTTTATGGTGACTCCCATGCAGAGATAGGCCGTTGCTTTCCATCTGGGCTTTCCTGCTCCTGAATTCCAAAACGTTATACAGCGAGGCGTCAGTTCCAGCTAATAGTCAGTATATGCATATTATTGCAAGTCCTGATATTTATCCAACCAACAGCACTGAGACGACGCTCTAACCCTGGGCGCTGCCTAGGGAACAGCCTATAAATGACTGAATATAGCCAGAAGACCCTAAGGCACGAGATCCATGAAACCTAGGTCAATATCTAATTGCTAAGATAGCAAATATTTTAAGGATAGATCCCTCAGCAGGATTTGAAGAAGTAGTGGGGGCTTTTCCCAAGACATTTCCAGGCATGATACTAGTGCCTGCAGAGGAAGAAGCCCTCAAGCAGGCAATGGCCTTCTATAAGGCCTAACAATGTGGCCAGATTGTTAACGCCTAGAGAATGGACATCCGGTGCAGGCATTGCATGGCTAGAGTCCCCAGGCACCTGGAGAATCAAGCATGTATCCCTAGGCAGGAAAAAGAGGTCTTGGATGCAGAGCTAGTAGGTGTATGGCAGACACTTGAAATTTCTAACCAGCTGGGATATAAAGGCTTCATTAGGGTTCTAATAGGCCCCCGGGCAGCGATAGCTCGGTGACGAGACAATATGGCTGCTCTAAGATAAGGCTGGGCAATCAAGGCCCAAGATACGGCTCAAAGGCTTGAGTATTAAGGATGCCAAACCACCAGGAAATGAGACAGCGGATTAAGCTGCTAAGATAGATGCAGAAAATGCACAGAGATGTAGACAGGAGCCTCAGTCTAGTATATCTACGAGGTTATGCAGAGGCAAACCAGAGACGACAATGGCTTGTATAGGCCCTGGAGAAATGATCCCATAGGAGCCAACCGCGCTATCAACCCCAGAAAGGATGGAAACTAGATCCGGTGACAGGAGCAGCACCAAAGCAGCTCGCTCGTCGATACTATCAGCTTAAGGTTGGGCACGCAGCAATACCAACCTATCTGAGTCAGATAGGGGTCCGAGACTCATCTAGATGCCAAAGCTGCCAGGCTCCACAGGGAACAACAGGCCACCTACTAGTGGAATGCAGACAGTGGCGCCACCAGAGACAGGCTCTGTACAGGGCCCTAGTCAAGGCAGGGGGTATCACCACCTGGATGGGGAGAAATAGCCCCAGAATGCCGCCTCTTCAAGAATCAGAGAGCTACTAAGACTCTCATGGCCTTCCTTGCAACAACAAATATCAGCTGCTTCCCAGGGGAGGTAGCTAGGGAGATAGATAGAGCCTCTAGGGATAATCTTTGGTGTCTAGAGCTAGTAGAAGAAGCAGAAAGTAGAGGTGAAGGATAGTAGTAGGGGCCATCTAGGCATGCCTAGATAACACCCAGCAGGTAATAAACACTGAGGAGGGCATAGCCCAAAAGCTCTGGCACAGATAGGCGGCTCGGGCGAGGAAAAGGATTAGAATGAACACACAAACGATAGAGGGGGCTGATAGAGCCCCTAAGGACTATTTAGAGGCAGTGGCCTAAGGTACTGCCTAGACACATGTGTCTGTCATAGCCAACGGCTCGATACGGACGTTAAACTTGATTAATAATAATAATAATGCGGGACGTACTATCTATTGTTGAGTAAAAACGGCAACGGTCTATCTCTTGTGGTATATTGAGTAAGCTTCTGTTGATGCGTAAACATTATCAGCTCTCTTCTCTGAGCTGCACTAGCCCCTCCCCTCTTGCATTCCTGCTTTCTTTTTGACCTTTGGCCGGTACTTCCGAACGTGCAGTATATACGCATGCCCAGGGTACAATACATTAAGTGACCCATGATCCACCCAGATATGGCCAAGTTCGGTGTGAATGTAGAAACCTCTCCCAAATCATGATCAAGGTCTTCGAGTCACCAAATATGACCAAGTCAGATGCATATACTATACTATTATTCTACAGTAAAACTAATGTATACTACGTGTAGGATGGATTGGGATGACGAAATAATTAATCTTCAGGCTGTGCATACCGACGGAAACGTCATATCCGTTACTCAATCAATATCTAAGATACGTACTCCGTACTATTACTCTGATTCTACACATAGATCCTTCTTTAGGGGGATAACCTTGAAGAAAGGCTTGTCCGCTATAATGACTGGAGCGTAGAGGAAAAGTGTGTAGGGTACAGTATCTGTATTCAGTATAATGAATGATCAATTAATCTTTCAAAGACCCGCAACCAGGTTTCCCGGTTTCCCTCGTCTGTTTTGTCCTTCAAGAACAATTATGTTTCATAGAAAATAGTTGCGGCCCTCACGTTCGTTCTGGGCCAAGTGGTTCAGTCCCATAGATTTTGCTTCCTCCATCCTTCAAAACTGGTAGCTCGCTCGGCTGCTAGCTATTCCCGCTATTCTTTTGATTTGATTGGGGAGGGAAGCGCCGAGCTGGTAAAGCCAAACTTGCGTCTCCTTCCTCTCCTAGAAAAGTTGTGTCATGACTGGAAAGTCTATCGGGAGGATACGTCTGGACATCTGTAAGGTACAGTCTTTTCTGAGGTGTACTTTTTTGGGGCCCTCTTTGACACCATATCAGTAGGGTTACTTCCTTGTCACTGTTGGCATATTTATTCGCTTTACATCTAGAGCTGTAACCTTTTGATTACTTTCAGAAAGATAGGGAAGAATAGGGATTCTGAGAGATATAGAGAATTTTGTTGCTGTTATTATTATTATTATTATTATTGTTTATTTTTGTTTTTTTGAATACTGCATATAGAACTCCGTTGGAATCTTTGGAATATTGCCACTAAGGCGGGAGTGGATGTTATAGACATAGCGGGGTTAGGCTGAACCACTAAGCTAAAAAGACCAAAATATCGAACCTCTTGTTCGATATGCCTAACCACCACCTATATATGATGTTATCGTAACAGCAGGCAGATGAGCTATTTCTAATGTTACGGGATAAATAGATTGTTCTGACCTAAGCGTGCCTATTGAACAAGAAGAAATAGCTGAAGAGGAAAAGACAACAGAAAATATAGGTCAGGAATAACTAGCAGAAACCACGTGACCATAGCCACTATGTGGCGTGTGTTGCGGGTTCAACTCGTAACACTAAAAGAGTGTATCTATATTCTTTATCCAGACCTTGAGTTATTTAATAGAGCTAAAAGCTAATTAAAAGAGTAATTTTATAAGATAATTAAGAATATATAAAGAGCTTAGAAGAGGATTATTTTAATTCCTTAATAAGATCTATAGAGAGCCATGTGAATACAGTTTTAGAGGCAAAGAAATAGTATACATGCTATTAGTATAAAATAAAATATATACTATTCTTTATATATAATATAGCTATCATATATTTGAATATCTTATAAAAATAATAATATCTGGTTGTTCTATGTGAGATTATGATGTTTCGATTATTATATATATTTTGGTGGTTGCAGGAAATTACGTAGACTTTTGTCCAAGAACTATATAGGCTGGTCTGACTTGGGCGGGACAAGACACGACAACATTTATTTCATCGCGAATTGCCCTCATGAGTGGCTGTTCGAACACGTAGCAGCTGTCGTGCATCATGGAGGCGCGGGCACCACAGCGTGTTGTTTGCGAAAATCCAAGCCAACACTTACTGTTCCCTTTTTGGGAGAGTGACTGGCTAGGTCAAACTATTTCACTGTTTCTGGAAACTGACAATTTAAATAGTCAACCTTTCTGGGGTGCTATGGTTGTTGAAGAATCAAGCTTTGAAAGGTCGCTGCAGAGATATTAGTCGCCGATGGGTCGATTGACAAGAAAAGTCTCACCATGTACGTGAGGAGGCTGGAACCCTCGAAGATTTTCTGTCTCGTTGCTTTCACCTACTCATGAAATTTTTAGGCATGCAATCAACCCAATTTCGATCGAAAAGTGCCGATGGGATCCTATCACAGGTGGAGCCTCTGCCGTGATGGCCACCACCACCGACCTCACCACGTCGATTCTAGGGACGTTTTACAAGCCTATTCAGGAGTTTCAAGATTACCACGAACGCCGCAAAGATCGGCACTCAAGCAGTAGATCTCAGCAGGCCTTGCAACGGCCCGAAAGAAAGTTATCTGTCCGGAGCATGTCGACAAATGATGAGATGGAGCCCCTGGGTCTCAATTCTGCCAATAGCATCGGCTCCATAACCACCACAGCTTCGGACTTTAAGAACAGACCTGATCTTGGCGGAAGAAGGCTCTTTGGTAGGATGGCCGGCGCATTGGCTAAGAGCCTGGGCAGCTTTGTTCCTACCGCTTTTAAGGGCTTGGCTGTTGACATCCCGCTTGCTTTGACTGAAGGATTGCGCAACCTCCCTCGATACTACGGTGAAGAGCCCCGGAATCATGGTCCTGTTACTGACATCAAGAGCGGATTTACCGTCGCTGGGAAAGGATTTGCGGTGGGGATGGCGGAGGCATTCAGCGACATAGTCGTCAAGCCACAACAAGGTCTTCAAGAGGATGACGCGAGCGGTGCATTCAAGGGAATTGGCAAGGGCATGGCAAATATGGCACCTAAAGCCGGTTGTGCTATGCTTGGTCTCATAGTAGACCCTGGTGCTGGTATTGCGCGGAGTATACGGTTGTCGATTCATTCCCGGACGAGGAAAATGATTGCTAAGGCGCGGCATAGTGAGGCCATATGGTTACTAGAAAGCGGCCAATATACAGGAACGGACAATATAGTGGCCACTTTCCAACAAAAATTAAAGGGCAAGAAAGGCTGACTGCTCCACGGAAAGGAGGCATGCACAACATGTAATGTGGACTGTATAACTAAGCTACGAAATACATATGGGAACAAGGGAAAAGGATGGCTTTCGACATTTATCTTGCGCTGGTTATTGTTGGAGGCGGGAATCTTAGCCAAGAAGTCGTTATTGACCGTACCCTTGCCACTAACTCCCAACCTATCAAAGGTCTTGTATGAGATCTCCACTAGCTTAACAGCATACTGCTACTTCTACACACACACAAAGAGCACCTATTCTAATCCCAATAGACCCTTCATGTATATACTGTACGGCGTAGGTTAGCACAGGCATTTCGTCCCCTAACAGTCGTTCGCGTTCCAGTGTGCTCGCTGAAACATTCTTTTCGTGGATTTCTTTTTCGCTCGGTGGATACGCACTGGACGCCCTCACGCTCTCCATAACTGGCCTCGGTGTCCGCGCAACGAGCGTTGGCCTGACCTGTGCAACAATGTCCTCGGAATCCAGTTTTCTTGGGATAGCCCCGTAGACGCATGGCGTTAGCGACAAGCTCCCGGTTGGGCGTCCCTACGCATAGTTTGGACCATCGCTTCCCCTAGTTTAGGCGTACTCACTGCAAAGACTACAGACATAAGGGGGGACTTGTGGGAGGAAGTGGGGTTTAGTGGTCTACGGGCGACCTAGCTGCTTCGTGATTGGTAAACGTTGCGCCTTTGCCTTTCGTCGATGAAATGGGAAACCATCTGGCCCCTACATAAAACGCGTCGAAACTCGACCGGTGGGACCACATCAAGTCAATACAATAGGACTGGCAATGTTATGAGAGCATTGAAAATTGGCAGCACCGTCTTCCACTTTCAACCTGATTATAGGCAGTCCCACGCATTTGGTATTTACATATATATATACTTTGGGAGCACGCTCGATTAGAAGGATAACTTCTCTATAAGCAACCAAAAATTTCCGGTACTTACAAAAGGGGTCATATGTTCAGGAATATTATCTCAATTACACTAACTTGAGAGAAATGTGGCCATTCAATTACATACTCCCCGAGTAGTACCTTTGACACCATGGGGGGTGGAGCTGCATATGATCATAGTGTAAGCATTTATTGTACCCTTTTTTCTACTCCAGAGTAACATAATGTCCTTAGCAGCCACCATGGTATAAGCAGCCATCACCCACCTGACTTGCGCGGCAACTGCTTAATGATATACTCTTCAAGGGGACCTCAGCTTTTCGGCGAACAACCCATGTATGTATGTCTGTCAGGATTTACCTATGCTTTATTAGTTCAATAGCCTCGTAGACATTTTCCTGTGCCCGCAACTGGGTCTTGTCGTTCCTCTATGATAGTGGTAGTTTCCATCAAGCAAGTCTACTGAATGTCTATAATATATTTCTTTTTGTTTCTCAAAGCTGGTGATAGCATCATAGTCTTGAGAGCAGACCTGTAAATTACTGTTCAACAGCATAGGGGTTATAGGGCGTCGTTCTCTTAGTCGTAGGTGATTTCCTGTTCATAAGATTGCCATATACTAGATGTGAGGCCGAAGAAAATAAACACGGTTACTCTTGAAATTGGTGCCTGCGACTGGGCTAAGCTTGCAGTGCGAGAATATCCAGTCTTATTTTGGTCAGTACATGAGCAGAAAGGGGGAAAGGTTCAGATTCAGAGACACTGAGTTGGTTACCAGGTCAGGTTTGACCGAACGCCCAAGATTCAACAGGTGCACAGAGAAGAATGTCGGACGAGGGCAAGGGAACAACCAGAAGCTGTCGAGTTTGGCTTCGAATTGTCATCAGAACTGGCCCAACAAGAGACATGGTTCGGTAATGTAATGCACTTTGGTGGTTAGCCTAGTGCCACTGCCACCACTTCCCTATGAGGTAGATATGCACGAGCCTTGTGGAGTACGCACTCGTTCTCTTAACCTCGAAATATTACGATCGATAACCTTCCTTGGCCACTAGGTTGCCCCCTGCTAGCTTTACTTGTCAGGTCACCTGTCAGCTCGATTTCCGCAGATTGTTTGTCGCCCAAGCTATCATTCGTCGTGGAACTCTGGGTGAGCGATGACTGCTGAAATTGGCCACCCCCCAACGTTGCTTCATTAGACCTGATCTTCACAAGCACCCAGTCTTTGTTGATTGGCATTAGACCCTCACAAACTTCTTTTACACAGTTCACCTATTGCGGTCTCCTCACTGCCTACAGATAATGGTACTGCGTATATCATGTCGGGAAATGGAAAGGCTAGTCACGAAAAGCATGTTCGTGCTTGAGAAACAGAAAAGATCCACATCACTGGTATAGTCCATGCGCGGAGTGGCACAATCATATTTGACTGACTAGACGTCTTCTTCATCGTCGGTATCAAGTGCATGGGTGTCTTCAGGCGCTCTGGTTGCCACTACAGTTTAGGATGGCCTTTTAGGCGCGGTCTTATACTACATTTTCACTGGCAAGGTATCACAGCGGGTGCGTTCAATTCCATCTGTATGGACCGATTGCGGAGCATCAGCTGCTTTGCACCTGGATAGGTTATTTCGTATAGGATTATTGGACTAATTACAAAGATTAACAAAGCTCGGGCCGCGAACAGAATAGTTCCCTTGGTAGACCGCCCATCGGTCAGTAGTTCTCTAGAGACAAGCCTAGCAAGACGCGCCGGAAGGAACGTTCTGGCACTTGGTGCTCCTCTTGCCGCCGGAGATGCTGTTGCCAGACCAGGTCCAGTTGGTGCAGCTGCCGGATCCACAGAGGATGTAAACATCGGTGGCGGAGCTGGTCACGGTACCGGTCACCCTGTTGAAGGTGATATCGGAAACCTTGACGCCATTGGTGGGAGTGCCCTTGGGGCTGCCGTTCTCGTAGTCCTGCTGAACGACGATACCGTACTCGGTGATACCGTTGAGAGTGATGTCCTGAAACTTGACCCCGGTGACGGAGCCAGTAGCGCCGTAGACGGTCTTGATACGAGCACCATTCTGGGAGTTGATGACTTGGGAGTTGGAGATGGTGACGTCATCGACAGTGTTGTCGCTGCGGCCGCCGACGGAGCCGATGGAGAGACCATGGCCACCATTGCAGTAGCCATTTGAGAAGGTGATGTGTTCACCGGAGTTGACGGCGAGACAGTCATCTTGGTTGTAGACGGTAGCGCCATCAATGGTGATGTAGGTGCTGGAGCCAATGTCAAAAGCATCTGTGTTGTGGCCCAGGCTGGTACCGGCGGAGTTATCGATGAGCACGTCCGTGATGGTGAGGTTGTCAGACTGAATGCTGAAAGCCTGGACGGGGGTGTTGTAGATCTTCAGACTGCTGATGTTGGACTGGTTCAGCTCGTGGGCAGCGAAGAACTTAGGCTTCTTCTTGCCGCCATTGCTACCCTTGCCATCCCACCAACGGGAACCACCGCAGTCAATCTTAGCACCAGGGTTCTGCTTGACGGTGATGCTGGTTCCGGACATGGAGATCAGGGGGCCAGCCCATTCCTCGTAGCCGAAGGAGGTGGTACCATCGAAGATGACCTTTTGTCAACATTAGCCGACGGCATCCAACATATCAATCATGGAAAACCCTACAGTGGCGCCGGCCTTCAGGTCAGTCAGGTCTAGAGTCTCACCGGCGGGGACGGCAATGTTGCTCAGGGTGATAGTGGAGCAGGAGGCCTTGCCGGACTCGACCGCCGCGGCAGAGTTGAAGGTGCAAGAGCCGCCGGGCTTGATATCAGGGGCAGGAGCAGCAACGACTAACGCAGCGCCCATAGTGGCGGCCAATAGAGAGGATTGAAAGAGATGCATGGTATGAGAGTGGAAGTGAGTGGCTGGGTTGTGCTTAGAAAGATCCGACAAGGTTCCGGTCAACGGATATCATGAAAAGTTGTAGAATACGAAAACAAAACGCGGAAGGAGCGCAGATGATGACAAGAAAAGATTCATGGTGAGGATTTCTGAAGCTTTATATACACATCGATCTGCAGTACGGAGACAGTGAAGCGGACGATGACAAGGGCCACCTTGCAAGCGTCCACTGCAATTCGGATAAGGCGGATCAAACAGAACGGGAAAATAGAAGAAACGATACTGAAAAGGACAGGGTAAATTGCAAGTTCATCTATTCAGGTGGACAATGGATACTGCATCATGTTCTGGGGCCTGAATCCTGAAATCCCAGTTTGATACGTCTGCACCAAAATGGATTAGATGTCTCCACTGGGTCTCAAAGCTTCAATTGAAGTTTCCACGAATCAGGAAACTCGCCGAGCCATTTAGCGCCTCTTACATGTGCTTAAGCACCACTTTGGCCTCCGAGTCGTTGGAGAATGTCTTAGAACCTCGTCTTCTGAATGAGTATTGAAGATATCTTTTCAGGGCTAATATTGGCTACTTCCAAGTAAACAGGCTCTACGGCACCTGGTCATTAAAATGCAATTAATTGGGCCATTCATATTCGTCCGGAATCCGGGCGGACATTCTACGGCTCATGTTGTGTGATGTTCGAGGGTGAAATGGATGACAGTATCGTTGCATTAATTCCGCTTCTTCCAATATGGGGCAGTGTGCTTCGTAGACGAGGAACCACCTAGAGATCTACCTGGAGTTCCCAATACTGATAGAGAAAAAAGTAGCCCTACATCTCGTAACGTACTTATCGGACTTTTATCCTCTAGACTCCAAAACCAGACTGCGCTGGTAAAGTTCTCAGGTCACCGAAGGCAACATAGACTAGTTACAGGAACAATCAACTGACTCCCACTCATAATTCTCCTTTCTTCAGAGATGCTTTTTTACGGCCGTCTATATTTGACATACTAGACCAGTAGACATACCACAGGGACTGCAACAACCCAAGTTCCCCGGTGCAGGACTACAGGTTCCTTAAATGATAAAGCCGTCCAATCATGACTGTTGTGCCCCTTAATTCATGAGAGAATGGCGCCTAGGCACAATCCCTTTCAGGACACGCATGTTTTGTGCACCGCGTTTGAGTGCCTAGACTCTACGCATGTCTCAGTTAGTCTGTGCTCAAGGATTCATCACGACTTCGTCTCGTGGAAAATCTTTTCCTTAGAACTAATACATCAGAAATATTTCCAATGGTCAGCGGTACTCCCCGCGTTTCTCCAGTTTTTCCCTGGGTCTGCATGAGAAGGTGTCATTGGTGGTTAAATTTGGCGCCACGGTTGACTTTTTCTGCAGTGATGCCTGGATGCATCAGCTGCGAGTATGTGATGCTTACAAAATACCGCACATATTCCCATGTTATGATAGGCATGCTTGCAGATTAATCGGCTAACTGTGGCGCCATTCTGGATTGAAGGGTTGGTGTGGATGCAGGGTGATTAAAGCCGATACGAATACATGACCTGATGATAGGTTGCATAACCCCAAAATAGGCAACAGAATTTTGATCCCGGCCGGAAGTCTGACACGCACTGTATCCTTCTCATCTTGATCTTTAGTTATCTCCATCTAACGGTAATGGATCCACTTCTCGTCTTCCTTAGTCTCTCGGTCCACGGCTCACGGAAAGGGTGAATCTTGCGTATTCTAAAACCAAAACAGGAGAGAAGATAATCTGGCCCTCTCCTTGGGCTCTGGCCGGTGAGTGAAGAGATTATCGAATAACGTCAGCGTCCCAACATCCCCATAATGTTGTAATGAGCGCAGAGCACAAGATTACTGGCTTGTTCAACATAAGGAGATTTCCATACAAGAACGAGGGTCAGTAGCTTAGGCACTAGAGGATATGTTCTGAATTGTACCATTCCAGCCCGCAAATGCCGTCTGACACGGCAAGGAAGGTCGTCTTTGTTTGCGACTAACGTGCATTTAGGTCCTTATATGATATATGGACTCCGAGTAGAATAGTCAGAAGACAGCCCGGGATACCTTCATCACTTGTTACAAGCTAAAGGCAGACTTCCGTCTCGACTTTTGGTCTTTCATGCTGCTGCTGTCAACTGCAGCAATCACCGTCGCACTTTTGTTCTTCAACCTTTCATTTGGACCGACCCAGTTTTCTTCTTCTCACACCCCCTTGTGCGACAACATGAGCCAATTCTTCTCCATTCCGTAGAAAGGACCCTTATCGTGGACGAGCTAGAGATTCTTTACAGAACCTAATCTGCCAATCTCTCCAGTGTGAAATGAAGGAGCCTTACTTGTTTATTCCAGAGCGATTACTTCCACTGGCCACCGCATTAATAGGCCCAATTGACTATCTCCTAAATCACAAACCAGAGTATTTATCTTTGATATCTCCTTCTCAAATCCCCCCTTCAGGAACCATGTGTTTTCAAATAGCGCAAATATCAAATAGAAATGAGCGAGAATAGTATATGACATACCCTCAGAAGCCCCAAACCCCTCGCTCAAGTGTAACATGTAAATAAACTCACGAGGAACAAAATTTGGCCAGGACGTGACTGCCGAATCTTCCATATCAGCTTCAATATCAATTGAAGCCTCAATATCCGGCTCGCCCCTTGAAAAGTGCAGTACATGCAAGATACGCATATACATTTCCTCCAAGACGTCTATAGTCCGGGAGTGTATATCCTGCTTCTCCGAGAGACAACTGTATGAGGAGTCCATGGAGGTCGGAGTACCCATACTTGCTGTGTTAGTTGTCAAGGTTCGCAAATTCGAGATGGCTTCATAAGCGCCGCCTGAAAATCGTTCTAACCGCGGTGCATAATGGTTCAGACGAGGGAGGGATGGTGTAGATAACTGTGGATGAAACTTCCAGTCGTCGTTTACATACCGGTAGTGTAGGAAGGCCCTCAATCGACTCTGTCTGAGTGTGTGCCAATGCTCACCCACGACAATTGTTAGTCCACGAATAAGGTGGAGCCAATCGAGACGTGGCCTTTCGGGATGTACAGTTTGACTTTCTGCTGTAAGGCTTCCCAGGTCTCTGAGACGGAGGGATGCGAATGCGAAGGCAACGAGTAAGAAAGATCCGCAAGATACAGCTTCGGCATTGGCAGCTGATACTGTAGGTAATTCTTCTTGGAACTTTCGTAAACCTTTCTGGTGGTGTTCTATCACAAATTGAAGATCTATTAGAGCCGGTTTGTTGAGGTCTCCGGCCACCGCATCTGCGTCGCTGACGATGTCGGTGTTGTTTTGATTTTGGCACTCCGATAAGGCCTTTTCCACTAAAAGATGAACGCCGGCCAACGACAGCACTAGATGCATCAAGAATTCGTTCTGCGACGCTAAGTCTGGAATAACGCGTTGCCAAACCATTCCTCTTTCTGAATTTAAGCTCATCTTTTTCGCTGTGTTCAGAAGATAATATTGGAGAAGCCGCAAATCACACATATTAAGGTCCCGTAGCCGTGCGGACGAATCGTCAACGGGTCCTGGCGAATGAGACACATCAAATTCCAAAGGCTCCAGAGTACTGTGAGACGGACGTGTACTTGGATGCGGCTCAGTGTTTGTTGAGCTATTAGTACTGGTATGCTCGCTTGGTTCTACGGAGAATTTATCATATATCAATGATCCAAGTCAGCGACATGGGAGTGTAGCTGGAAACGTACCTGGAAATGAACATAGGCTGCCCCTTGAGGAACAAGCGCCACATACGGGTCGAGCTTCATCACACTAAATGCAATCAGCATCGCAGGTTAGATCATTTATGGATGGAGACAATACCTTCACTCTCCGAAGCTTACAAGTATGGCAACCATTCCGCGACTTGGTGTGACTTTTGCGGGTTTTTATTCGCCTTCGCGTATTGCAGTTTTGGACCGGTGTGGAACTCTCCGATGACCGTGACTCGGGTACCTGCATTTCGAAGGGATATCAGGTATAAGATGGAAACTTCTGGTTTAAGAAATGCTGGACTGAAGGTGCGTGGCGTGCCATGTGGAGTAGTAAATGAAGGGGCAAGCTTCCAAGGCTGCACGATTTCATACGGAACGCCACAGAGCCCAAGTATGCACATTTGGTTGCTCAAAGGTGGGTCTAACGGAGAGACAAAGTAGGAAGCCCACCTTTGTGTCCGGTTAGTGTTCAGAAGTGACCTTGGCAGCTCTGAAACGTCTCTTACATTCAAGGAATCTATGATGGCAAGCCCGGAACTGGCCAGCACTAGCAACTTGCCGCCAAGTGTGAGGCCACTCTTGTGAAAGGCACACCCAGAAGCCTGCGCGGTTTTTGTAGTCTCAGTTCATTGTTTGTTTCAGTTGAACACCCATTTCATCCGGATTCATTCCACCCAACTAACATATACTCTGGTATCTTTTTGCATATACCCACGAGTATAACATTCGCAGTCTCATGCCTGGGTTAAATCATAGTAGCCGGAATGTGCCCGCTTTTTTACTCCACTTATCGTCTTCGTAATCTCGCTCTTCTTCAGCCACACTCAGAGGATCATATAGTACGCCGGCCAAGCTTCACTAATGCAATGTTGTATGCAAAACCACAACTCGACTTGCCGCATTCGACTTAGTTTTTCTCCCACCATCATATCCGGGGTGCCACCTTTAGCGACTCCTGGCCCCTCCGCCTCGGTATCTGTTTTACTCGCGAGGTTGATCGCAAAATCCGTAGAGGGCCGATTAATTACGCCGATTAATCACGCCATCTATACAGTGATATAACCTATGATTTCAATCCATTGAGGATATACCTGGGCTCGAATTCATATACTGAGACCCACATTCCATACGCTATGCCCTATTGATAGGCCTCCCCGCATGTCAGGTGGAAGGCAGAAACCAATACTTATAACATCACTTGCAGCTTATAAAAATCCGTTAACAGGTAGGATGGCCTGGTTGAACATGTGGTCTGGGATGCGTCATATTTTATACGCTCAAAATTTTGGAATCATTCTTATAGAATTATGATAGAAGCCCAAGCTTCACCCCCCTAGCGACCTTTGTCCCAGTGGGAATGGCGGGAAGCATAACTGTCAGGGCGAACGGTCGTTAATACACACTCACCCCTTCACCTTCGATTAGATGTAACAAGACGCAGGTTGACATCCCTTAACAGTGGTTATGAAAAACCATCAGGACCTGCGAGACCTCGGAATCAGTCACCTGCGCATTTCTCATGGCGTATGAACCGTATGTTTTCCGAGCCAGGAGAATCTTAGCCTGTGCGGGCGATAAATGCAGCGCACTTATTGATTTATACAGCCCCAAGGCTGGATAGGCTACCAGACCGAACATGCCTGCGAAGAATCGTTGCCTCAGCGACTGATACGTAAAGTTATATCTGGTCATATAATAATAGCAATTGGTGGGGCACCAATGACACATATTGCGCAACAATGGTAACTGAAAGCCACATACCAGCTGACGGTTTTGTCACAATTCCCATATAACTCTTAGCAATACCCTTTGAAAAGCCCCATATGCCATCTTTCTTGGCACCTCTGAAAGGTAGTACAACAAGGTCCGCAACACCGTCATAGAAGCCGAAAGCCAAGCTCTACAACTTAGATTAACAATGCTGTCAACGAACGCATGAGAGCACCACAGGCAAGTGTAACTCACCTTTGCCGCCACGATCCCACCCCGCTTAGCACTATCCACCGTATCATATTCCCGTGGCTTGTCGTTATACAGAGCGGGCATTTGATGTAGACCTTCTGTGAGTGCGAGTGGTATATCAACCAAGGCGCCCTTCGCGATCGAACCGGCGAGTCGGCCAGCAGCTTTGGCCGTCGTGACACCGGCAACTGACAATTTTTCTTTTTTCCCGTTTTCTTTGGATCCGTCTAACGTCATTACCCCGGCAGATGATTGGATTAAGTCACTTGCATTGGTGCCAATGTCCACAACCATGCCCAAAAGCGCAGAGGAGGTGGCCGTCACAGGATCCCAACGATGATTGTCGAGGCGAATAGGTTTGGATTGGTACTTAGGAGAATTTTATTAGCCATAAGTCGTTACGTAGGACGCAGGACCAGAACGGAGAACCTACAGCTTCAAGTCCTCTGAGTTTACCTTTCCTCGTTCAACGAGAACCCGCGCTGCTTTATCTGATACCTTGACTTTCTTCTTGCCTACTTTCATAATCCAGCATGCTGGTTCATGAGAAAGAAAATCACAAGTCATAGATGAAAACGGGAGATTGCGATGGAATGATTCAACTGCATCACGGACGCCATTTTCAGCTCTCATTCTCGTGGCAATTCCACTCGCGGCGATACGAGCCTTCGAAGACATGCATATATCAATTGCCTCAGCCAAAGTTTCGGTATTAATCTTTTCGTAGGGAATTGGACAGGGGCCTGCGCCGGCTGAATGGACCATTTTACCCCAAAATAATTGGCTATTAAGTCAGCAGTTCCTCATTGCCTATATAATATGACCTAACGTACTCTCCAAAGAAGGGAACAATTCCAGTGGGACGTCCATTCAACAGACCACAAGCCGTCGTGCCAGCCCCACCATGGTGAATAACAGCTGCTACCCGTTTAAAGAGCCATTCTATAAAGTCATTACCGGACAGTAAGACGAGTTACGGGCGCAAATTACCATGAGGGCAGTCGCCAATGAATAACAAGTTCGGGTCACTCCTAGCTTCCCCGAGCTTACTCCAGCCACGAGAAACAATGGCCCTGACACCACATTGTCGCACTGCCTCGACAATGTAATTAGCCATCCTATCAGGATTTTCCATGACAATGCTGCCAAAGCCAATGTAAATTGGAGTTGAGCCAGCACGTAGGAAGGAAGCCAATTCTGCCTCTGGAGTATAAACTGGTTCTTCGCGGAAGAAAAACCCAACCACGTCTATCCAGAGATCATGTCAGTTCCGACACACTCGTATGTTCGGGTTGTTCTCTCACCTATATAGGAATGCCAATCTTTCGGCTTTGGAACAAGAGCTGGAGACCAGCAGTAAGTATATGGAACCATTAAGAGGTCGCAAAGGTTGGGCCCAATTGCAAAAGGTATCGGCGGCAGACAAAGTGACCTTCTCCTCCAAAGGTTAATGACATCCCCCAGCCTGTGCAGCCGAAAGCCATCAGAATGGAACTCAAACCATGTTCTTGTTTAGAAAGCCGACCACTTACCCCTGCCATGTCAACAATTCTACTATCCGATATGAAAGATAGTTCGCGGTTCGCGGCTCGACATTTGACATCTGAATGTTTGCTAGCGGGTGTGGGAACGCAGCTGTTGGACTCCACGGCATGGTAAACATCATGTGTAGCGGAATACCCAAGGCTTGGGCACAATGAATGTGAGCAAAGCTGGGCGGATTTGCGATAATAGCGTTTGCAACAAAAGGGATCAATGTGTCGGGGTCAGGCTCAGTGCAAGATTTCCAGCAGCCGTCAAGCATCTCTAAGACCATTTTCCTCTTACGCCCGACATCACCCGTAAGAATGGACGAGAATTTCGGCATAATTCCGGGGTTCTTGACCATATACTAGCGAAGGTTAGACCCAATACTTGAGTGCGCAAAATCTTGGACTTGTGCCATGGCACTCACAGCCATCAATTCAGAAGGGTCTCTCCCGATAGGGTAGAACTCCAACCTGGAAGATTGGACGAAATCCTTGAAGATATCGTGTGTGGCAATGCGTACTCGATGGCCGACTTTCGTCAGTTCCTTACCAAGAGCCAAGAAAGGTTGAACGTCACCTGTGCTGGTGTTAGTCTAATGTCGAGGGGAACAAGAGCGAAGTCTCTCTGGCCATCACCTCGGCTTCCAACGATCTGGATCACAATGTTCAAACTAGGTATAGTTCCTTTATAGTCATGTTTAGGGTTGAGCAACTCCTCAGGGAGAGGTGGAATGACGTCTCTGAAGTCGTATTTAGCATTGAGATTAATCTCCAATCTCCCGGCATCTAGGAGAGCGTTAGAGTACTCCAGCAAGCCATGATTTGAAAATATTACCATTGACAGTTGTAAGTGTGTGCAACCTGGAACTGGAAGTCACGACTCTATGAAGAGGAGGTTGGCCCATGTTGAATTCACTCAACGGCTTTCCACTCATATCTTTATGTGGGTGTTCTTCTTTCCCATGATCAATAATGCGTGCTAGGGTTCAAATGTTAAAAAGACTTCACGGTGGCCCCTGAATATGAATTGGCAAGAACGCTTAAGCGCGCAGATACTGACGGGGCGGACAAGGAACGGGGTAGGCGAAGTGAGGTATGACGGTCGGGGTGGGGACATTAAATTATAGCCGCAAAAAGCAGCCGAATTCCTGCAGCGAGAGACGGCCAAAGATATCTATTGTGGCGTAGGTGGGTACTATCCCCCCTGAAAAGCGTATGCGGCATTCGGTAAAGGACTATATTGTACAGCCTACAGCGACGCCAATGCAAAATACCAGATTCTGCGAACTGATTAAAAAACTACCCCAGACGGAAATTCTACATTTTATGCAAAGTGCGATCTCATGCTGGTGGAGCAGCCTTTTGTGGCTGCATTTTTGTTGCCTCCATTCATCCATATAGCTAAGATCTAGTGAACTGTCGATTATGTATTAATACAAAGTATTGTCAATATGGGTCGGTAACCTGTGTTTGGCATAGTATATTCCAGGCCACTTTAGAGATCCTTATAAGTGTCAGAATTCGGATCGTGTGTGCGTACATTGTATATGCACAGATCTCCTGTTCTTCGTCTTAGATTGCCCTTATTTTGTCGCCGTCACCAACCCATCGAGGATTTGTACATAAATGGTTAAAGTAGCTAATTATTTCGGTTCACAGGTCCCCTTTGGTATTGACTGGCGCGCAATGATGTCAAGCAGTAAAGAATGTCCGCTCTCTTCACTTAGCAGCAAATCTCGCAGCACTCAAAGCAAGCAATGCCGGCACAGCTTTTAAATTATTCAGTGTTGGCTGTATCCTCAAGAACAACTGATAAGCGGAAAGTTCTTACATTCCACAACAAACGTCACCACCGTCGCCTCCGCGGAGATGAGTATTCATGTCTTCCGGAGTAACCTATCAGCACAGCGGGTATTTAGTAAAAGATCGAAAGTTACACACTAGCAACTTCAAGGTACCAGTTTCATACCGGTTGCTCAAAAATAATGCGCTCACTGGAAAGCGGTGCAGAGCTGGGAAGTTGTTCAATAGTGAGTGTCCGGGGGTCCCAGGTAGTGGTGGGCCGTGTTCGTTCGTTCTGGAGCCCTATCCATTTGGAAAAGCTGACCAAAAAGCCCATCGCGATATAGTTGTGGGTGCAAAGCAGAGTGTAGGAACCAGGCAGACGAAGGCGGTAGCAATGGGAAGAAACGGAAGACCATTGGGTTTATATAGCTGGTAACCAGCAATTAGTGCGGCAAAGGGTCGCTATTAAAAGGAAAAGGCCGATGTATGAAGGCCCTCCGCCGTTGGGTCGGTACAAAAAGCGGCCTTGGTGTGACGGTCGTTGGTTTATGCCAAATTACTAGTTCGAATTACAAGCATTCCATCCACGGGAAAAATTTTTGGAAAGGGTGGGTCTTACTGTTAGACGATGTTTGCGTCTGGTTAGTACTATTACAAAGCTTGTCAAGTCTTAACCCAGGCCAGACACTATGGGTCCATGAGCCATGCAAGTAAGTAGCACCACTGTAGGTTAACGGCGATCAGCAAGAATCTGTTTGGCTGTTCGTACTCATACTCGTACACTACTGAGAACCGGGCTGAATGCGGAGAAGCCGGTCAATAACAAGCTTTGACTAGTTAACGTAATTTCCCAGGCGAGCCGCTGAGAAGTACTATAAGCCTTCATAGAACATCTTAATCGATGGACCTATTGTAGATGCTCTGGGGCATCTCCACCACCCATGCAAAATACCTGATAGGCCGATTGATGAAAGTTACAGTCTTAAGTCTTAGCTGACCATGGTTATTTCTGGACCTTTACCCCTTTAAGCCGTGCACGGAAAGTTAAATCCAGACCCTGCACTTTCTCCGTATTCTAATTCGCATTCGTAATATTAAGTCTTCTAGTCCGCCAGTGACTAATCATTGCGGCTTCAAAGCTACAATGACTTCTTCAATAGCCAGTCATGTCTTTCTTCGGGCTCGTATTTTGATATTCGTAGCATGTAACTATTGGGAGGCTCTGAATGCCGCGTCGTAGCGTGGATGTCGTCTGGCCACTGTTGAGTCGCTGCAGTTGTATAAATTAGTACCTGGTTGGTCCATACTTCGTTGTCCGTAATCGTGTTCGTATTAAGGCGGCCAGCTGAGGGAAAGATGCATCTAAGGTCCTCAGCTTCCGGTAGCACAACTGGCAGACATTTCTTGTTTTTCACAGCCTCAAACAGATCTCTTAGTTGCGTCTGCGCCCACCTTTTCTCCTGTCGTCACAGCTGACGCTTGTAGTCACGACCTCAACTACTTTTACATGTTACCAACACTTGCCAACACGTACCAACGCAACTATCAAGCCTGAAGATTGTCTTGCCACAATCCCTGCTGGCCTGGCTGCTAGGGACGACAGCAATACATACGCCTTATATCAGTACACTCCTTCGCTTATCGCAGCATGCATATCGGCAGCAGCCTTTGCGGTAGCGACCTTACTGCATACCACGAAGTCATCACGCCTACGGCTCAAGATCCTCATTCCTTTCGTATTCGGGTTGGCATGTAAGTGCATCCATGAGTTAAGGTAGCAAGGCACTTTAGTACATATCCTAACGCCGTATAGTTGAGACCATAGGGTACGGCGGTCGGATCTGGCCACACTTCGACAGACAAAGCATCCCAGCATATATCATCCAGTCGCTCCTGATACTTGTCGCGCCGGCGCTATTTGCTGCGTCCATTTATATGACTCTGGGGCGAATCATCACGTTTATCGACGGTGAAAGAGAATCGCTCATTCCGCCGCGTTGGCTCACCAAACTATTCGTTATTGGGGACTGCGTCTCCTTCTTTGTTCAACTTCGTGGCGGAGGAATCCAAGCTGCAGGTACTCTATCACTACTACACCTGGGAGAAAAGATCATTGTCATAGGTTTGTTCATCCAAATCTTCATGTTTGGCTTTTTCGTCGTCGTTGCGATAGCCTTTGAGGTGAGATACCGGAGATCGAGGAAATCATCAAGCTCCCACATCCATTGGCAGAAGGGAATGCGCGTCTTGTACCTCATCAGTGCCATCATTCTAGTTCGCAGCGTTTTCAGGGTCGTCGAATATCTTATGGGCAACAATGGTTACATCCTGCAACACGAGTTTATGCTATATATTTTCGATACAGTTCTAATGTTCTTGGTGGGGGTCATCTTTTATTTTGCAAGTCCTGGAAAGGTTCTGATGCCGCAAAATTCCGAGACAACTACGAGGCGCTATATGAATACCCCAAGGCAACGAACCAAGAAGTGCCAAATTTAAGGCTATCTTAAGATATAGATGATAGATGTGATCTCTCAAAGATGGCTAAGACATGGCAAATAAAAGCAGTGCCATAGTTTCCAACAAGGCTTCTCCTCAGTAGCTTTTCAAGGGTGCTACCCGTATGGTATGGCGTAATCGGCAAGCGGGCTGATCAATGACCACTCCACCATATGGTATCCGAGAAGATGGCTATCTTCAAGACCTAAAATAAATTTGTATTAGAAAACTAGAATCCTTCCGTTGCGGACATTGCGTTCGCCTATGTCCCAGACTATGGCAATTACTGCACCGTAGGGATGCCAATTAAGAGCGTTGTTCTGCATCTACTGCCTGCTCTGTAGGGATGCTTAGGATATCATTAGCCTGGTTCTTGGGTTGAATGAACTGTCGGCACACCTGGCTGGAGAGCCTTAAATACCGGTTGCCAAGCTGATTTCCTATTTCGAAACTGCTTTCCATGAGCGGCGAGTAGATTTTCATTTTCCTTTGCAAGAACAATAAAATTATTCATTGCTATTCTCGCATCTCCTAGAAAGCTGATCTGGTGCAGCCTTAGAAGTGCTACAAGGACGATATGTATGCTCCTGAGCAGACGTTTAAGTCTGCTTTTCTCTTGTGAACATGTGAGTTTTTTTGGAAATAGCCTATTGATGGGCTTCCCGGTGATGAAACAAATGATTATATCAGACGAGCTATGTCCGACAACCAAAATCCAGATTGGACCCTCGGTCCTTACAATGTGCCAGCCCTCTTCCTTCTCCTAGCTCTGGCTTCCCTCACCAGTAATCTGTTTATGGAGATATGGATTCATTCTTCTCACTCCAACAAGGCTGGGGCATTGTTCGTACTCGTATATTAAGGCAATCGGCTCAACTCCATTTTACTTAAAGTTGGGGGTAGGAGATGCAAAGTAAAGTTGGGGTGCAATCGCATAACGATTACATTCGTATTCGGAAACGGTTGTGCCGGGAACTAGCTCTCTCATCTTTCTATTTGTATCTCGGGTCGACACATACTAGCGTATGCCGTACAATATTAAAACAGGTTTTAAACGGCGCCTGTTCACGGATACCTATACGAACTGTCCATGTCACTGTTACCTGTTGTGGTACTTCTTGGGGATCCTGCCGATTGCACCTGGTTTCAGGCCAGTGTTCCAATATCGGTAACAACACCATTTGCAAACATCTTCCTTTGATTGACATCTGACATACATATAGCCAGTAGTGTGGACCAGTCGAGTGCCCGGAAGATCTCGCATCACACCTCGATTGTTGCGCACGAGTGACCGTCATGGCCGTCCGATTATCTTCTCTCTTAGGTAATTTCCTTATACTGTTTTGTTTCGTTCCACCCACCTCTGGACAGTCTTATCCTAGAAGTCCTCACGAAGTACGAGAAAACGTCCCTCTCCAAGATATCGTGACGTGGGATCAGTACTCTATCTCCGTTCGGGGTGAGCGTATCCTTTTGCTTTCAGGGGAGTTTCATCCTTTTCGCCTCCCTTCTCCAGACCTCTGGTTTGATGTGTTCGAGAAAGTTCGTGCATTAGGCTACTCCGCAGTATCTTTCTACCTGGATTGGGCCCTCCTTGAAGGAGAGCAAGGTCAAGTCCGCATGGACGGAATATTCGCCCTTGACAAATTCTTTGACGCCGCCAGCAAGTCCGGGGTCTACCTAATTGCTCGGCCGGGGCCGTATATCAACGCTGAAACCTCGGGAGGAGGCTTCCCCGGTTGGTTAGCCCGCCTCAAGGGCAGGTTACGAACTTCAGATCAGGACTTTCTAGATGCTATCGCTCTTTACTTTTCCGTTGTTGGTAGCATTATTACTAAAGCGCAGGTCACTGAAGGAGGTCCTGTCATTCTCCTGCAACCCGAGAATGAGTACACCCTTTGCGCGAGCACAATGGGTTATAGTCAGGACAATAACCTCACGTATACAAACTACTCTACATCATGCCTGGATAAGGAGTACATGACTTACGTCGAGAACAAATTCCGAGAAGCCGGTATTGTGGTTCCATTTATTGTGAACGATGCATTCCCCATGGGGAATTTCGCTCCGGGAGGAGGCGAGGGTGCAGTCAACATTTACAGCTTCGATAACTATCCCTTGGGTTGGAGAACTGCACGTAAGTTTGGAATCGCCATTTACCCCAATTCTGGAGCTCTCTCATTGTTTGGCAATGGGTGCCGGTGAGTGCGCAGCCTCTGATCCTTCCAATTGGTCGTCAATCGTCGACCCACTACTTGCGTACAATTTTCCTACGCACGAAACGATCAGCCCTAATACGCCGTTCTCTATATCCGAATTTCAAGCAGGGGTACCCGACGCATGGTGCGTAACCACACTTGTATATCAGTATCGTTCTTTGCGCTAATCTGATGCAGGGGCGGGGTTGGTTCGCACATCTCCGCTGCGTATATAGGGTATGAGTTCGAGCGCGTGCTATATAAGATCAACTACGGTCTTCGGATCGCTATTCAAAATCTCTACATGGTTCGTGAACCATTGCCTCTTGGTGGCACTATGTACTTACCAGCTTGCAGATATTTGGAGGGACGAACTGGGGAAACCTTGGCCATCCTGGAGGTTATACATCCTATGATGTAGGAGCAGCTATTGCGGAAAATCGCGAAATATCACGCGAGAAGTACAGCGAACTGAAGCTGCAGGCCAATTTCCTTCAAGCCTCACCTGCATATTTAACCACTCGTCCTGAGAACGGAAGTATTGGGATCTACTCAGACACTCGAGACATTCTTATTACGCGGCTAGCTGGATCGCAGACCAGTTTCTATATTGTTCGCCATAGAGACCTGACGTCATCCTCCTCAACTCCATATAACCTCAAGGTGAAGACAAGCGTCGGGAAGTTAACTCTCCCACAGATGGGTGGATTACTCAGTCTTAATGGCCGTGACTCAAAATTCCATGTAACTGACTACGATGTGGGCGGCATGAGGCTGATCTATTCTACTGCGGAGATCTTTTCCTGGAAGAAGGCTGACTCCAGGTCAGTCCTCTTACTATATGGTGGTGAGAACGAGCTCCATGAGTTCGCACTCCCTGCTAGTGTCGGTTCTCCTCTCATCGAGGGTTATGGTGTTAAAGTGAGTGTATCTGGCTTGATGACTGTTGTACAGTGGCGCGTTGACCCGTCATCTCGGCGAGTGGTCAAATTCAACAATGGCCTGGAGGTTTATTTATTGTGGCGGAACGAGGCCTACAAATACTGGGTCCTTGATCTGCCGGCCATAGACCCTCTGGGGCTATATGTTTCTCCGTCAAGGGTGACGAACTCGGTCATTGTCAAAGCCGGCTATCTTATTAGGAGCGCAAGTATTGAGGGTGACGTACTTTACCTTAGGGGGGATGTCAATGCAACAACTGAACTCGAAGTTATTTGGGCACCTCGGAACATTTCATCGTTGGTTTTCAATGGTGAGGAAGTCCAAGCAGATTTGAGTACTGGCCGCCTTACGGGAATTGTCCACTTTACAGCTCCTCAGATTGCCCCTCCTGATCTAGAGGCCCTGTCCTGGCACTATACCGACACTCTTCCTGAATTGGACAGTTCGTACGATGACAGCTCTTGGACTCCTTGCACACAATCTTGGTCGAATAACCCTCGCAACCTTTCAACTCCAACATCTTTATATGCCAGCGATTATGGTTATCATGCAGGCTCACTACTCTATCGCGGACTCTTTGTTGCTTCAGGCAATGAAACATCTGTCTATATTCTAACCGAAGGTGGCTACGCGTTTGGTCATTCAGTTTGGCTAGATTCGACCTACTTAGGATCCTGGACAGGAAGTTCAGCTGATATGTTTTACAATCGGACTTTATCATTCCCCACGAGATTGGAGCCTGGCAATCAATATGTCCTTACTGTTCTGATCGACCATATGGGCTTAGACGAAAACTTCCCTGCAAATGTTCCAGATAATGAAGGATCCGCGTGGAATTCTGGATTATAATCTAGATGGCCGTGATAAGTCGGCAATAACATGGAAAATGACAGGCAACCTAGGCGGTGAACATTATTATGACCATACCAGGGGCCCATTGAATGAAGGGGGTATGTATGCCGAGCGTCAGGGATATCACCTCCCCGGTCTACTGGTCCATCCGTGGGCTAAGAAAACCCCATTACAAGGACTCTCACGTCCCGGTGTTGGGTTCTTTGCTACGTATTTCGACCTTCACATCCCTGCTGGTTACGATGTGCCAATGAGCATTGTGTTGCGTAATGATACCGAAGCGGGGACGCCACGGAGTTATAGAGCCCAGCTCTTTATCAACGGATGGCAGTTTGGTAAATATGGTACGTTGAGCAGCCTATACTAACGGATGCAGTCCCTCGCTGACTATTACAATACAGTGAACATCATAGGCCCTCAAACCCGCTATCGTATTCCGGAAGGCATCCTCAACTACAACGGCACCAACTATCTGGCGTTAACACTGTGGAACCAAGAAGATAGACCGGTCAAAGTCGATTCTCTAAAGCTTGAAATCGATACCGTTGTACAGAGTGGTTATCGGAAGCCCGGCTTTGTGGAGGCGAAGACATTCACACTGAGACAAGAGAGCTATTGAGGAGCCTTGTTGTCCAACGGAAAGAGAGAATCCGGCTCCCACGTTGGATGGGGCATGGGCATAGCGACTTGGGGCTTTCTAAACGATTCGTATGGTATTCTTCCAATTCTACATTCTAAAAGCTGTGGCATGTTGCGTTTAGGCTTGCCAAGATATAGCCCATAATTGGCCAAATACGGTACTATAGATTACTACAGTGCTTTAGCTCTGTTCGGTGTATTATATGTACATGGTGGATTTTCTATTATATTTCCTAAGCATTTTAATAATTATGCGAAGTGGTTAGAAACATTGCACCTGCAGATATATGCAGATATACTTATACCCGAAGCATTCTCCTCGTAATATAAACAATAATATTGAGTTCCTAAACCTACTTTATGTAAAGGCACTCAATACTAGTCTTCAGTGTAGAGTCTATAATTCTGACTTATATTCTCTTTTGCTCGCAACAAGACCTAAGTTGATCCTTTACCGTGGTCCTCCTTAACTGTTGTGTGCGACGCCACCAGGATTTGTAAATGACTACTAATACAGCAGTGGGATCAAGGTGGATGGTATTATTTCTCGCATGTCTGTGCGTCCTGTCGTTCACTTCATACGAAGGACGACTCGAAATACGTTTTCTGCGCGCCCAAAGATGCCACAGCCAACTTGGAACATTATAGTGCCCACAGATCCCCTCCTGGGAGATACAAGAGATTAGTTTTGTAGATAACCCTGGATAGAGTTCTGTACCTGCTCCAAGGCCAGTTGCAACAACTCCTGAGATGATATCATAAATACCAGTAGACTGTTTCAAAAATCCTTATATATCCATTAAACCTTACCTCCTTCCGACCCTCATCCCTTTTGTCCTTTGCTCCACGCCGGTGTCCCGACATCCACATCATCACTGACCACCTATCGCGACAGCTAGGAGAGGTCAATCCGCCACTCTTGTTACGGGACAACCAGTTTTCTGGACGCTCCACCTTCGTTTTAGCGATGAATCATAGTTTAGTTTTATAATAATCTTTTATGGTTTGCAGTTAGTTAAACTGATGTTCTGGAGGTTAGGGCCACGTCTTACCCCCACGCTGCAGCCCTTTTTCCCTACCCAGAAATATATTACGTTACATTGAGGCTGAAACCCGGGCCAGCATCAAATCTTTACGACTCATTTGTATCCAGTATCGTGGTCTAGTGTACTAATACCTAACACAGCTCAGTCCTGATTGTCGCTAGTCAACGAGTACGATACAGTTGCCGATTCAAGTAGACTGCCGTATTTACTGATTGGTAAAAGCGGCACAAACCGTTTCAAATGCGGCGAGATACATGATATCACGAGACACGAGCCGGAATAGTACAGATGTGCGTATCTAAACTGGCGTGGGCCTGGATTAGAGTATCCAAAAAGCGAGAGAGTTTCGCTCAAGATGTACTCCCATAGTGTATCTACAATCTACATCACGGCCTTCTAGTTGATTCGTATTCGTCGCTAAACCCTTCGGTGCTCAGGTATGAACAATTCCCGTCGACATTCCGCTTGAGGAAGTGACCTGGAAGATCTCCAGTAGCCATCCCACTGATTTGCAGTGATACCGGCAGTCTACCAGGAAGCTACTGTTCGAATTACGTTCTTCACTGATTAATCGACGCGAGGGGTAAGGCATCATCACCTCTCTTTACGAGAGTCACGGGTGTGCCTGATCGTTCAACATCGGAAAGGGCATTCACTTTCTTCTGGACAAGCTATGTCTATAGCTTCCTTGCCGTCCTCGCTACGGAGTAGGGTTAGGAGGAATCATGGATCGGTACCGTATTGGGTCACCGCCATACTGCACCACCTTCCCCTCGTCGAATTGTTACTTAAATCATCAGATCAGCATATACACACCTCGTATCTGGATTTCACGGCCCTTCGCGACACCGTCATCATTTCAATTTCATTGAACCTACCTGCCTCAGTTCACCACCCATTTAATTTTAGCTTTGAGATCTTTCGCTGAAGCAGACGTTAGCTCGTGGGATGCGGACTCTTAATGCATTGGATGTCCACCATGCGAAGCATTTCATCGCCACGGTAAATTGGGATACAACAAGTCGAGAACCCCATTGTGAGAAGATGGAGACTTTGCTGCTTTCCTATAAATGATAAGGGTGACGCTGCCAGGAGACGAGGACAATATACCAACATCTGTGTACATATCGTACGATAGTGATAATGATGATATTGAAACCTGACGATCGTATTTGCTCGGACGCCACGGTTGCAGTATATACCAGTTTTAGATTAGGGCATATTAAGATTAATTAGAAGTGCTTAGCGTCTGACTAAAATAAGGTTGTACAACAATTAAGCCTGTTCTGCGTGGATATTCATTACTGTTTTACGATTACGAGTACGGTTCCTGCAGCTGTTGACCCACTCAGCAGAACTTTACTGATAACGATTGTTCGATCCAGCCAATCAGTTTTGTATTTTGGTGCTTGTACAACGCGAAAGGTTAGTCACCCTTCGCTTGTATTCGATATGGTTAAACAAGCGGGTCCTCATGTAGAGACTTTCTTCTCAAACCATAGACGTCGATTTATCGCCGAACGCGAGAACGGGGAGTTATTACAGTATATCATTCCTCCATTCAATGCATTGCAACAACAAGCATATGAGGATGGTACCTTCCTCTACTGGGACTTTGAGTCCGAAGACCCCCTTTTACACTAATGCCAAATCTGATGCATGTCTTGTCTTCATCAATGATTTCTCCTCTGAGGGTACGGAGATAGAGCCTCTCTGGCTGATGAATACTCAAACGATATCGTTTTAAACGTTGCCGGAAAGTGTCCGAACGTAGGATTGCTCCTGCTTTTCAAACGCCAAACTTTCCTCCATGACTAATGACATTTTCTGCAGACCATCGTGTCTATCCACAATGCCGGAGTCAGACTTGTGGACCGGTGGATCAACCACCCGAATGTTACCGCAGATATATTCACTCATCTGCCTGGTAAAGATGCCGGTCGCGCTCTCTTTGAAATCATATACGGCGAGCAGGCCCCGTCTGGTAGACTACAGTCGCCAAGAACGAATCTGACTACAGCGACGAGCTGCTTTCACCTGTCCGCCCAAGTAACTCATCTAACTACTACACGCAAGCCCGAACCTCACCGAGGGCTCCTATATCGACTATCGCCGTTTTGACGCTCTCAATATCGAGCCACGCTTTGAATTTGGGTTTGGCCTTACTTATACAACCTCCAATTATTCGGATCTCGGGATAAGCCATACCGATGCTGACTGTTCCTATTATCCGCCGCCCGGCGAGATCATGGAGGGTGGTCTCGAATCCCTCTGGGATGTCGTTGCCGTCGTGACCGCGAGAGTCTCAAATGCTGGAGAAGTTACAGCTTCGGAAGTTCCCCAGCTCCATATGGGCATACCAGGTGCGCCGGCTGAGCAGCTACGCGGCTTTACGAAGATCCCCTTGGAGCCTGATGAGACCAAGTCTGTTCATTTCCCGCTGACCAGACATGATCTCAGTCGGTGGGATACCGAATTACAGAGCTGTTATCTACAGAGGGGAGAGTACAAGGTGTACGTTGGCTCTAGCAGCCGCGATATCAGACTGACCGGCACCTTGGCCTTCTAAAGACTCAGCCATGAATGGCTAAAGCAGTCCTATAAGGTACAGATTCGAAACCTCTTTCGCGTTTTTACACTCTGCTATGTATTTCATAGTGTCAGATAATCTCCATTACAAACGAGGCAGGGAGATCCGACAGTCGATCTTACAGGTCTAAATGAGGTTCATGTGACGACCATACTGCGGAAATGGAACTCGCTTGTTGAAGCGTTTACTTCGTAATACCTGTTCAGACAATCTGTTGCCTGATTTACTACGTCATCAGAGACATCACTCAGGCTTTGTTGAAATTTCGCAGTTGAGCTTGAATCAGCTCGGAAGCCCCAACACCAGAAGCGCCAATGGGGATAGACAAGGCCTGTAAGTACATCCCATTCGTTGATAAGTCTCCATAAAGAATGGTCCAACCACCGTCTGCCGCCCTTTGTCGTTGTTCATTGCGATTAGTCTTTTCCGTCATACTTGACTACGGTATAAGGGTAGATTATCATGTGAGTATATGCAAGGATAAAAGCAATAGTGGATATGCACAAACTTGCCTAAATCGAGGCGGGTTAAATACTTACGAACGGCAAAACACAAAGTCAACATGTAAGGCGTCAGAACTATTTGATAAGCTCACGCCTACAGAATACGAGTTCGTTGATTTCATTACAATGTATCGATCCTTCAACACTCGTAGTATATCGCTGAAAATGATTAGGTCTAGGAGAGTCGGTCACGATTGCCAAGCTTCTGCATTGGACCATGGTTATATCTGGACCTTTACCCATTGATAATTCCAGACCCTGCACTTTCTCCGTATTCTAATTCGTATTCGTAATATTAAGTCCTTTCTACCACCAGCAACTAATCACTGCGGCTTCAAAGCCACACTCACTTCTCCAATACCCAGTCATATCTTTCTTCAGGCTCGTATTTAATATTCGTAGCTTGTAGGGTTTGGAATCACAGTTGATGCTGACGGTAGGTTCTGAGTGACCCGTCGTAGGGTGAATGTCGTCTGGCCGCTATTGAGTCACTACATTTGCATACCAATTAGTACCTGGTTGGTCCATACGTTGTTGTCCGTATTCATGTTTGTATTAAGGCGGCCAGTAGAGGGAAAGATGATTAAAAGAACAGGAAGATGCATTTAAGGTCCTCGGCTTCCCTCACATCTGGTATCACAACTGGCAGACAATTTCGTGTCTTTCAAAGTCTCAAACAGATCCCTCAGTTGCGTCTGCGCCCATCTTTTCTTCCGTCGTCACAGCTGACACTGAGCACTGCCGAACAAAGCCTCTGTTCTTCTGAATGACAAAATGAGAGCTCTATCTCTTTACTCTGCTCTCTTATGCTATTTGGCCCTATCCTCTGCCTCTCCGGGCAAGGATATGGCCAAGCGCATCACCAGCGGATCGCTTCAGCAAGTGACTAACTTTGGATCCAACCCCTCCGGTGCGCTCATGTACATATATGTGCCTAAGAATCTGGCCACTAAGCCTGGAATCGTTGTTGCTATCCACCAATGTGGGTGAAGAAACCCTCCTTGCTGTCATCTGTAAACGTTGTTGACACTACTTAGGCACCGGAACCGCACAAGCATACTACACGTGGTCTCCCTACGCACAGCTGGCTGAGCAATACGGCTTCATCGTTATCTACCCTCAGAGTCCGTATAGCGGTACCTGCTGGGACGTTAGCTCCCAATCCGCTCTGAAACACAATGGCGGCGGCGACAGCAATTCGATCGCCAACATGGTTACATGGACCATCAGCCAATACAACGCCGATACTAGCAAGGTGTTTGTGACTGGATCCAGCTCAGGTGCCATGATGACGGTAACCATCACATTATAAACTGCAGAAACTGCAAACTAACGAATAACAGAATGTCATGGCCGCGACATACCCCGAACTCTTCGCCGCCGCAACAGTCTACTCGGGCGTCTCCGCCGGATGCTTCTACTCCTCCGCCAACCAAGTCGACGCCTGGAACAGTAGCTGCGCACAGGGCAGGGTGATCAGCACCCCAGAGCTCTGGGGCGGCGTCGCCAAAGCAATGTATCCGGGGTATACTGGCCCGCGCCCCCGCATGCAGATCTACGACGGCAGCACAGACACGGCGCTCTACCCGCAGAACTACTACGAAACCTGCAAGCAATGGGTGGGGGTGTTCGGGTACAGCTACAACTCTCCCCAGTCCACCCAGAGCAACACCCCGCAGGCAAATTACCAGACTACCAACTGGGGTCCTAATCTGCAGGGGATCTTCGCAACGGGCGTCGGCCATACGGTTCCCATTCATGGCACGCTGGATATGGAGTGGTTCGGGTTTGCGGGCGGGTCGTCAACGACTACGACCAAAGGTACTACTACGAGCACGACGACATCGTCTGAGGTATCGTCGACTAGCACTGGTGTTGCGGTGCATTAGGGTCAGTGTGGAGGGTCCGGATGAACGGGCCTACCTTTGTGTGCGCACGGGTATACCTGCACTGTGATAAATGCGTCGTATTCCCAGTGTTTGTAGTTAGTGACCTACACATCCAGTCAGGTTATTCGCAGTCCTCTGAAGAGCCAGCTCGCTGCAGGGTATTATTCAGAACGAATGACGTTACTACATCTCAGTACCCCGCGTTAACAATTCCTTCAATGGCCCTGTAAACCTTCCTCGCCCCCTTGCGGCCCAGTCACAAATCAACAAGGCGCTCACCCGCAGAGATGCCGGACCGCGTTAGTTCATGTTCGTCGCTGTCACAGGGATCTCGGTCGGAAACGACACAAAGGTACATATGAAGATACCAAAAATGATATTGTAGAGGTTGATGGCCAGATCCCATCGGCCAAGTGCAAATGGGCCAGACACAATCCGCTCCTTCCGGACACGTTTCCGGGCCATCATAGCCGTGGGCATAATGTGTGAAATGGAATTGGAGCTAGTTATGAGAGCGAGGATAGCGCTGAGGGCAGTGGTCGAGGTGATTTTGACGAGCGAGAGCAGAATATCGTTAAAGCAGACGAGGCAGGTGGCGCGGATGGGGATTACTTGTGCAAAGAACTTGGAATACGGCAGGCCACCATCGCGGGCAAAAGTCCATGTGAGGCGCGAGACGGAGGCGATGACTGCGATATTGAAGACGAATCCGATGAGAATGATAGCGGATTGCATTGCTGTTGTTGCGTCGACGGAGCCGGTGGTTACGATCGTTTGGCAATATTCCAGTGCGCCCTGCCGAGGATACAGTCAACTCAAACTCTGCTCTAGTTCTAAATCAGGTGGCGAAGCGTTAAAGCAGCACGAATTTCCGTCATCGTTGAGCGTCTTGACTGTTTTCTACGCTTTTTTCTATGTTCGTTCAGCTTAGAACAGGAGTCGTCACTTTCACCTGTCGCTTCAACAGCGCTTAAGAATCATATGCATGTTACCAACGGCCCTGTCTGACGAGACTCCAAGTAACATGAGTGGAACAAGTAGACCGACACACTGGAAGTGGCAGTAGTCCTCAGTAGTATAATCCAAATTTAGAGTCATCTGAAAAGCACAGGGCTGTTCATTCCCATTATGTTCCGTCTCCCCATATTGTTACATCCGCATACTACAATTTAACCATCCCTCCCTGGAAGCTAGCCAAACAGCTGACGTAAGAACAAGGCATAAGATATATAAACGTTCAGAAAATGATGTGTCTAGGGAGCTGAATGGGCTGTCTCATGTGCTAGATGATCGTACCCTTTCTCTTCTCATCAATTAGGGTAACAACGAGGATTAGCCCTCGAGGCCATCATACTTCAAGGATTGATACGTCACTTGAATAGATTGCCTTGTAGCAGTGGCCACTAATAGTAACCCTTAAAAATTCCTATCCATGATGCTCAGGCAGAATCCAATGTCTTTTTCTGTTTCATTTCCGCCTTTTCCATAGGGACAGCATTCTCACAACCAGGTTATCAGTTTATGATTTCCACTGACCTTATTCTCCTCTGAGTTGACAGATACTAGCTGATATTGGATCCCTTTTTGTGCAGTGACGGCTTCCCATATGGCACCGCAGCTGAAGAAGAACCTAGCAGGACCATTGGCTTCATTAGTGATTTGGCTTTGACAACACTGCCTTGCATAGATCTTTCGCTGGTCTCGGATGACCGCAATCATTTTGGTCTTCGTGTCCAACTCATCTTTATCTTCATCATCCTCTGAATATTCAGCTCTTGAACCATCTGGTAAAGTGCAATCACTATAGAAATCACCGCGGACCATGGCTATGTCACCTAATCTACAGTGGACATCCTTCTGCCAGTACCGAGATCGCACTGGCGCTGTCAGCAAGATTTTAAAAACTGGTTGAAGTCTTTTCTTTCTAGTCGCTTGTTAGAGGTGCTGAACCAGCAACGGAGGCTTGATCCGACGAAAGGGAGAGGGGCTATGCGGCGGCAGATACGCCAGATAGAATGTTATTGTGAAGGGAGATGAAGGTGGTGATAGTGGTTTTAGAATTAGGCTATCTCACGATGTCTTTACGTCACTGCTCAGCAGTTAATAATCTGACAGTCACAGTAATTTTGGCATATTATACTCAATGGATTTCCCTCTTGACATTCCAGTGATTTGCGCACTTAGTAATAGCTCTACTGGGGAGCTTTTCTTTGCCAGTTGTCTGCGCCATATGAGATACAACCGCAGGACGTAATGACGATGCGGCAGTATGACCATCCCATTCGAACCGCATGCTCATTTTCTACCGGCAAGGGGAAGAAGAAAATGAAATTGCAATCGACAGCAGTGAAGGAATGAGATCCAGAAGGTCTATATGATCCCACTCAATCATCATAAACATCAAGGTTCACCTGCTTTGACGAGGCTCTCCGGGTGTGCACTTGTGGCTAGTAGGGTGATGCCTACACGCACTCGAATATATATTTCGCTAACTGCAAGTATGCAGTTACCGGTTGTGTGCGCTCTAGGTTGTATGCATTTTCTTCATTTTCGCCGCTTACATGGCCCTCTCATCGCCACAATGGCTTCGGTCCCAACGGAGTCGATGACCCTATACGAATACGAGCGGGTCAACATCCTTTTCGGGAGACAAGCGTCCACGAAACTAAGACTCACAAGGCGGCAGTTGTGTTTTGCTTCTCGGCTGTTCTACATGCCTTCTAGCCCCCTGCTACAGAGAATTTCTAACCTACACCTTTTCTCCCTAGCCTGCTCAAGCCCCTGATGAGGACTCATTTGAAGAGTCCCTGAATTACCCTACAATCAGGCTTTTCGCACAATGGAAACTACATCAGATCGGCCCAAATACCTCTGAATGGTACCCGTATGTATCATTTCCAAGCAAGGCCAAGGTACACATTCTGCACTGGTCGCAAGGGACAAAAACTTCCTGTAACCAGATATATTACTGTACAGAGGGATCTTACTGTCCAGACAAATTTAAAATACTATCCGGGAACAACATTAATGGCAGTGTGTGTTTACACTCCACTAGGAGTAGGGATAGTCAGGTCGTGGGTTGCGCAAGAAAAAAGGCACTGGCTACTTTAATAAATTGGAGCAGACTAGCATCAAAAGTGAGATCAATTAACATTGTGACTTAATTACGTGCTTTCTTTACTGGTACATTATGCTTGCAGCCGCCGCCTGAGCGAAGTGGACGGTTTGAACATGACGTCCGCCATCCCTGCCGGAGGGCCCCAGCTTGTATGTACAGCAAATAAAGACATGAGGAAGCATGAACCCTAGCCTAGCAGGAAGCAAACAAGCGGAATACACAATATGGCAGAGTGAGAGAGATAAGGACCGGCAGGAACGCAACTGCTTCTTCACGCGCCAGCATATCCTTGATAGGGCATCGCAGCTTGTTCATCTTGGAGACGAGTCATTTCATAATCAGTGGAGAAATATAGAAGTCGGCCAATTTCCTGCGGATAAACAATATTAAAAATGGCCATGGTCATGAACATCAACAACGCGTCGAAGATATATAAATAGATCTCATAGTGCAAGAGGTACCCGTTGTTCCCTTAGACATATTCAACTAGTCAGAACACGGAACGGACTATGATACAGAAGCTTGTGACATAGAGTACATTCAGGTGTTTGCGCCAGGGAATATCTGACGAGCAAGAGCATGGGATCAGATATTTCTTGATCTTCCAGTAGAAATGGGTCGCGGTAATGATAAAGACAAAGAAGAATATTTAAATCAGGAGGCCAATAATAATTAGGTGCTCACCATTTTTTATACTGTCCAGGTTTCCACTGCTCTGAATGCCATCCTCTAAACCAGATCAACAGATCGTTCAATGCTCTAAGTCCTCACTATAAAATGCCTACCAGCTCCTTGCAACAAGAACGAAAGCACATCGCCTGTCACAAAAATCTTGGTCAGCCACTTTCTTTTCAACAAGGCATGAGATTCGGCTTGTAATACAAGGATAATACGACCGAGAAACATGTATATCGAGGCTGCTAGAAGAGCTGGTGCAAGCAAAAGGAAGAGTGTCTGCACAATATAAGGTCCAAGTGTCCAATTTGGGCTTTGATTGCTGGACATGGCACGTCCGATATACCCGATAATCTCGACTAAGGTAGATTAGTATGGTTCTAGACTGGGAGATTATGGAAGTGCACCGATATATGCCTCCAATAACAAAGGGAATGAGAAACCAGGTGCGCGACTTGAACATTTGAAAAATATGATACCCAGTTGTGCTGATGAAAAGCAGGATGAAAACTATGGCGCCGCCCATGCTGGGGTCATAGTGATAGAAGGCAAAAGCAACACCGCTGGAATCTCTCGAGTCCAACATTCTGACATGTACGAACAGCGAAACCAGACAGCAGAGATCACAATAAAAAAACAATGAGAGAAAAGAGTGTAAGGTAGGGACTGAAGGGAAAGGATGGAAGCCTCCAAGAATGACCGAGAGAGAAGGATCTAGTTGCTTCTTGCCATCCGAGCCACACGTTGGGTATTTATATGGCTCCAGATGGGCTTTCAATAGTGAACAAAAATAGATTGAATCCGCGCTAGGAGGCAGAGAAAATACGATACTGGGATATACTGTGTACGGCGTAATGGTTTCAAACTAGGTATACTGGACCAATTCTGATACATGTCTTCAACCTCTTGTACCAGCCATGCCGACTTACCTCTCGATGGCAGCTTGTACAAAGCTCCTCTGCCTACTGGTGCGGAGAGTTAAAGCGAAAACATGAAGGGCATCCGTTCTGCGGTCGCTCTCTCACAACGGAAGAAGCTGGACAAGGAACGTCCGAGTTGCGGGGCCGGATGATATGGAGCCGGTTCAGCTGAGTGCGATATTATGATTTTGGAAGCAGATGGTAGATAGCCTCGCTCTGCTTGACCTTTGTGGGCTTCGTCATAACTAGACTTTTGCGAACGGGAGCTGCGGTACACAAGGTTCTGTTGAGTGCGATTATATGCTTTCTTCTAAAGAGGTTCGCAGGCATATGACACCTCTGGGCTTAAACCGCCCCTGCCTTCTTTCTGTCTGTTGTTTAATATCGCGCACACCGACTAAGACTAACCAAGTAGTTAACTAGTTATGTTACAATAACTGCTCGAGTTCGTTTCTAAAAGGAAAGGCTCAGTTGCCCCTTCTCACCTGTAGAACTTGGATTTAGAGAAGCCAGTTACACTTGTGAACTTTGTTAGATACAGGCATAATAAGAAGATATAGTTAAGGAAATAGAGAAAAACCTGTCTTACCTAGAAGAAGACTACACTTTATGCTTTCAAGGACAAAAGCTCGGAAGAGAAGGAGTAATATTATAGACCCTTGTCTAGTGTGCCTTATCAAGGAAAAGCGGACACACAAAGCAGAAAGTGATAGGACTACAGTGATAGAAGAACAGATAATGGCTACCTGAGATAAGATAGGGAGGATCCCTGTATCACATGATATTTTATTAGATTATTTCTTTAACAGAGTCTCTCTTTTTTCCTTAGGCTATTCACTACTCTTTATAGACAACCCGCCCAGCAGCATTGTCTAGCTTACAAGGTCCATTATACCTTGTCTTTAACCTACAGAATCTAACTGAGTATTGTGGGGCTTTATGGGCTGAGGTCCGGAACTCAGCCTCCCTTTTTAGACATGCTACCAGATGTGATTGTAAGTAGCGGTAGGCTAAGGTAGATAGAGAGTTACTGATCTCCTATAAAAGGTAGGGGATCCTTTATGTCCTTATATACACGTAGATGTTCCCTTCGCTTCCCAGGTCGTGTGCGGAGCGGCCTGAGGCAGCTACACCCAGTAGGCGAAGTACATAGCTTATCACGTGTTGCCAATGTACGACATGGGATTACATACTAATGAGTTGATATTTTGTAGTTCACTATGGAGTGCAATTTAAGCAGTGTCAAGTGTACTAGCACAAAGTATAATACTGAGCTTTATATAGATAGTCAGTTCTTTCTTGTTTATCAAATCACGAACTATCAGAGATGTAGCTATATAAGATTTGATAGAGTTTTTGGAAGGCTAATATGTGATAGAGAGATTCTTAATATTTATTGTCTGGTTTAGGCTTCTAGTGTAAGACAGCTGGAGAAGCCTGTTAACAGTGCTGTAGGCGCCTTAAAGGAAGTCATACAGTTTTAAAGACAAAAATTGCACTGCTATAGGCACAGCTGTAACTTTAACAGTTTTATTATATTCTTAAAATATAGTTTTAACATCTTTTATGGCAGTTACTAATTTCTTATCTATTATATTAATCAAAGGGCTTTTCTTGTCCTTCTTCCAAGAAAAATAGATCTGATCTGCAGCTTTTTAGGAACTATTTATCAAAAGTCTAAAAGCTTCTTTATAATCCTATTTATTTAGATATTAAGAGATCTTCTCAGGAAAGAAATTTTTAGTTTATTTTTCATTCTCCTGTGGGAAGAAGAGACCCTAGACATTGGATTGGCCGCCGAGATAATAAACAGGGCTGCTGAGAAAAGGATCAGAACCTACTGCAGTCTGAACTTTCTACTTAACAGCATTATAGATAATATTATTGTCTTGTGATAGATCCTGGACACTGCCCACCTGCCAGGGTGGTCAAGCTGTATTTAAACAATATATAGAGAAAGACAGACCGCCCTTCTTGATAATTAGGACTTTTCGGATCTTTCTCTCCTTACCTTCAACTAATCTTTGCGCTAGCACTCCGCCACCAAAACCACTGCCAACAATCACATAGTTATAGTGGTTTTGTTTGCTAAGGTAAGCGACAAGGTCAACATCACTGATAAGAGTCCATTTTCATAAACAATATATAATGTATTTATTAATCTTAGGTAAGCTTATATGGTAGCCTGACGCAGCCAGATGTGGTTTCAGTGATAGAAAAGTTATTAAATAATTTTATAATGACCAGGCCGGCTGAGTATTAGCTCGCCTTACATTAATATTGCTCTCCCAGAAGTGCACAGCGACAGGGACAAAATAGACCTTGTCACTATGACATTAATATTTATATGCTGAAGACTGCATTTGCTGTCCATAACGTACGCACAAATCCATTTACGGGAAACGGTAGGCTGGGCAACACAGGGTCGAGTTGAGGTTCTAAATCCTGGACCCTCATGAGGGTCATGGTGAGGTCTACTCCAGCTACTAATAAAAGATACAGTAGAGCTATTAAAAATTAAAAATTAAAAATAAAAGGACCTAATATATATATTTATCTTTATATATACCCCCTAGGATTCTGCAGTTTTGTCCATGGCGTGTATAGGGAACATACGGCGCGATATATATTAATAATTAAGCCAATTGTCAGAGCTGTTTTGAGAACACGACACGACTTAATTATCCACTCCATACGGATTATGCCATTGCAATAAAACATCCCGCTTCACCCTCTCTGAACTTCGATACTCCATTCCCATAACCATTGTCTCCAGCCTCCGCTCCCACAACGCACGCTTGTTCTCCACACAATCACGCCAACTCCGAAGGGTGCCGATATGGACAAAGAAATCCTTGAGTGCCCGCAAGGGTACAAGCGCAATGATAAGCGGTGTGTATAATTCCAAATAAGTCTGAATTTCCTCCTCCTCGCTGATAGGTTCCTGATATTCATATTCATATGATTGCATTTCCCTGAGATTTAGAGTAATCGTCAGCCGAGGAAGATCCGCACTGCGTCGGAGCAACTCAATCATCTCCTTATACGCCTTCAGTGCATCCCCCCGGTTTGGAGGAGAGTTAAACTGCAGGTAGCGCAGGTAGCGCATCGCATACGGCGACATAAAGGTCGCTAGGTGGACAGGCTCTAAGATAGGTGGGAAAGGGCCGATAACATCACTTGGATAGGCTTCTGTATCAAATACAACAAACCGGTTGAGTGACCAGAATATATGTGTTGCTTCTTGATAAAAGCGTCGGTTGACAAGAAAGAGAGACAAGGGGAACTTCCAGCACTTATTACACTGCGATACCCATGTTCCGCCCTTGGGGACCATTGGGCGACAGCACACGATGCGCAAGGGATCGCATAGCCGGCAACAATGCAGCCGAGGGTCCCAACGGTACTCATAGAATTCACCAAGGCTGGAAAAGCCTGAATCAGGACTCCAGGCTAAGTAACCCTCTGGTGCGACAAGTGCAGTGTGTTCAAGAATGCGGAGTTGGAGCTCTGCGGGTAGTAGATTATATTTGAAAGTTTGTTTGTGATGGTTACTGATTCGCCCAGTTATCTCCATGGATACCTCCCTTGCCATGTGGTAGAGATTAACATGGAGGCTGTTTTCTCTAGGAATATTCCAGGTGCTCCAAGGGTGTGCAAATCGCACTGAGAAGGCTGCTAGCAATGGCAGCTGTGGCAGAGGACTAAGCACTTCGGCTGCCACGTTTATGTCGTCAGTATCACAGATAAGACACATCTCAACCCGAGACTGAGCAATAGACTTGGCTAGTTTCATGCAGACGGCTTTCCACCCACTGGTCAAGTCTCGATAGCGTCGAGGAGGCATGCGGCGCAAGGGATCCCGCTGTATTTCTCTATCGCTACAATCGCACCAAGTTAGTGATGAGTCTTTATTGGCCTGGTGCAGCACAATATGCAGGTAGCTGATCATAGAAAGGGTCATCGGGCGCAGCCCCATTATAGCGCCAAAGCTGTCCGGTCCTGTATACTGAATATAAAAGCGATTATTATTATAGAAGAGGGTTGACGCCTCTCTGTAGACGTCTCGGCTGCAGCAGAAAAGAGAAACTGGGATCGGTCGGTAATAATAGCGATCTAGAATTTCATGACAGTCACAGTCGAGGTCAAAGGCAGTAGCTGTCAGGCAGCGTATGGGATCTCCATTGACATCGAGAATGTTGCGATTCTCTCGAGGGTCCCAATATAGATAGATGGGGCATTTGCGAACAACACCTGTGAGGCGGTAGATATAGCATCGGATATCGTCTGGCAGATCTAGGAAGCTACAACCATGACGAAACGGTGGGGAAAGGAACTGGACGTATTGCTCAAGTTTGGATTGATACATTTTCATATTCGTGGCGAAACCGAGCCTGGAAATAGAAGATGTCAAGTGGGGTACTGAGGTGCACCATAATCTTGTGCTTAGCGGCGGCCTATACCCTGCATACCCTAGCACGTTATAATGTCCTTAATTAAATAACCGAGGGAGCGCTAACTAGGGTTAATAGGAATAATTGGCGGTATCTATAGGACAGTATAGGTGGCATTGAAACCAACAAAATATAAGCATATTACCATACAAACATTACTTTTGATAATACTAGGGATAACTTTGGAGGCTTTCCTCTCCTATTTAGCAACAAAACAAGATAAATTATAGTCTACAGTATATTGAGAAGGCACATCCCTTTATATATAGATAAAACTCTCAGAAAAGAGCTTCAAGATCAGGCTGGGAGGATCTAGCTCCAGCTTTAAGAAATATCTATTTTAGATTTATTTTTGTTATGAGTCTATACGAGACACGTTATCACCTAGCAGGCTTGGCCGGATCACTAACTCTTCTGCCCCTGAAGGCTTTATCTATTGGTAGTGGAGAGAGAAGAGAAGAAGCGCAAAAGATAGTTGATATAGTCGTCCATAGAATAGAGCACCTATCGAAATGGCATCCGGTCCTCAGTAGGCTACGTACGTGTAGCTGATACAGCCTCATCCAGCCCATCTTTCCCCTGAGATCACAACAATTTTGGGTCATCATCTACCGTACCTGATCACCTGACGACCGGCCCCACCTGACGACCGATTTTATACCTGACAACCAACTCAGAAATGAAGCCATAGAGCCACGTACAATCAAAATTATAGAGAGATATCTTGGAGTTTTGATACTAATGCCAAAATAAGATTATATAGAAATTTTAAAGATCCCGAAAGCGCTGCGGAAGCCGGATTTGCCTTCCCCGACAATTTATAGCTATACAGGCCTCTCTAATAGAACTAGCAGCCAGAGTATTAGTAGATGTCTGATTCTGTGCTGTAGAAGTAGTAGAAGCCTTTATCTTATTCTTCTTGGCTGTTTTGATATTATTCTGAAGCTATATCTTAGTATTCTTAGCTAATTACTTTTTCTTCTTTTAATACTTCTTTTACTCTGCTACTTGAATATATAGTTCTTGCTTAGAGACTCTAATCTTCTTTCTTTGCTTAATCAAAAGCTGCTTATCTTTTTTCTCCTGCTGCTTATAGAGCTTTTCTTGTTGCTTTAAGGTCTTAGCAAGCTGTATTACCTTCTTCTTTTCTTTCTAAAGGTCTCAAGCTTGTTGAATCTTTTTTAGAGAATAAAACACTGCATAATCATCTTTAGATATATATAATTTAAATATAAGAGATTTCCTATACTGGCGCTTCTTCTTCTTATTCTGGAGAGCTATCTTAAGGCCTTGGCAATGTAGTTTAAGCAGGATATTCTCTGTAGAGAGATAATATATTGTAGAACTCAATTTTTTGGTGTTTTGATCAAAGATATCAGTAACAGTCTATTTAAGAAGCCTTTCAATTCTTTTCCAGTCTTCTGTATCTAGAACTGAATGTGAGAACTTGCTAAAGGAAGATCTATAGTTCTCTTCTTTAGTAAATCAGGCCAATATAATCTCAGGATTCCAAGGCTATAGACCAATAGATTTCCATGTGCTCTTAATATTTTTAACTGATAAGGCCTTATTTTAACTCAGCCAGAATAGTCTGAAGAAATCTTGCTTGGTAATATGGCTTAGGTCCTGACTGGCATGTAAATAGCTCTCCAGTTCATTACTATAAGCTATAGAAAGAGGCCCAAAGATACTGATATCAAGCAGCTGCAAGGAGTGTATAGAATAAGATAAATAGATTATTAGAAGGATCTTATTATTATTATAGAAGTCAATAAACTTTTTAGTGATATAAGATCTATAGCTATCAAGAATTAGAAGTCTTTAATATCTTCTAGCCTTATCTTTTGTCTCTTGATTAAAAATATCTTTAAGCCAAGCGTACCCTAGCTTATTATTAGTCCAGTCAGTTAAAGAAGAGGCGAAAAAACACTGATAATCTATAGCTTTAAAATCTTGAAGCCAGGAATCCTGTAACTTGCCAGAAACTGCTTAATATATTAAGCCAGGAGATAGTGAGCTTCTGTCCGCGTAGATACAGGCAATTATAGTAATCCACTTTCAGTTATTATCTTGTAAGTGTTATTTAAGGCTATTCTTCTTATACTGTTATTTAGAAAAAATCCTTTTGCCTTTAGAAAGCACCCTGATAAGGAATCCTTTCTTATCTATATTGTATATATTCTCTGGCTGTATCTCATATTCTTGCATCTTTCTAGCCAGAAGCTCAAAGTATAAAGCATATTTAAATACAGTATCAGCTCTATGGCATGCAGAATTAATATCAGTAGTATAGCAAGATAAAAGAATATCTTGATATATCTTTATAAAGCGGCTTGGCCAGTGTTTTCCTGGCTTAATTCCAGTAATTTCTCCAGCAAAATTTCGAAGCATCTCATGTATAGGATATAAGCCACGCTTAGTAAGCTTATTTATATATTTAATAAGCTCCTTAGCTTACTGGTTGTTGAGAATATGTTGCTTTTTATACTGACTATATTTTGTGCCTTGTACGCCACGGTAATGTCTCGATAGAGTTGTTCGGCTCATGCCATGAGCCTGAGTAATTTTAGTAAAATTGATCGATTCTCCTGGCTTTAAGGATTCTATTTCTGCAAGCGCTGCCTCGATAGAGCCCATTTTGAATGAGATATGATGATTTAAAACTACGTTGAAAAAGTCAGTGTATATAGAAAATCGGTCGCCAGGTGGGGCCGGTCGTCAGGTGATCAGGTACGGTATCTGGACTTGAATTAGGTATGTCTCTTAAATACAGTAGTAGATATTGTGACTGTTTATATTTCCTAATTTTCAACAACTCGGTTGTATGTTTTATTAGCAGCTAGAGCCCTCTTTTGTAGTATATCTTCTCTTTCATTTTTGTATCTTGCTGGTACTCTCTAGTAGAATGTTACAGACCCTTGTCTAGCGCACCTTATCGAAGGCGGACACGAAAGGCAGAATATCATAGGATGACGATAGCCGGCTACGGGACGGCTAGCACATAAAGGTAATTCCTTATGTAATTTTGGTATTTTTTTGATTAAACACTAATCTACGGCAGTTGTGACATCATGTAACTTTCGTAATTTTCCAGGATAGGTAGAAGACTGTAGAGGATGCTGTGCTTGGGATTTATTTATTTTGTCGATCGTTAAGATCCGCCTAGAACTCTCGAGCCGCATGGGGATTTACCAGATCAACATTTCATGTCATAATGAGTCCAGCTTTGTGGGCCTGTGTAAGTTACTAAAGTAAGCCTTTGTCCATGGGTATTCTTTTCCTACAAGAGTAAAGCGAATTTTACTAGCTGAACCTATAGCGCATATCACCCTAGGCCAATGTAACTTAGATAAAACAAGCTAAAATGACAGCCCGATTATATTCCTGCATAATATCTAGACCCAGGGCTTTCCAGTAACTACACGCCGCCTTTCATAAATAAATTACACTAGTGGGATACTCAATAGGGTGGTCATTCTCAACTGTCTTACCAGTGACCTGACTAGTGTCAAACACATTGTTCATACATAGCCTATCTATTTGGATATCCAAGGTAGGCTGACCGTTGGGACGGGATAATCCCAGGGATTTCGGGATGGGATGGGATTTTGGGATCAGAATAATATTATGATGACTCTAATTGGTGTACATTTGGAAAAATAATATGTATGGATGCATAAACCGGGCCAGGTAAATCTTCAAGCACATAAAACTTTCAATCCAGAATATTGAAGATGTTAGAATAACCTCGATACCATGCATGGGGTCCTTGAACTAGTAGATACCGGGAATGATACGGCTGCGAACAATGGATGTATAACGCTTCCAGTCGGCGCCATATTTCTTCTTGCACTTTTCTTCGTCGCGTCTTTCGCGGTGAATGAGCAGAATACCGAAATAAAGCATGAAGAAGTAAGTAAAAATCATTCCCCATCCGCAGACTTCGGGTGTCTGTATGGCCTGCTTCTCTACATTGCCAACGCTGTTGATGCTTTCAATTATAGTGTAGCCAGCAACCCCGGTGGGCAATGAATATGACCACGACATTAGCCAGTCGCCCAAGTAATTGATATGGCGTGCCAATCCCCACCAGCCGGAAACCATCAGCTTAGAGCCACTAGATGTCTGAATGTATTTGATATGCTTCACGCGTGGGTCGTTGGGGTCCGTACGGAAACGGTTCTTCTGGTTGTTGGCGCCGCGGAAAATCGAGTAACCCACACCGGTTACGGTCAAGATCAACAGGATACTTTTCAAGCCCAGTTCCAAAGGGAAAACCGCAAGGTACCTGGTTTGGAAATTGTAGACGAAGGGTACCCACACCAGGTGCCCAAAAGAGAGCATATAACCGAATCCATCCATAATCACATCCATCGTGGTTAATACGGCTGGCTCCATATACAGCCCATCCAGAACATAGAAGGCTTGGAATACGGTAGAGAGCACTATAGAGTTTGTGATGTAGCCGTACGTTCTGTATTGGCGGGCAATATTGGACAAGTTCAATATAATCCACCCAAGCAGTCCTGGTCTCATCTCACACCATACATTGATATCAATCGTTCGTGAGGCCTCGTCGACAAAAGGAATAGGTAATCGCACCCGTGGGTTCAGCTCGCGGCCGATGAAGAAATCATACAGAACATTTCCGGTTTGGCCACCTGGTGCCAATTCTCGCAGCTCGGGGTTGAGCTGACCAGGCGCAGGGACTGAGAAACTTCTCGCATAAACGAAGACGGCGATGGCCGTGCAAATCATTAAGTTTGCCGTGATGACCTGCAAGTACTTATCCCAGAGAAAAGTCCATATGATAAAGTCAGCACCATACATGTATGTGCCCAGAGCTAAACCACAGAGGATCAAAACGGCGGAAGGAAAGGCTGGAATTCGGTCAGTAAATACCATATAAATAACAATTCCCGGTCTATACCATTGAACTTGTAGCGAAGCCTTCCCTTACAGGCCAATTCCGTGCCCTCGACCACCTCGCCTGGTAGAAACACGTATAGAACTAGACAGAGTAGATAATAGCTCAACACCCACAGGGTTACCCAAATGTCAAAGAATGCTTTAAGACCGTCTTGTGGCCAACCAACCTCGTCCTTTAACTTGTCTAGGGATAATGTCGACGGATTGAGCAATGACGGAGCAGGACAGCCAGACACATCGTTACATAGAAAGGTGAAGCTGTAGATAAGAGTTGAGAGGCCGAATATGAATATAAACGCGCCGAGACTGTTGCAAGTCAATTCTGGGTTTCATACATGCGACGAGTAGATAACATACGGGCGACCAAACTCATAGTCCCGCTTTTCCGGAGCTGGCCGAACTGGGACCTTAGCTTTGGGATCCTTCCTCGGCGCCATGATGTGATCGAAATTGGACGGGATATCTGTCAACAAAAGGAAGCATTGGGGTGACGCAAAGTGACGAAAGTCGTCGCTAAGCCGTGCGTACCTCAGAGAACCTACCGAGGGGACAGAAAAAAAGAAAGGATGCTGTGAAAGTCTCAATGGCTCTGGAACCGAGAGTTTATAAATTGTATACAGACAGGAGTGCACGGAGAGGATTCAAAAAGACGAGCTAGTGGTCCGAGTCGGAAGATCAGTAAGCCGACGGGAGCCGCGGACACCTTTGCTTCTCCTACCACTTAAGCAAGGTATATTCCATAGGCTAGGTGGTGTGCGGATACAGGCTGTCAACGCGAAAGGGATCGGGCTGACCCACTATTAGGCAACAAGTGTCTGAGCCATTCTTCAGGGCCCGCAAGCTTGTCTTGAACTACACCGATAGCTTACCGTGTATTGGGGAACTCCTCGGGAATGCTTCGCGTACCAAGTCAACAAATATGCCGTTCCTTTGTGACTGCGATGCTCTGGCATGTCAGATAATCGCTTCGTTTATCAGTACTATGGATTAGTGTACCTACTTCTTCGAAGTCCTATATTACATACACCTATATTTTCGGCTAGTGCCTTAACAGGTCGGATAGGCCCGTTTAAACGCCGAAGTGGACCTAACAGTCATGTGACCATGGTAATGCGGCACCTGGCTTGTACCACATCAAGTATTAATTACAATCCTATCTGACCCTTTCATACCCAGAACCACGCAGTTTCTAAACGGTTGTTAAGTAGTTTCTTAGCAGTTATATGCTAGATATCAATTATTTATGTATTATTGTCATGTTATCTATTGTAGCCTTGCCTGTCTTTCTATAAGCTCTAATTCTTTTTCCTCATTTTTAAGCTGTTTTTCACGGATCTCCTCTTCATCCTTTCTAAGCCGTATTTCTTGTTTTATAAGCTTAATCTCCAGTCATTTCAGCTCAAGTGCTTGATGTTGTTGCTCAAATGATAATACATTTTGTGATGAAACATGGTGGATACTGTGAGCAGAAGATACAGACCTTACTAGTTTCAATTGATCAGTAACTGGTTATTAGCTAGTTATAATTGGTTATATATACCGTCGGGATCGGCTTGATTGGGATCGAGATCACTCAGGTATTAGATCTTCTTATGAAAGCGAGGATTGGTGAGTAGAAGATGAACGCTGGTATTTTCGAGACTCTAATTACAAAGTGGTTTGTAAATAGTTAAAAAACAGTTGGAACAAAGATATATATATTTATTTTCCTGAGCTATATCTTAAATAGTTTATCTCCATGTTTGCTGTTCGATAATGATGAATATTAAAATTAGTGCGATTTATATTTTGAATAATATCCTGCTTATCCAGCTTTGCAGAACTAAAAAGAATATTTTCAGTAACCAGTTTCCAATCGGTTATTAATTACTTAACAAGTACTTACTACTGAATTGCTGCTGTAAGTGTCAATTGCCTTCCTGCTGCATTGGCCTTATGATGAGACTGTTCAGTAGAATTAGTATGATTCTGAATTGAATCATACTTGTAGGTAAGCTGACCGTTGGGACGGGATAATCCCAGGGACTTCGGGATGGGATGGGATTTTGGGATTTTGGGATGGGACGGGATTCCCATTTCCCATCCCAAAATCCCAAAATAATGCCAAGACAAATATGGGAATTCCGTTTTTAAGATTAATCCGGATGGGAATTCCCATCTCATTTTAAAATTGGGATTAGAATTCCCATTTTGTGTGGATTTTGGGATTGGGATTCCCGTTCTAGCCCTATGTTTGGGATGTGATGGGAAACGGGATGGGAAATGGGATACCAAGAATGGGATGGGATAAGATGGGAAATTCCCATTCCCGTCCCATCCCATCCCAATGGTCAGCCTACATATAGGCTAGAATATTAGAGCAATTTTTATTAAGCCCAGCCTTAATAACAGGGGTCTTTTTATGTTCCGCCTACTCTTAAACCTTTTTATTCTCGTGTTCTAAGTAGTTAATATTCAGTCATTAACCAGTTTGAAGGTACTTACCAATTAATAAATCATATACGTAATTATCTTCTGATTTGCAATCAATTAAGCCAGTCATTTGACTTCATATACCTGAACTTTTATTTTGGCTCCCAACTGCTTCAGTAATTGTACGAAAAAAGTGAACCTGGCAAAATATAATAATTCCTTGTAACTGCTAGAGTATCGGTCGGTGAAGAGGGTTAATTTCATGAAGATATTGACCAAGTCCTAAGTAGTTAGTAAGTGGTTTATGAGTACTTCATAACTAGTTACATACCGGTGTATTGCTTTGTATCCATGTCAACAACTATTCCATAAATTCCATTAGAATGAATAGAATTAAATTCAACAGGCTGGCCAGTTATCTTTTATACATTAGGGTTACATTACCCTGTTAAATAAAAGATAATAGCCTTCTGTTGTTTCCTGATCAGTAAAAGCCCGCAAAAGTATAATGACTATAATTAATGGTTAGTAAGTACTTGATAAGCGATTAACAAGTGCTTACCTTTTCCATGCTTAGGTAGATAGGTTACAAATATAACCTCCTTATTGTACCACAAATGATGTAAAGGATTACTCCCGGGAATAGCAATTCGATACGTAGGATCTTTCCACTAGGTAAAAAGATCCACTATGATCAACTCCGATCGGAGTTGATCTCCCAGGCGCGGTATATATAGTATTGCAACTTGTTATCCTGCCTTAAGCCTAAGGTGTAACCGTGACAAATGACACCTTCAGCCAGTTAACTGTTAAAGACCATCCTGATACAGATATCTAATGCACGACCGCTTTGTTCATCCCACATCTTTACCAAAGTTGGCGTTCCGTTCGTGTTTACATATCCCTCAATCCTAAAGGATAAGTTCATCAGAGTTAATCTCTTATGTAAATTAGGCTTCACGTACCAGCTATTTTGTTCGCCTCGGATACACTCAAGGCGGATTGTCCCATCACCAACATGGTCTGCCCTCTGTATATGTCCCACGTAAGTCCCATGATTCAATCTTCTCCCCTTGTTATCTCCATACATCCCGTAATGGATCAAAATTGCACCACTTCCTCGCATAAGCAGGTCGGGAAAGATCAGAGTAGAAGCCCCTAGTAACCCTGACGGCTCATCCGAAGGAACGTAGCCGGCGTAGACATACATTAGGACGACAGGTGACTATTTATTAGCCAACTGAAATTAATATCAGAGCAGCTTTGTAAGAAGGTCAGGCATACTTACACAAGGATATTTGTTTTCTAAGGGACTGAGTAAGAATGGAATTCCAGCTTAGAGCAAAAGACAGAGGTCCCTACATATTGATATAGTTTTCCCTTCGCAATGGAAGAGTCTTATTTCTAGCATCATAAAACCTAAATCTAAAATCATATGTCAGGCAATATCACCTAGAGGCCCAAACGCTTTCTTATGTTGCCCATTGGTCGATTACGATGCTGAGCCCCAGCACGTTCAGCTACTCCACTGACTTTGTAGGTACCCTATGCGAGGTGGATGCCAGAAACGTAGCGCAACTTTGAGACGGCGAATGAGTCGATTGCCTCGTTATTTATGATGTCTTCAAATGTTTGAGGCTATATGATGTTATAGCTTAAGCTAACAAGTCGAGTCGTATCGTTATACATTTTAGCCATTGGAGAGCTGATAGCAATAAGAGAGGCGACATAGGAGATCCTTCATGAAGGGATACGTATGCTCAGCTCTGTGTATGACCAAAAGGCAGTGGACAAGATCCCCCGGGGCGCCCGTCACAGGTAGCTGGAGCTATTGTCGAGCTACGACCCGCCTGGATTTTATTAAACGCCCGCAGCCGTATTAGGATAGATAGACCTAATTGATCATGTATCTTGGAGTGCCAAGCCGCTAATAAGGATATAGTCCCACAGCCAAGGGACAGCCTTGGTCATGCTGTTAAAGTTCACAGATATAGCCGAGAGTATAATTGGTGGTAATCCCTTTTGATGGATTATTTATTCATAGGCATACTCGGAAGGCACTATAGCTGCATGACGGCTTCTACCATTACTCAGCCTAAATGAACGCCCAAGAGACATCAGCCAGCCATGGATCTTACGGCCATATTGAATAGGAGACTAAGCGACCGGGGCTGCCGGTCTGCAGCTACTGGGTGTCAACCTACCTGCGCCACTACACGAGCAGCAGACCAATCCAGTACACTCGTGGCTTCACAGTGATACTTTCAACGACCGCCTGATTGGTGGAGAATTGATGCTCTCATTTGTAGACATATCCAAAAGTGGGGAGTGGTGTTATTGCATTTAGCTATGTGCTGCCACTGTCCTTTTCTTAGACCTTCTGCTGGTCTGGCCAGCTGAGCCTGTAATATGCTGGGAGCTGGCTGGCTGGGCGAGGCAACATGGCAGCCCATATCTCATAGCCTTGGCAGATTATAACTTGATAGTAGCCCGGGCGCCTGTGACTGTCATGGTATATATTAAGAAGTGTGGTTATTAGTAGAACATGCATGTCTTCTTTCCCTCTTGGTATCAACAGTTCAATACTAAAAATATTGATTATAAGAGTCAGATTGACAGCTTGAGCTAATAATATCTAAATTCTAATTTCCTCTATACCTTATCTCTTGTTATCTTTATATTCCCTCTATTCATTTACTTTATTGAACTTTTCCCAGATTTATATTAGATATTATAGCTTCTAAATCAATCCTTCAGCTCTGGCTTTTTCTATTTATATCTGCGGCCCTAGCGGATACAATACCTCCTGACTCAGACAATACATATTTTACCTCTAACAATGCCTTATCGGACGAGAATTATAAGGCCTGTTGCCCTGGCCTGGCTAACTTGCCCCAAAATGGCACGGGCTCTGTCGACGGCGCTCAACTCACCTACCAGTGTGGCCACGTCCCAGTTCATCCGGCAAGAGAGTAAACGGCAGTGTTAGCAGTGTACAAGATTGCGTAGCTCACTATGCGGAGGATACTACCTGCGTGGCAGGGGCATGGAGTCCTGGGTCTGATGGCTAATGCTATCTGGCGACCAGGATGAACAGCACAAGGCTAGCGAGGCTAGGGCATCGCTGGGTGCTGCTGGAAACTGCTCTACAAAAATGCAATAGAGATAATGAGGCCTGCCAGACTGCGAGGAAAGCCTGCGATGCTGGCCGTGCAGGGTGCTGGCGGCGCCAGACCGACACGCAGGCCAAGCTGGCTGAGTGTAACCTGGAGAAAGTCCAGGACGCCAAGCAGCTATCGAAAGTGTTCGTATGGAAAACGCAGTTACTGTCAATTCGATTAGCTTTATGGCCACCTATGGGAAACTGATCAGTGGGGGGCAATATTATCGGAACGGTCTTTCAGGCATGGGCATAGCGTACTGCTTGACACAGTGCGCAGAGGAAGCTAAGTGCTAAGGCATTAACATATATATCGGCTCGATCTATAGGGTTCAGTGTACTTTCTTTTCTTACTACTAATATCTTCCGACACAATGGGCTGAAAATGCTCTTGCCGTAGTTCCTATACGCCCTAGATAACTGACTTAGTCATTGTCACTTACAAGAGTGACAAATTCACTGGGATTTGTGTTGTCTGTACATAGCTTGCTATTTCCCCTTTCACGCCTCACGTCCCCCACAACACTTCCTTCTCTTTCCCCTCACACTTGAAGTTCTAGATAAGATAACACAAATATCATCATCTTAATCAGCCGTCACTGTTGACTTAACCTATAACGTGGCCACGGGGCGCTGCGAGATGACAGAGAACCTCTGCCAACCTGGCCAATACTGGAATGGTGCCGTGTGTATAACAGCATAGTCTATCCATGTGCCCCCACGGTTACCTTCAGTATAGGTAACGGGGCCTGTGAATAGCGCCTTACTCCACGTCTTCCTGTCAGGACTCTGAGACAAGGCTGTGTTTAGCTCTATCCTTAGTATTATGCTTCTCTGTCATAGGTTTTGCAAATTTATTTTATTCAACTCCTGCATGTAGCCAGCATAAGAACAACATCATCTGTACAATCCAGTATAGAGTTTCCATAATAAATACGATCCTGATGAGTTATTTATATATAACGTCGAATTGTATAGAGGGCGAACACGTAGGCCTATGGCTGCAAAGCTAAGGCCCTGCGATCGATTACCAAGATATTAAGCCGGTGAATACCGTTCCACTGTATGTCGTACACGCGGCTGTCCATATTGCTGCTGATAACCCGAATGTCCTCTGCTACATTCCGATCCCTGCAATCCGGAATCCAACCCGTTCGACGCCTCAGAAGACTCACCAAACCAGCTCAAACCCTTAAGCTTGGTACTATACCGAACCTGAAGCGAACCCTTCATCCTCCCCAGTAAATGCTTCACGAAGTCACTCCACAGAAGATGGTCCTTCTGCTTTAATTTTATTAAAAGTTTGTCCTCTTCAGATAAGACGGCAACACGCTTGCCGGTGACACAACCAGAGGGTCTACAGTTACTGTGTGCCTTGTGCCTACTCTGGAAACCATCATCTTGATCCTCTGAAGGGCTCCTTGTTGACTTATTTGAGAGAAGAAGATCTGTCGTTCTATCTCCAAAGGTAAAGGAATAGACCACGCGAGGTAGGAGCACCTGGCGCGTTAAATAATCCCTAACAGGAATAGTCTCAATAGCCTGAAGTCCAGTTGTTTGACAGTGATGCCGAGGTTCGTCAAAGTGGATGGTTTCCTGTTGTATAGTTTCTCGTGTGTTATGGTGTACTTGGCCTATCCTTTACCTCACGGTGACCCCTCATCGCCGTCGCTTCCGGGGACGCGGCAAAGTGTCCCTGTCATCATTATCTTCATTTCCGTCAGCCTAATCTTTGTCACCATGATCATCACTACCGATATCGCTCGGAGATACGGGATGTCTCTTCCTTTTATCCATGCTTGATGTCTATAAGCTGGTCTTCGTCTGCTCAGCGCCTACTATAATTGAGGGGCGTTCCGGTACAACAACAGAGACGGAATACGAGCGAGACGGACTTTTCAATGATTCTGCAACCCCGACACTGATACTGCGCATGCCTCGGGTTGTCCAAGGGCGTATGAGGTGCGGTGTCATCGATGCTGCATCATCGACTGGTGGAGGGTTGTCTGAGCCCCATCTTCATCCCTCGGTGTACCATGCTCATTATGAAGGCTCTGTTGACGTTCAGCCAGCGCCAGTATCGAATGTTCTTCTACTGTAGCTGAGCAACCGATCGCCTGAAAGCTGTTCGCGGTCGGAGTGGTCGCGTTTTCATGACGAGATAAAGACTCGGATTCGGCAGTATCTGTCGTAACATTATCTGTCGACGAATTACAGAATTCAGCGGAATTGTAGTCGCCTTTCGGATCTGACGTAGACAGTCCTGTTTAAGCACATGGGACTGGAGCACAAGCAATGCTTAACGGAAGGACTCCACCCTCAAGTACACAATTGCTGGACTCAGCATCCACGGACGCTGTATATGTCGATGAAAGCTCAGAATTGATCGGATCTGGTGGAGATGTTCCCTCTACATCGTGAGTAAGATGGACCTGCGCGGGACTAACCCGCGGACTATCTCCAATCCGTCCTTTTGTTACGTTCGCTAAGGAATCTGAGTAGCAGTTACGTCAGCCATCTTGGATGGAAGATCATATTGACAAAGCTGGACAGGATACAAAAAGGGTATGGCTCCTTTCCCTAAGACAACAAGTGGGGCAATTTCCTTACTGGTGCTTAGTCTAACTGATTGCCCCATTACAACATTACCTCCACTGTCACCTTACTAGTATTTGTCGTTGTCCATGGATGGATTGAGACAGGGCTGGCCTTTGAAGGTCGTCGAGTCAAATTTGGTAAACCCTTTATCAAAATCATTTGTCTCGGTTGTATGCTGTATATCAATACTGGACGCAGGGACTGGAGGGACATCGGTGAATTGCAGTCCATAAGAACGGTATAGTGCAGATGAAGAAGGATTTTGAAGGGCAGGAGAGGCAGACTGTGAAAAAGGATGACGGGGAGGCAGTAGCAGAGGGTGAGATGATAGAAAATGAATGTGACGTTGGAGGTGCTGGTAAGGGGAAGTTTGAAGGCTCGGACCGAAATCGGCGAGCTATCATGAACATGCATTTGATATATGCGCCCATCAACACGGTAGGCCAATTGTCTTAGGTATTAGCAGTCGATTGTAAGATAAATGCCGGAAGCCAACGATGTAAATTCAGTGCGGAGTCAAATCTCTCTCATTCATCCCAGCCCCTTGCTAACTAACCTAAGCTATCGTTGCCAATATGCGAAGGATTTAAGCAATGAAGACATTCATAGCTGCCAAAAAACATTAAGAAAGAAAGAAAGCCGTACAATGGCCACAAGACATGCTCAAGCTCTACGATCAGACCTGCGAAGGCCGAATGAAGTTCTCCAATCTTCGGAAGACATAAAGGCATCGAGAAACCTGCAGGCCCTATTAGCTGGATGAGGCTTCCAGTCGCCCTGCTCCAATGACTGTGAGTTCAAGAAAAGCGGCGCTTGTTAAATACCTGTGGCTATAATGTGGCCCGAACCGCCTCCTCTCCGGGACAGCCTCACAAGACACCTTCGCCTTCATTAGAAGGATTTCGGTCTGAAAATCCTTCCCATCCGACTTTCCGCGTTTTCTCAAGCATGGACATATGACGATTTGCACCTCCCGATTGACTGATGTAGCAGATATTTTTTCGCCTTCTCTTAGGTTCATTGTATCAGGGTCAAATGAGACCATATCATCTATCGTGGGGAATTCCCATTTAACCTGCGCAACCTGTCGGCTGATATCTGTATCCAGCGCTATAGCATTCTCGAGTATGTGGCGAAGCTGGTGTAACAGCGAGGAGTCATAGGAACAACAATACGGTTCAATTATGTCACATATATCTTCAACCAGCTTGTCTTTCTTTAAATCAGGATGCTCGTCAATGCCCCTGGTGTCTTGCGATAGGTTGTGGGCCTCTATAACGAGTTCTGTTGTGGTGGCGGCCCACATTTGGACCTTTCGTATGTCCTCTGGTTTGGAAGAAGAGCCTGTGTTTGGCCATCGGCATCAAAGATTAGACTTGAACTTTCTGACTTTCCCAGAGCACTTACGCTTCTTGACAAAGTTCACTACTCTCGATAGGGTTTTTTGGATCCTAATAGCCCACCAGTAATTGTTGAAAACTTCACCAACAATTACTCTCCAGAGAAAAGCTTCAATGATCATCGGCCGCATTTCTGATACATCGAGATAGTCTTGGAAAGCATGTGACGTTCGCGTGGTCGGTTCCATATAGTTTCGCCAAAAGGCCGGATTCAAATTGCCCTTGTTTGGGCCGTTGAAGGTATCCCCATCATAGTGCTGGATGGCGAAGTTACGGATTTCCTGTCGCAAATGTTCGACTTGGCTGATTAAGTAACTGTCGGTCACGAGAGGAAAGGGTTGGCTCTGTGAGATGAGCTTATTATTTTCGATGAGAGCTTGCTTGTACTTTTTCTGTTGCACACGTGAGCTTTCTTCTGCATTCTTCAGTTTCTGCTGTTCCACCTGGAGCTCATTTCGTAACTTTTTGATCTCCTCGGCCAAGCGCTCTTCTCGTTCCTTCACTTGGGCTTGCAGCTGTGTATTTCGTTACTACTGCATGGATCTAGTGGCTCCGAACGTCTCAAGTTCGGCGTGAATGGGTTGCTTGATTATACACTCACCTCATCTCGGGATTGTGTTACTTGATTTGAGTCTTTTGGCGCTCTTTCAACAATGTGAGGTATTGGCCGCTCAAAGCTGACGCCGAAGCGGCCCTGCTCACCAGCCTCATCTCGACGAGGGCCTGGGCTCTGCGCCGGTAGTGGGGGGCGTTCAGTGGGAATGGAAACACCACGGAGGGATTCATCATCGTTGGAGTCTATCACCATTGTCTCAGGTTCGTGATTCAGTGGATGTGGTGCTTGCGGTGACATGAAAGCCGTATTGCTTCTGAAGAACTACTCAGAGACGAGGCGTGTTCAGGTATAAACCAACAGTAACTAGAAGGGAGTGAAGAAAAGGAAAAAAGGAACTTGGGATCTAAATGCTGGGCATGGCAACAGACGCTGAGCGTGGTAGCTAGAAATGGCTGCCTATTCTCGGTGCTTCCCAGCCGCAACTTACGAGAAGAAATCACGACAAATGCAAGGCTTTGCCTCACGAAGGCTGTAAATAAGCTGGAAGTTGATAGTATCTCCGAGGAGTTGAGGCTTGGCAAGGCACTATTAGGACTTTCTAACCCAACCTTTCCGCTCGGATGTGCCATGGAATTAAGTATATATGTGTCATCTGTCCAATAGCAATAGTGGACCATGATGCTTGTATTTATTTAGCGCCGTACCCAACATGAATTATACGAATCTGGTGCCTCGCATGAGCTGCCACTCACCAGATGGGTGCTACATCCTTGTAAGTTCCTGTGTAAATGGACTATGTGACTGATGCATTGATGGCTTCGTACGGCTTTCTTCGAATGTTGCCCGCACCTTGGCCCTCAGCCTTGCAGATAGCTAATGGGTTTTTACTGGACAGAAATTTACGGTATGCTCCGAGGCTTTCTTGTGCTAATCCTTCATGTCAGCCGGCCTCGTATTGATTTTTTCGGGCGGCTAGCTAAATAAATCAACTACGTGCGGTTGTCTAGCCCGAAGCTAGCCCCGCGTGAAGTATTGGGGGCTGAACATCGGAACGAACAGGATTGTCTATAGACAAACAAGACAGGGAGCTCTCGCATATAGCGGCACCCAAAGGCTGACAACGCGGCGCACTGAGCCGTTTCCAGGATGCCGTACGAGGCTGTAACGTGCGGGATAGTTGTGCAAGGCTGTCGTCTAAGAGAGCGGAAATTCGCTCTGGAAGACGCTTATATAGGACTGAGATTGAGTTCATATCATCAGTAGCCTCTGCCTTTGCCTAGCTACCTCCCTCCGGAGTTATACGATCATATGTTACATTCTTGTTACACTGTTACTCAGTTGCCTTTATTTAGTAGACCACGAGCTTGAACTCAAGTTTCTCTGGCGAGAATGTCTCCAAACAGGGCACAAAGAGACATATCTACGCTTTTTGGGCATGTTGACCTAAATAGCGACCATGAGGAGTATAATGACGATGACGATGTCATGGTAATCGGTATAGACTTTGGAACCACGTGAGTATAGAGCCACCTCACAAAACCCCAACTCCCAAATCCTATACAGAAGCAAATCCTCACATGTATCTCGATTAGGTTCTCCGGTGCTGCATGGGCAACGAGAGCCGACTTTGAAAGTGGACAGGTCAACCTTATCACGGCCTGGCCGAATAGCGGTCGAGAGGAGGGCAAGGCACCAACCGAACTATTCTACGAAAATGGTCAAACTATGTGGGGGTACGAGGTTCCTCTCGACTCCGACCCGGTACGTTGGTTTAAGCTGCTACTTCTCAAGGATGAAGATATGGAAAAGGAAACAAGATCTTCCGATTTTGTTATTCTTGGACGGAATATGCTTCGTGAAACCGGCCGTAGTGCTGTCGAACTGATCAGCGAGTATCTTCGATTGCTCTGGGCGCATACCATCCAGAGCATTTCCAAATCTCGTGGAGAAGAACTTTTGGAGGTCCTCCGGTTCCATGTGGTTATTACTGTACCGGCAATCTGGCAGGGATACGCCCGACAAGGCATGCAAGAGGCTGTGAAAAAGGCTGGCATTTTGGCCCATCGACCAGCGGGTGAGACGAAGTTAACATTTGTCCCCGAGCCGGAGGCTGCTGCTCTGGCTACGTTGAGCGAACCTGGCCGTCAGATCTCGCCGGGAGATGTATATGTCATCTGTGATGCAGGCGGCGGAACAGTGGTACGTATTAAACGTATATTTCGACAAACGGTACTGCGGAGCTAATCTAACGCAGGATCTGATTAGCTATAAAGTGACAGATATAGATCCCATTGCAATGGACGAGGCTGTTGAGGGAACAGGTACGCATTTTCTCTCAAGACTAGGCGCAGTCGTTATGGCCACGGGGCTAAACCGTTGCTGGAATCTAGGGGGTCTATGCGGCGGCATATTTATCGACGAAGCATTCAAGTATATGTGTAAAAGGCGACTGGGGCGACGTTGGGATCATCTGAGCAAGGCTGGCATCAACGAGATACTAAGAGGAGAATGGGAACAAGGAATCAAGCGTCAATATAAACCACAGGCCGGTAACAAGGAGTATATTGTCAGCATCCCAGCGGAGGCATTCGGAAAGGGCCGTATTGATGATGACTCGGTGGAGCCACATATCAAGAAGGGTCGAATTCATTTCAAAGGGTAGGCTATTTAGTATCGGATGAATCTTCTAATCACTTGCTGACTCTAAGACTTTAGGCCGCACATCCAGAGTACCTTCAAGGAGTCTTTTGCTGGGATTGAGAAGCTCATCGATGGACAAATTGCCAGCGCGCGACAGAAGAGCTTACGTGTCAAGGTCTGTCTTCGAGCATTCGAACACGTATCCGCGCTTACCAGATCTAGGGGATTATTCTTGTTGGAGGCTTGGGATCCAGCCCATATCTATACGAACATCTAAAAGCTCGATATGATGGTGCCCGAATCACCATTCTCCAATCGGGGGGCATGATGCCGTAAGTCCCAATGCAGATCATACCCTACAGTGACCTATAATTATTTAGCTAATTCTCACGGTCGCGTAATATAGACGTACTGCAATCTGTCGGGGGGCTATCTACAAAGGATTCCTTACCGAAAGTAACATAGACAGCGCCAACCGTGATGGACCGACAGCAGGCCTTGACATCAAATCTCCAATCAGTGTGGGATCGACCATCTCCCGGCTTAGTATGGGTGTTTCGTATATGACTGCGTTTGATGATGACGTGCACCTTGAGGAGGATAAAACCTGGGACACTGACGAGCTGGTTTACAAGGCCGACAAACAGATGGCCTGGTTTATCCGTCGGGTTCGTCAAGCCCTTTCTGTTATTTGAAGTTGCGACTAAGGCTAACCTTCAGAACTTCACATAAAGGGTGAGAACGTTTCTACCACTGAGCCGGTGAAGCATGGCTACTATCGATTGTACAAGAAGGACTGGAACGGTCATTTCTCGGTGTTTATCTACCAGTGCACAAGCAGTCTCCCTCCCCCCCGACGCGACAAGAGCGTAACCCAGTTGTGCGAGATTAAGTGCAAACTCGATGTCCCTTACTCCTCGTTGGACAACTTTACCAGTCCGAAAGGAAAGAAGATGAAGAAAATGAACTATGATGTGGTGATGGTTCCCTCGGGAGCGTCGATAGAATTTACCGTGTCCATTGACGGACGGAAGCTCGGGGCGCAACATGTCGCTATCGAGTATCAGTAGCGTGCTATGTTCTACGAAGGATGCGGTGCTTGCTGATTATACTCAATTTGACAATATTCTCCTATGGTTATAGCATCTAGGTAGTAAGGAACGTATGATTACGATATAGCATAGGCCCAAATGCGCAGTATCGATCCACAATTACATTCAAGAAACATATGCTGAGCCGTACCTCATATAAGACCTCATTTAGGAGAGTCTGTTCTGCCACGCCTAAGGCAGTAGAAAGAAAAATAGCGCGTAGACTAATAATTGCGCTGTGATTGCTCCCTTCGCAACTGCAACAATCCAAAAGAAGTTCTGCCAAGACAGGCTGGCCATACCCATGACGGGGTTGTCGTCTATTTTCGGGAGCTAGTGACTCGTAGTTGGATGGGAAGTGATCGAGCAAGCCTCCGATAATTGGTTGTTGGAAATATAGATGCATACCCGCACATGACAGTTCGGGCTTGGAAGGCACAACCACGTTGCTGCATGTCTGCCTACACTTACGCATGGTGCTTATTATGTCAACAAATCCATTAGGCCGAAGACTAGTAAGGAGCGGCATGCTAATCTTACTTGTGTCAGAGCCTTAGGCCGAACTCTGCATGAGGCACCATGACTGCTTTATTCACTTTTGATCAGATCCCACAACACTGATATCCTCAAAGTTCCCGTATGATAGAATCCTTCCTTTCTTTCTCTTTCCTTCTCTACGTTTGAAGTTTCGTTAGATTGCCACTTTAGATATAATTCATACATATTATCCAGGTGTAGAGGATCGTCACACTCGTGCGGAAACTGGATTGCCATTTACCATTACCAATGGATGCCGTGAGGGCGACTAGCAAAGAAAAGACCAACTAGCTGCCCTCAGCCGCATTGGAACAACAGAATGTCAATTTATGATGGATGCTAGGACCACATGCGTATATTGGGCTGTTGACAGTAGCCTAGAGCCAAAGAACAGATACTAAGGCAAAAGCTACCAAATATGTAAATAAATAAAAATTCTAAGTTAGAATAAGCAAATATTAAATAAAGAATACTGATTTTGATTAAAAGCCTAACCCTGGGTATTATATATCTGCTAACCTGCAAGACTATAATAATTATAACCCGAGCTCTATGTCTTGACTACCGCTGATAGTCTAAAGTCTCTGGTCCCTATATATTATCTTCACTATTATCTTTATGGAACTGTGCATGCTCCTTCTCTATTTGTGTTGAAGGCTGAATATCAGGTATTTTAAGGATATCCTTTCTTTAATATAATTCTCTTCTAGTAGATTAAATAGATTTTTCCTAGGATCACTAGGATTATCACTATTACTAATATAGTTAAAGTGATCCATATTGCTTGGTTATCTAAGATAGTTACAGATATCCAATATATTATTACTCTCTTTCTTCTTTATTTGGCAGTCTTTCCTTAACTGAAAGTAATCTATTATAAGAAATATTATAAGTTCATAAATAGTTTTTGGATTGAGGCGGCTTCGGCGATATTATTATTGACAGACACATGTGTCTAGGCAGTGGCTTAGGCCACTGCCTCTAAATGGTCCTTAGGGGCTCTATCAGCCCCATCCTTCATTTGTGTGTTCATTCTAATCCTTTTCCTCGCCCGCGGCCTATCTAAGCCAGAGCCTTTAGACTATGCCCTCCTCGGTGTTCATTACTTGCTGGACATCATCTAGGCATGCCTAGGTTGCCCTTTCTACTATCCTTCTTCTATACTTTCTGCTTCTTCTACCAGCTCTAGGCCCCAAAGATTATCTCTAGAGGCTCTATCTATCTCTCTTTCTGCTCCCCCTGGCAAGCAGCCAATATTTGTTGTTGCAAGGAAGGTCAATAAAGCCTTTGTGTCCCTCTGATCTGCAAAGAGATAGCATTCGGGGGCTATTTCTCCCCAACCGGGTGGTGATACTCCTGCCTTGACTAAGGCCCTGTACAGAGCCTGTCTCTGGTGGTACTATTGTCTGCATTCTACTAATAGGTGGCCTGTTGTTTCCTGTGGGGCCTGGCAGCTTTGGCATCTAGGTGAGTCTCGGACCTCTATCTGACTCAGATAGGTTGGTATTGCTGCGTGCCCAACCTTGAGCTGATAGTATCGACGAGCGAGCTGCTTTGGTGCTGCTCCTGCCACCGGATCTAGTTTCCACCCTTTCCGGGGTCCATCCCTGTAGGATCGTTTTGTCAGGGCCTGTACAAGCCATTGTTGTCTCTGGGCCTGGAACCCATTGAATAATGGTTTGGCATACTTGATTCTCAAGCCTTCGGGCTGTATCTTGGGCCTGAATGTAACTGATGGTATATATAGCTGCTTTCTGCTTACAATTAAAGATAAAATAGTCTGAGACGCTATAATAAAGGTATTTACTATTCTTCCTTCTTTAGTCTATTTTAGCTTTACTTACCCACTATGCACTCTTCTGTTTATTCTTTCCTTTGTACACAGTCTGGCAATTTCCTATTTACGAGCAGTAACTTGGGTATTGATAGCTCCCCAATATATCCAATCTAGGCTGATTTATCTGGCTTGCTTATGCTAGAGAGTGGCTGTTATCTGCATGGCTGCTTGATTAAGACTTGCTACTTGTTACAAGTTATTATTGATTCTTTAAAGCTTGTTGCAGTATCTCTTACATATCAGTTCCTGAGGAATACTAACTAGTTCTTAGACTAAAAAGGTTTGAAGGGGAAAAAATGAGTGTTTCAGACTTAAAGTGACGTCCGCAAAACATTCCTGGCATCATTATCAATTAATCCGCTGAGTAGTGGCATCCTCCCAAAGTGCACAATCATTCTCCTGCTCATGATTTCCCGATGTCCCTTACAATTGCTCCTAGCCTGGGCGCTTCTTTTAGCGTCTCGGTGGAGGCTTGCAGCTTTCACATCGGCCACCAACATCGGTGACCTTAGGACAGGGAGTCCAGCAGTATTTGGTGTGGCCACAGTTGTGCTTAATGCACATCCTGGCAAGGGGTTCTCTGGTGATATTGGTGAAAGAGAGCAAGGTATTCGGGGCTTGTTTATATCTGGCGGCCTAGTATGATAGCGGTACAATTTAGTAGATGGGCCTATAAGATGCAGTATGGTATAGTGGTGCAAGGCATACCCGGTGTATCAGTCTGATGGGCTTCTTGTTAATGCAAGGGTTTTCTGACGAATTCGTAAGTTCATTTGTACGTGTAAATGGGTATTTCGAGCGAGAAGTTCTTGAGGACTGTTCTTCCTGACAGCAAGAAGGGAGGATAAACCAGGTTTATAAAGAGTCAGCAAGAGCCTATTCCACGTGACTTGTGTATATGTCTATCAACCCCCAAGCATGGGTGTCGCCTGACTCACCCTGCCGTATAAGTGAATAGATAAACCGAACTTGCAGCCTGATTGAATTACATCAATCATACAGATACTGATTTATAGTATTCCCTGTTTGATCTATCCAACATTTTTGCATGTTGCCCAACTGAGCCTACACACACATGCTTACCTAGCTAGCGTGAATGAAGGGTGACAGATGAGCAAAAGTTTTCTGGTCCTGTGGAATCACAACGTACATCGAAGCTGGCGAAGGAGCGAGGTACGTAACGAATGAGATTGAGGCCATACCCTTGTATGGCAGTATAGCCCCTGTTGTGATCTCATGGGAAAGATGGGCAGGATGAGGCTGTATCAGCTACACGTACGTAGCCTACTGAGGACCGGATGCCATTCCGATAGATCTCAATTCTATGGACGACTATATCAACTATCTTGATCGCTTCTTCTCTCTCAACTAATGGGTAAAGCCTTCAGGGGCTTGGCTTGGCTTGGCTACTATTTAACGTCACTCGGCGGGTCACGCGGCAACGTGATCCGCGGCCTCCCTAGGGGCAACTGGACGTGCTACCTAAACAGAAATCTCACTAGGAACTAGCTAAGTACATGCTTGAAGCAGCAAATCTGAACACTATATGTTGGAGAAGGGTGGAAGAAGCGCCTGGCGCTACCCTGGCCAGGTCTTCTGGGCTTAAAGCCTTCAGGGGTAGGAGCCGGTGATCCGGCCAAGCCACTAGGTGATCACGTGTCTCGTATAGATTCATAACAGCCCCAAACCCTCTCACCATCCCTGTACCGCTCACAATGGTCCTCTCCTCGCATTCCGATCGACCTCAGCCTCCGGGATGGAAGCTGAATAGATCAACATTCTCTTGAGTAGATAGGTAGGCATGAGCCGTTTCTGGGTTCAGGTGGGTCAGATTAATGCGTAGCCCAACCCGGTTATGATTGATCAATCAAGGCCCTGTATCTGCTGTGGGGTGCATAGGTTTGACAGACAACAGCCCACACTGAACCCAGTTCAATGAATTATTGACACGTCATCAAGAGTTCGGTGCCTCGGGAGCTTAATGGGTTCATCGGAATCGAGGTTTGAGCGTTGGCGCATGTATTCGTGAATACGGGGGCAGCTGAGGATGGTAGGATTGGTGTGCCAAGACTTTAGTGTGTGAGTGAAGCTATCTGGTTATCTTGGCAAGGCTATGCTGTTTGATCCGGCGCCAGTGATAGATGAGATCCGAGAGTCCGGCATGGCGATATGGTATAAAACAGCGGAAAGCGCGAATGACTGGGCTGGTATCAACGGTGGGGGAAGGATAGTTGTGCTCTGACTGGTACGATAACGCCTGTTTTGAAGCTAGCCGAACCCTGCGTTCTACTTAGTATCCATATGTTGGGTCACTCATCCAATAATGATGTTCCCATTGGCTAGCATGCGAAGCATGGGGAAGAAACAGCCCACAGTAGAGCTCTGGATCAAATATCTGTGGGGCATGTGTGTTCGCGAGGCACGATTCTCTTCATCCAATGGGTGGTTGCAGATCGGTCAACCTCTCTTTTAGTGTGGCGCGGGATGAAAAAATGCTTAGTAAGTGGTTTGATCAAGTGCCTTCCAAGCGAGGCCATTAGCCACGCAAACCATAGATTTCATTCCACATAGACTTGTTAGGCCCGCGGGTTGGGCCGGGTTTCGTGGGCTGGGCCTAACAAGTCTAATTCCACACCACCTCTATCACTGATAATGCTAGTAAAACTACTTATAAATATCTTATCCTGTATCTAGCTAGTATAAAATATTAAGTAATTAAGAAATGCTTTTTAAGCGCTTGAAAGAATATAGTTTAAATATAGTATAAATAAAAAGAACAAGCATACACTGCACTAAATTTGAATTTTAAGGAGTTATATATATATATTAAGTGCCGGAGAAGGCGCCGAGCGGGTAGAATATAATTAAAGTAAAGTAGTTACTAAGTAGTTGCTAAATAATTATAAAGTACTTACCCTGCAGGAAGTTCTACCAACTTTATTAAACTTGTAATTTGCTTTATTTCTGTATTACACTTTGAGTTCTCAGTAGGCTGACCATTGGGATGGGATGGGACGGGAATGGGAAACATAGGACTAGAACGGGAATCCCAATCCCAAAATCTACATAAAATGGGATTCCCATTTCCCATCCCAAAATCCCATCCCATCCCGAAATCCCTGGGATTATCCCGTCCCAACAGTCAGCCTAGTTCTTAGTATAAGGACTATATAAGTAGTTATAAAATGGCTAGTAAGTACTTTGAAATTGTCAGAATCAATGGATTCTGGATGTAGTAAGCTGAATGCAGTACGCTAAAACTCATAAGTTGAATGTAAATGATGCACTCGGATTAATCAGATCACCGGATCTGAAAGCGGCATAATCCTGTTCTAGGGATATTACTGAAAGCATCCTCAGAATTGCAGTCCTGATTCGCCTATTAAAGCTCGCCTAAATCAAATAATGAAAGGCGCAGAACAAGCTTTGCATAATGCAACAATATTAAAGCATCAACTTGAGCAATATCAGGCTGAACACGAAAGGCAGATTAAAAAGCGAAATCGCTCTACCAAACAGAACAGATTACTTTTGAAGGAGGCACATCAGTATCTGAAGCCCGAATTCTCATAGAGCGCCGAAATCAGGTAGATGAAGCTATACAGGCAGATAGGACTCTGCCTACTGATCGGCTCCTAGGCACGCCCCATCTAAATGTTCTGGCTGTGGTGTACAGGGCCATAGAATCACGCACTGCCCGAATCGATAGGACTACTCATTTCTATATAGAAGTCTGAATTCATGGTGTTTTGACTATTTTAATTTTCAATATGGCGGTTGATGCGCAGCCCGTTTGCGTGCGCAGCTCGTTAACCGATTACGTTAATAATAATATATTAATAAAAGCTCAGATTTAATTAAATCTAGTAGAGATATTCCTCTATTTATGAGTAAGGTAGACCTGCACAGGACTAATCTGTAAATTATTTCTAATCTATTCTTTTGTTATATTCTCTAAGGAAACTGAGTAGCAGTTATGTCAGCTATTTTAAATAGAAGATTATATTAATAAAGCTGGACAGGATATAAAAATAGTATGGCTCCTTTTCCTAAGATAAATTTCTTTACTGATGCTTAGCCTAACTGATTGTTCCATTATAACATTACCTCCACTATCACCTTACTGGTATTTGTTATTGTCCATAGATAGATTGAGACAGGGCTGGCCTCTAAAGGTCATCATATTAAGCTTAGCAAACTCTTTATTAAAATTACTTGTCTCGGTTATATACTGTATATCAATACTGGATACAGTGACTGGAGGGACATTGGTGAATTGCAACAGTTCATAAGAACGGTATAGTGCAGATGAAGAAGAATTTTAAAGGGCAGGGGAGGCAGACTGTAAAAAAGAATAACAGGAAGGCGGTAGCAGAGACCAAGGTAATAGATATAACTTTAGAGATACTAATAAGGGAAAGTTTAAATACTCTGAGACCTCAGAGCATGAGGCGCGCGGTTATGATGATTTAGAAGGGGATTTAAGAATAAGCAAAGGATAATAAGAGATAATATAGTTAAGATCAATGATAACCATAGCGCGAACATCTAGGGAGAAAGATATACTGAGAATACAATTCCTACGTGACTGGTATAAAAATAAGTGCAGACAATAGAGTATCATGGAAAGTGAAATTTCAGACTGGCAGATTTGAGGGCAAGCCTCAGGAGGTGCTTTTATATCATTCTTCACCATTTCTTCCTAAGCCAGCAGCTCATGTGGTTAACCAAACTTGGATCTAAAGCCCCGCGCCGCAGTACTGGGTTATAGTATACCAGGACAATGCTATCCAGACCCTAGTAATAGCTGTAGTAATGAATGCTTATCTAGCCACAGTCTACCAGCGCAAGCGGGAGTAACTCCAGATTAAGAAGAGGGAGATTGACATCGCTACTAGGGTCCCGTGGCTGACACCCAGCCCGTTAAGTGCACCCGGCCGTGGATGGACTGCATGGCGTGGCCCCGTGTCTCCAGGAAATATATCAGGGTCTTCTCTAGGGCCTGCGTAACCTGATGTATCAGACTACAGGCCGCACAGATCTGGTTCTAGAATATAACCAGGACAGGAAATCCATTATCAGTCCCGCTGCTGATGAGGCGGGTCTTCGCTATCTAATTCTGGCTATAAATAGTATCATAGACTGCTGTAAGGAGGCTCTCTAGCAGACCAGTCAGTCAATCCTCTACTGGCTGCTGACCATAAAGCTGTACCTGTACTTTAACTGCATCTTTTGGCCCCATATCTAGAAAAGTAGGTGCCCGAACTACTGCTGCTATTGAAAGCGATCTCTAGTCTTTATTTTCCAGGCTCTCTAGATAAATCCTTAATTCTGCTAATATTTAATAGGGATTCAGTTCTATTAACTATATCTGGCTCTTCTACAGCAGACCTGGAAGCATTATATATAGGAATATCTGGATACCATTAATAAACTGGAGCAGTTCTCATAGTAGACTCTCCAGTCTAGAGGGCCTAGAGTACAGATATTATCGCTACAGAATCCTTATAACAGTAGTGATATAGAGTCTGATAAGTATTCCCTCACTGATCTTGAGAAGGACAAGGTAGAAGAAGAGAAAGACTAGATTAACAGTTTTAATACAGACCAGGGTATAATTCCCAGCTCTAATGGCAGCAGTGATAATAACTTGGAGCCGGAGATATATAATACACAGCTATCTACTGCTAATAAGTTATATTACAGTTACTTTGCATAATGCACGCTCAACGAATAAAAGAATAGAGCTTTTCATGGTGGCCTTGCATGAGAGAGTAAACCCTTTCTCTCCCTTTAGTCATTTTAGGGCATCCCTTTCTCTCACTACGTTCGTTTCAGGGCATAATAGAATTAAAGAATAGATAATCTGATACCCATATCAGATAGTTGGTTTTTCATTAAAAGTCGATTTCGATAGCTATATTATAGAGAGAAACAAAAGAGACGCGATGAATGAGGCCAAAGGCAATAGCTGTGGCTCAGCCCAAACCTAATTTTGTCTTTGAGCCACTTGCTTTCTTCTTTGTTTCGCTCTTATTCAGTTTGATTTTTCTTCTTCCCTTCTTTCAGATACTCGCCACATTGCTACGTGCCCCTCGGTGCCCTTCACTGAGAAGTGCTGACATTGATCGCTCTTCTGTTAATTATTCTTTCACGTCAATGATAGGAAACGCCCACACATCATGGGTGACGTCCTGCCCGATTAGTCATCCAATAGCCATCCTTAACTATCCTGGATCTTTTTAAGATTTTGTATTGCATCTTTTTGCCTTTCGAGCACTTTTCGGGGATACGAAGTTGGACATCATTGAATTAAATGCGAAAAGCCATCTTTACAGAGGACACTTAAATGCTTACCTGTAGGAACCAGTGAACTTTTCCAATTCTCTCTGAGTTTAATTTTGTATGTTTATTCTTTGTAGAGCCAGTTCCGCATAACCATACCTTCACCTTGACCAAACCATACGTAGTTGAATGAAACTTCGCAGAGTACTTGTAGATAATATACTCCGATGCGGAGTGGTGCGCCGATACCTCATTACACAAACCTAGAATCTAAGATAGAATTAACCATGCTACATCTTTCTTGCTACAATTATCAGATTAGGCTGCATGATAATTAGAAACCAAACTCACACTACACAGCAATACAGGCAGTTTCATCTTCACTATCCAGAGTACATTGCAGTATGCGTTAGTTTAGATGCAAGCATACCTACAAGTGCCTCTAGGTCATAGTTTCTCCTATTTTCCCGCCAAAGTCCTCCACATCATCCAACAAAGGTGAAATAATGTAGTGAAAGACTGCGGCTTGAAATTCTTCGTTGTCAATATCCATCTTGCGTGTATGCGGCCAGGAGAAGCATTGCTGCACCACATCACCATACCTCGTGCCACTTTCTGTATAGACATAGTCCAAACAACGATTGGCAGTTTTCAAAAGAGTTACTTCCTCATCACTATTCTCATCTTCAGGTATACGCAAGTCGACGATAGAACGGCACAGCGATAGCTCAATAAGAACCAGTCCCAAGGGAAAGAGTGTTTCGTTTCGGATAACTGATGATTGAATCTTGTAGGATCTCTTTTTTTGATCATCTGAAAGGCTTGAGATACCACACACCAAAAAGGGCTGGTGGACCGATGCTTCAAAACTCATTGTCTTGTTAGAAAACATTATATCACGGCTGCTCCAGCGTTCATATAGCCAGCTTCCATGGAACAGAAGGACACTACAGGCAAGGCGTGCTGCAAGGCAGAGACGGTCTCTACGACAGAACACAGGCCCAGTGGCGTTCCATGGGGATGATGAAGATGATAGTATAAGGTCCTCTAAGGTTTGAGAGGGCAGGCTACCAACTGTTCCCTTTGTGACAAAGATATTATGTTGGAAAGGCCCATCCGCAAGATAGCCAAGATGCTTTGGTTCCTTGTCAACCATTACCAAGCCAGAAAGTGCCGAGCAAATGTTTGTGAGTGGTATCGAAGGTGCCAGATGATCTATATCAGCACATAGCCCTTGTGTTGGAGTGGAAACGAGGAACTGAACTTTGCGCCGTTTACTTTGACCCGTGCCTGTTGTTGAGGTGGATCCTGTTGGTCTTTCAAAGGGCTCAATCTCCATTTCTTGCCACCGATATGATGTCGCGGTCAAGCCTTCTTCAAGCTTTGTTACCAGGATCATGCGAAACCTAAGCTTCTCGGGAATATTGTAGGCAGCGAAACTTGAATCTAACATAAATCGAATATTGTGCTTATCTTGGCACAAGCAGCCCCAGTATTCACTCCCTATAAGGGCCTTGTGGACTTTGCTTGCAAGTGTTCGTGCCATTGTGTACTGCTTGGGCGATCTCTGAGAATACCTGTTTTGATCGCGCCTTTGAAATCCCCCGGTTTGTTCTGCAAGTATTCTCAGCATACTATTGGCTGTGTTGAAAGTGTTGAATAGGTCGGTGTAGATAGTTTTGGAAAAGACATGTTTGATTTTCTGGAGCTCGCGCATCACCACGTTGGAATCATCCCACGGTATCTGGAATATTATAATTAGCTTGGTACGATCACGATTATCTTTGACGTGCGGTAATAAGGCATAGGCTTACCGCGGAGGAGCTTGTTGCTTCCACTCTTAGTCTCCTAGCGAGCTCCTTCAATATGTCCAGTGCCTGAATCATCAAGGCAGCAAATGCATCATAATTGTGGCCAAGTCTCAGTTGTAGGGTCTTATCTAATTGAGGATCTATCGGTCCTCCATCATTGGGGCCATCCAGAAGCTTGCTGCTCTCTTGAATAATTATCGCATCTCCCAATATACTCGTTAGGGTGTTGATGAGAATTGCACGCTGGCCACCGAGCATGGTAGAATACCTCTCCAGGTCCTTCTTGTATCTCCAAGTCCGGAAAGACCTCAATGTCTGCAGACCCTGGACATAGTTATCCAACTGGTTGACTAATAGAGGGATTACGGCAAGAGCCAAGCTGGTTGCCTCAACACCGGTAACCATGCTGATGTTCTGTGATCCGTCTGCCCTCTGCGCCAAGATGGATTTTTTTTGTTAAAAAGCTTCAATACAACTATTGAACCAAAGTACTTGTGAAAAGTGCGGGGTATCTCGTCAGCCGCAATGGATTAATATTTTGCCAGCCTTGCGTCTGAGATTACTCTGCGTTGAATGCTTCTCACCAAAAAGCCCCTTTCTCCCCTCACACCACTAAGTATCCCATCGACTCAGTGAGAAAATGAGTAGTATGATATCATCCCACATCGTTGCATGCCTAACACAACTTCAACATGTGCTCTCATCTGGTTCCTTGCCTGACTACGAGGCTGAAGTTCCCTGTGCTTTCTGGCACGACGAATTAGGACGACTGCGACTATGGTCAGCCAATATCGGCGCACATCAAACAAATCAGTCTTCTCTTGATTATAGACTGCGAGATGCGTCTCATATCAAGGACCAGGTTATTAGACAATTGGACAGATTACAGCGAATAACCGAGGATATACAACTTGGTCTAGAAGAGCAGCTACTGGAGGAGCTTTCTGGTACTGACTCAGAGAAGGAGGAGGAGGGTACACTTTTTCAGTCCTTTTACCATGATTTAAAGGACTGCATCAACGGCCTTTACCAGATGGCGATATTAATTCAAAAGCCCGCGCCACACGATCGACTTGCGGGCATAAAGCGACAAGACTTTTCATATTTTCAGACTTATGATCGGCAACATGTTTTCCATAAGTTTCCAAAGGCGATTGCAGTTATAGGGAATCGCTTGGCCACTGCTAATTCTAAACGCCGAGCACTTCTAAAGTATCGTGAGAGACACCGAAGAAAGCTTGGGCAAGGCCTTGATAATCAAACAGACACAGCCTCGGCAACCGTGGCAACCACCTTTGATGCCCAGATTCACAACCAGTATGAAATACAATCAAATCACTCAATGACATCGTATGACCCGACAATTCTACATGGAGAGCAAGGACTAGCGACGCCACCTCTTCCAGAGGAATCGGCAAATGAAAGCCCCTTTGAATGTCCATATTGCTATCACATTATCGTCATTAGAGATACGAAGTCATGGATGAGACATATCTTTAGCGACATTTTACCCTATGTTTGTACCTTTACGGATTGCGAGACACCCGACATTTTATATGAAAGGCGTCGTGACTGGATCACTCATATGCGAAACAAACACTCCCGAACGACTAAGGATGTTGCTTTCTATTATTGTGCACTCTGCCGGGAAAGATTTATGCGTGGATCCCCGATTGAGAAGCATCTTCAGAGGCACCTGGAGGAGCTTGCTCTGTTCATTGTGCCATCAAATGTAACTCAGGAGATGGACCAGACACCTCAGAACATAATACAAACAGATGTCCTTGACGCTACACGGCCACCTAGCCCGGAAGACACAGTAAGTCTCTGGTCATTCACTCACGGTCTAGATAGTAAGGATGTTCTCTAACATGACATGAAAGAGTATTGGATCAGACATCGTTGAATATGAGCAAATGGTAGGAACTAGTGATCCAAACAATGATCCGGACAAAAGGTCCCTACCGGGGAGTATCACAGATCACCACGATATGCCACCCAATCACAGCACACAGAATAAAGCTATGAAGAAAGAAAGCAAGCCTATCGACCCGGTATATTCAGGACAACAGGCAGTGCATTGGAGCCCATTTGATGATAGGCGAGGGCTGAGGGCGAGCACTTCAATGCATAGGGGTTCCTATCTGTATATCTGTGTAAGTCCGCGCCGTCTTAGATTGTATGGCGCTTTCTTGCTTACTTAGATTATAGTGTCAATGCAATGATGGCCCCAAATTATACAATTCCCAACCTAAATGTATCAGTTGTTTACATACGGTGTGCCGTAACTGCTCTTATGTGAAATAGCTCTTAAGATTATTCTATTAATCAATTCCATGACATGTCAGAATACCAGTAAAGGTGCTTATTCGTCGTTAGGTGGTATCGAGAAATGTATTGAGCTTGGCCGAGCGGAGGTCTACATACCCAAATAGAGTGTATATCATGGGCTGATATCCGCAGGCAATGTCTCTGTTTGGTGAATCGATTAGAATTTTATGCCTACAAGTCTGGTTCGATAATTAGTAATTATATATTCAATCTATGGTTAACCGTAGGCTATAGACTTTATTCAGCAGTTTACAGTTCATTCAAGCTGGTATTGAATCAATACGAGTAATCCTTCACTCAGTCGTTTTCTCTATGTCACTGCATAGTGGTCTGGCATGTCATCTAGTAACAGTACAAAAATTTTCAAATGCATGGATTCATAAATTATTGAAGGAGTGACAGCCTTTCAAAATGACCTTTATTGGCGCTATCTATCTAAAATTCTAGGGTGGGGAAAGTGTAAAGAACTCGGTGGAAGAGCTTGATAGGGGTCTTCAGTATAGGAGGGCTGCAATGTAGAAGTATTGACTACACAACAACCATCAAATAGATCGGAGAAGCTTATAGAACAACGATATATTCAACTATCTCATTAGACTGTTTTTGTTAGGAGCGTAGGGTCAATAGGTCCCTATCTATCATATGCGTAATTGTACGCGGCTCACCTAGAGGATTGGCTGTGACTAATCTCTAGGTCCACTGCTTAGATATAGCCTCTGATGGGCCTAATCCTTTACAGAAAGAAACACAAAGACGCGAGACGCGCCTGCAGAGATAACGTAACCGGTAAGCGAGCCGCACACCATCCATGTTTTCAACGCGCCTCAATTTCTTAGGTGATTTAAACACCACCTATTCTACCAAAAATGCCGTAATTACCAAATCACGCGTTGAGCAGGAAGGTAGAATCCTACTCGCCATATCAGCTTTAAAAAATAATGAAATCAGTGGCCTAAGGAAGGCAGCTGAAGTTTTTAATGTACCGATTTCTACACTACGTTATCGCTTAAAGGGAGTTTCATTTAGAAACGATACTCGAGTAAATAGTCATAAATTGACTACTAGTAAGTAGGAATCGCTTACACAGTAGATTCTATCACTAGATAAACGTGGAGCATCTCCTCGGCCTGGACATATACGAGAAATGGCCAGTACCCTGCTTTCAAAATGTGATACTACTTCCCCTACTACTATAGGGGAGAAATGGGTATACAACTTTGCCAAGTATATACCTGAGCTTAAAGCTTGCTTTGCACGCCGCTATAACTATTAACGTGCTAAAGTAGAGAATCCTAAGGTCCTAGATGCTTGGTTTTAGCAGGTAAATAAGACTGTTCAGAAGTACAGTATAGCTTCAAGCGATATCTACAATTTTGATGAGACAGGATTTGTAATTGGCCTGATAGCAGCTGCCAAGGTGCTTACTAGGTCTGATATGCCAGGAAAGCCAAATGAAGTCTCTTCTTAACCAATGGTCCACTTGGACTATGGAGACGGCCGCGGTTCAATAGCCTGTTCCGTTGGGGAAGACTGCGGGTGCCAGTGCTCTGTAAGTGGGGTGCTACCACTATGGGAGATCCTGAGGGCTGACTCGTGTAGCTGCTAGCAATAGTAGATGACAAAGTAATGGGCTAGTAAATCTCCGGAATTAATGATTTGCAGGTTCACTGCGACCCTAAGCCTTTCAGGGATCCACCATTGAAGCAGAGGCGGGTGTGTTCTCTTGGCCGCAAGTTTTTCCACCTGTGATCACGTTATGAATGATATAAGAGAGAAGATTGACAGACAGATAAACAGAAGATTAAACTACAGAGTAACGTATTCATCTAGCACAGAACCATGCACTGCTAGTTGCAAAAATAGTGCAAATAATGAAGACTGTGCGCAAACCTTATATGCCGCACTCAGTGTACACAGGTCACGCAAACCAAACCCCCTAACCAAACCCCCTAAAAATTAGTGGCGTTCCCTATATTGCCATTTTACTAAGAATTTACGGAAATAGCCTTCTTTTAAACTCTCATGGCGGGCCCCCCTTTACCACTATGTAATATTCCTACAAATAGAATTTGCATTATTCATAAATTATTCGTGAAAGTCACGTGTCACGCGGGTTTTGCTCGGAGATATATATCTCACAACTATCTCACAACAACATTGAACACCTTATAGTCTTCCCGTTTAATAAGTTTCTCCTCACACCCAGCAAATTCCTTCCTCATTAAATAGTCTTTTTACTGATCCTGCTGATACTGGGATAGCTAGATAATCCCTTGTAGAAACAGCTAGTCGTGGATATTCATTATGATGAGTTCTCCACCAGGATAGAAGCCAGTTCCTATCTTTTGTGACTGACTCATCTATCAGGATAGCATCATTCTCAAAGTACCGGTCAATGTCAGATAAATGTCGCTTTTGAGGTTGTCATCGTTTAAGAACCCGGGTCTCTATGCTCTTTTCCTGGGTTAAGCACTCCTAAGGGGACGCTGTCAACGAGTCAGTCCCTAATGGATAATGTTCATGCAGCAGTTCTTGATATGCGCGATGACTTTAGGAGCTGTGATCTTCCCGAGCTCTTTTCCAGTAATAGTGTCTTAAATCGCGGATTAAGAATCAGTGCTATATATACGTATCTTGTCTGTCCGTCAGGTCGTAATATTTCTAGAACTTTTTCAGACCCGCAGCCGCGGTGGCAGAGATCTCAGGGTAAAGTTCGAAAACTCCGCTTCCCTGGATACAGCGTCATGCAACAAGTCATGCAATTCGTAGTAGATAGGTATCGCTAAGTTAATCTGCGGTTAGCGCTTGGAAACAATGAGGGTGAATTCCTCTAACCTTGCTAAGAATCTTTTAATACGTTGGAGACGATCCCAATCATCAGCGGTGAAAGGCAGAAAATACGTTTGATGTTTAATCCATTTCTTAATCTGCTGCTTTGTGTTCAATATATATCTAAGCATTCGATGGGTCGAATTCCAATGTGTTTCCACATCGTACTTAATAAACCTGTCCTTCAATCGATTGTTTTGGCAGATAATTTTCTACTGTTGTTTCCACTGCGGTGTTCTTGTAATCCAGAGTGCCATGATTCGAAGTCGAGCTAATGCAGACTGCAGTCCAATCTCTTTGTCTTGTAGAAGATCGTAAGCTGCCGTCGCTGAAGTGTCGTCTCTGATTTTAGCGTGGAAAGTGCATCACTAACATTAAGGCCCAGGACATGAGCTGTGCAGAGGATATAGCTGTCTACTGCTTAAAACTGGAATGGTTTTGTATAACTTGTGGCCACGCCTGGGTCTTAAATTTTCTCTGTAAGATTGAGACATAGTTCGGGTGGCAAGCTTTTATTATTTGTCGCATTGTCCGCAGTGATAGCAAGGAGCTTGTATTTAATCTGAAGTTCTGCTAGTGTTGTTTGAAGAACTTCTGCCAGATTCTCTCCATTATAAGCGCCGTAGATTTCACTAAATTCAAGAACCCGTTCTTGATATTCAAAATTTGCCGTCAGCCAATCCTCGATTAATTGTTCTCGGCAAACATCAAACTCTTAATCAATTCGACGAACCATTGTCATGCGACAGGTAAAAGAGACTAAGATATCCGGATCTTGGAAGATCTGTTAGAAATTTGATAGTTCTATAGCGTCAAACGCTATATCCTCTGTAACTACCTACTGTACTAGATTTCGCTCTAGAGTCTTTGTTCTTTGCTCCTCTGCCCGTTTCTGGAAGTAACTAATAATTGATGGCTGTTTAATTTTGTCTATAAAGATTAATTCTGTATCTTTCCATGAGAATATTCAGAATTATAGGAGATACTCACAATATCCGGCGCCACCTCAATTGATACATCTTGCTGGTAGGTCTCTGGAAGAGGACTTGGAGTCCGGGTTAATTGGTTCTCTAAGAGCGCTGTGGCCGCTTCCCTAGCGACCTAGGGATATCATCTACATCCTGAGATAAGGATTTGCTATAATGATATATATGCCTGGAAGAAAAGACATCTTCGGGCTGAAGACAATGGAATCATGGATATTAGTATCCGAAGTAAACAATACCGCGACGCGCCCTCTACTTCCATTAAATAGGCGAGGTTTCAATACGCCTCAGGAAGTCTTGGCAAAAATTACGAATCTAATATGAATAGTGAGTTAATAAAAATTTACAAATACGAATAAGGAAAATCCTTATTCGTGTGCATCCCTAGCTAATAAATTGGCGAATCATGTGACAATGCTGACAATATCTCCAAGCCACGTTGAAAAGGATATGATGAATTCTACACCTACCAGGCTTTAGGCATCCTCTAGAAATATCTGTTTCTCAAATCTGCTGATACGAAGTTGTTGGCCTAGTATAGCACGATGCGGTGGCTGGTTAACTTTTTGAAGTCGCTCTACTCCTTAGAAACCCTTGATACGCGCTTTATAAGATCGACTACAGCGTCTCAGAGCTCTCAAAGAGACCCTTCCAGAACTTCTGCTCCAAAGCTAGACAATCGTTCAGCCTTACCCGGCACGAAACCGTCCAAATGGTGGACAATCGAGTACTGTATCTATTATCTTGTCTTTATCATCGTTGTTCCGACGATGATGAAGCAGGTCTATGACATATCGAAACCAGGAAGCCCTGACTGGGACTCTTTCTCGAAGAGATTATCTCGAGGCTGGATCCGTGGTCGCCAGATCGACAACTCTGACGCACAGTACGCTACTTTTCGAGACAACCTCCCTTACCTCATAACCCTTCTTATACTGCATCCATTGTTTCGCAAGCTGTATGGCACATTCCGGCGAATTGACAATTACAAGTTTCTGGATGGCAGTAACACCGGTCTGTTCCATAATCCATCCCTGTTGGCCGTTGCAGATGCCAGACTGCAACATCGGACCCTCTTTGATTTTGGCTTCGGGATTATCTTTCTCATTGCGCTGCACGGCGTTTCGGCGGTAAAAGTTTTTCTGATCTTCTATACCAACTTCAAGATTGCGACACGGCTTCCCAGAAGCTACGTGCCTGTCGCCACCTGGGTCTTCAATGTTGGCATTCTGTTCGCGAACGAGTTTTGCCGCGGATATCCCTTCGCCGTGATCGCTCAGGTTTTATTGCCTGATATTAAGGCTGCGCAAGATGTTGGTGCAAAAATCGACAGCTACAGTGGTGTCACTCCTCGGTGGGAGGTGCTCTTTAAGATCTCAATATTACGCCTGATCTCATTCAATTTGGACTACTATTGGGCTCAAGCAGAGGGTAGCTCGAATTTAATCGAAGTCAGTATTGAATTCATGCAAGCCTCGACGATAATCGCTAATTAAACCTAAGAAGAAGCATGTAGCCGCTTTGCTCCTTAGCGAACGCGATCGAGTCTCATATGGCGCCGCTTTACGGGACTTTAACCTCAAAACTTATTTTGCCTATACGCTATACTCACCTCTTTACCTCGCTGGTCCGGTTTTGAGCTTCAACGACTTCGTCTTCCAATCGCGAAATTGCCTGCCGACCACAACCACGATCAGGACCTCTCTCTACGGCCTGCGCTTCCTCATCGCCCTCTTTTGTATGGAACTGGTTTTGCATTACTCTTACGCAGTGGCGATCATCAAGGGTTTGCCTTCATGGACACAGTATACTCCTTACCAGCTCGCCATGCTTGGATATTTCAACCTGCACACCGTCTGGCTGAAGCTGCTTATCCCTTGGCGTTTCTTCCGACTGTGGGCCTTGGTCGATGGACTTGACGCGCCGGAGAACATGGTCAGATGTATGTCTGACAATTATTCGACACTAGCATTTTGGCGTGGCTGGCATCGAAGCCTGAACAGATGGATTGTCCGGTATATCTACGTTCCTCTTGGCGGTAACGGAGATGGTAAGGTCAAAACCATGGTGAATGTCCTGGCAGTATTCACCTTCATCGCCCTCTGGCACGACATCAATCTGCGTCTGTTGTCGTGGGGTTGGCTAACCACACTGTTCATCCTGCCTGAGGTGATTGCTATAATTATCTTCCCAAAACGCAAGTGGAAGGACTGGCCAGAGACGTTCAGGCTCCTTTGTGGCATCGGGGCAGTGGGAAACGTCCTCATGATGATGGTGGCAAGCCTCGTAGGTTTCGTAATGGGTGCCGACGATGTCAAGGAGATGGTCAAGGGCATCTTCGCAGGCTGGTCTAATGCCGGCTTCGTCATGGCGGCTGTGATGTGCCTTTTTGTGAGCGCACAGATTATGTTTGAGCATAGGGAGGGGGAGAAGAGGCAAGGGATCAATCTGAAATGTTGAGAATTGTATGGAGCAGACACGTTTGGCAAAGGGCGGCTGGGTGGAAGCTGCTGTAGGCCGCAGAAACGTGACCGCGTCCGAGGATTGGAAATCTGTCACCTAATGTCTCCTCTGTCAGAGCAAGAACATTCGACGTCAGCCAAGCTTCAGAAGTCCAAATCCTGACCTGATACTGGACCTGGGAATCTATAGAGAGAGAGAGAGGCAAAAAGGTTTCACCATTCGAAACCCAAAAGGTTCACCACTCGCCGAGCTTCCTTGCGACAGGCGTGAACGACCTGCCTTATGCGAGTCTAGTTACTCTAGGCGGTAGTTGTAACTAGAAGAACACCTCGATAAGTAACTTAGGCCTGGAAATGCGCCCAGCTAATCATTTTGGGGCACGGTTCTGCCCGCACTTGGTCAAACTATGACCCATGCTAGAATAAGCACCACGAAGTACCACTACAGTGGGCTTTTATCTTCATCATGAGAACTTCCATAGTGGAGCGAATTGCCGAGAGATTCCGTAATTAGATCTGGCTTTATGACGGAGTAAGCGTAACGAAAGTTGGACTGTCGAGAGGGAAGCAGATTTTGGTTTCGCAACGGGCGGGCCAACCGCAGAAGCCTCTTGCTCGCCATATGAGTCGCTCAAATGTCACAACTCAACGGGATGAGGTTCGCTCTTCGTATGGGTGTTGGACCTGTCGACGAGGGTCAACTTTTTCTTTTCAAGACCTCTTCAGGCGGTTGCTTTCAGAAGTCGTAAGAGCGCGGGGCCAAAGCTATTCAGTTTGGAACGAAACCGACTCGTGGCGGTCATTCTATGTAAAGTCGAGTTCTTCAATGGAGTGTTGTTCTTAACGACTAACCTGATCAATAGCGTTAACGCCGCCATTCTCAACAGAGTCCACTTGCAGTTGCAATATCATGATCTCAAAAAAAGCGCAAGAATTATCCTGATCAGTTTGTTCTTGAAGCCGATCACTAGAGGATAGGATTAGAGGGATCGCAGATTACCAGTGGGCTCATGAATCGGTTCGCGTGAATGGAGCTTAATGGTCGCCACGTAAAGTTGTCTATGCAAAGCACGCCATGGTCACTCGGCTGTCATCCCGAAGTTCCATGGAGCTAAACAGATTGATTCTCTCATAGAATTTCTCCTGGGAAGACACCCACAATCAGAGAAGATCAGAGAACACCTCATCGAATGCGGACAAAAGTTCATCGGCCTCATGAGTCCGTATCATCGACATTACTGTCGGCTCGCCTTCATCATGATGAAAGGGAAACCTGTTAGAAGACATGTCGACGGTCGTACCATGGTCGATGCGGATACTTTCGTGAGATGAGCCCCAATTACTTCGGCCATCGGATGGTCAGCACGATCTTCCCGGATGAAGACGGATTCGCCTCTATCGCTCAAATTTAAGGAGAAGCTAGCGAATGTCAGAAATTACGGCCATGATCCAAACAAATTGAATGAAGAATAACTGCTTCGAAGCAGTGCCACTGTACCAGGCTTCAGTTTCATGGAAAGCAGGTTTGTATGTTATGGATTGGTAATGCATGGGTTCGGCCAAGGTAACAACTATTCAGCTGAATGTGCTGTTGCGAATATGGACGACATTCGTTGGAAGACCGAGCTGCTTAATAACCTTGCACAGCGTAAGGACATGATCTTGTCCCTCGCAGAAGCCCGTACTGCCAATACGAACGTATCTTCATTCAATGATTGTATTCCGGGTAAAACACGCCGCCTGAATGTTTTCGTGCAGTCTGTTTTCTCCAACAGTGTCTTCGTGAACGCGCTCCTAGACGTCTACCGCAACACTCTTGTCTCTGTCTTTCTCCGGACTCGGAATACTGCGGTGCCATTCTGTTTTCTGAACATTAATCGGTTTACCGCCTTCAATGATGCAATCCTCTCTCGAATGCGTATAATTTTCGCATTCCCGATAATTGAACTTGGCCCCATAAGGAAGAATTGGATGCGATTCCTCGAAGAGGCTGTTACCGCCCATGGGCCCGCGAAGATTGGAAGAAAAGACTTGAACAGTCTGAGTGAGACGCCGCTGAATGGTTGACAGGTGAGTTGAAGCGTTCCTCCATCACTGCTTCCCTACTGACATCTGAGATAAGATCGAAATTATGTGACCACTTCCCACGCAATGGCCACCACGGACAAATCTCCAGTGCGGTATTCGCATGTCGAACATGTGGTCAAGTACACCAATGACTTTATAAATGATTCCAATGGCGTGGATTGCATCAGAGAGCAACGGAGATGCTAGGATGGGCGCAAGACGGACGCGCGGCGCTGAAGAGAAAGGATCGCATCGATATTGGCGGACGCTACCTCATCCATCGCAGTCAAATGCGTTCACATCAGCACGTCTTCGTGTGATCCTCACCAATTGCTGTTGGCCATAGATAGCGGATACTTCTGGCCGAGGCCTTTTGTGGCAGACCGTGTGATTACAAAAGTCGTCTCGAACCCCATGGCACCAGCGGTCTCAAAAGCTGACTTGATCGCGGAGGAGAATCGGCTTGACACTGTCTTAATAAGGCGAAAGTAGGCACCGAGCGGCGTGCCGAATCAGTGCAGTACCGCAGCTGGAATGCCTGGAGGCAGGGAAAACGCTATTGACTGTGGAAGGAAAATCCCACCCTCCTCTTATCCCCAGTTTAGCAGGCCTAGGGCTACAATACAGTTCACGAAGCTGTTCGACGATTTTGAAACTCGAAGATATGACCCGTGCTGAAGCCTGCTCTGGCCGGCGGGAAACTTCCAACGGGCCGAATGGGAACTGAAGTGTAGGAAAATCTTAGAAAACGTAGGTCCGTTCCGGTGCTAAGGATCTGGCGTCGATCGCTAGCTGCCCCGTAGCCAGAAAGGAGCCTCTTTCAGGCGCTGTCCCACTTCCGTAAAGTCTTGTGTAACGGACTTGCTGCAGAAAAACGGTGGATTCGGCTTTTATTCTTTGTCTCTCAGGGGTTGAAATTTATTGAAAGAGTCAGAGACGCTATTACGTGTTGCCGGTGTGCGATATGGGATTACAATCTAAGTATTTAATTTACTTTCTCTTTCTAATCTTTTTTCTAAAACTCTTCAAGTCTTATTAAGACCTTGCCCTAGCCCGCGGGCGACCCTCCGAGGGCGGCTAGCAAACCCGCAAAATGAGGGCGGAGGGCTACGAGCTCTTGCCCACGGGCACCCAGCGACATAATAAGCTAAGGACATGGGCTAGCACACATCCGGGCCTGCCAGCACTACTAAGCCCAGCCGGAGAGCTATCCTGCATTCTATACTGGATGAGATATCGTCAAGGTGTATTTGTGGATATTATGTGGCTTTTTAATTTTACCTACTCACTAGTAAGTCTTCCACCGCATGGAATGCAGGTATTTTACACGGTCAAGTGCTCAATGCCACGTTGACCTTCCTCAAATAATTGCCTCATAATATTTAGACGCATCAGGTGATGGTTGACCTTTTTTATGGCTTTTGTGGCACTGTAGAGATAATCTAGACTCATGCTAGTAGGTTCCTTTTTGGCAATCTAAGACGAGAGACAAAACTAGATGACGGACTACCCGCTTCCTGAGCGTCCCTGCATATCAGCAAATAGGGTGCTATAGAATACGAGCAATGGGGTCGTTTTGTTCTCCACTTTAGCAGCCTACCAGATTTCAGCTTTTCGATCACATCGCATGACCCGAACTTGCAGATGAATCCGGCCAATAGGAGTTGTACGTGTATCAAGCTGCAGATACTGGCTGCGGGTCTGCAAGGGGATTTGCCCTGTTCCTAAAGTCAGATTTTAGGGAGCTTTTGTAGCCAGAGTGGAAATCTCAGTTGCACAGAGTGTACCTGGTATCTGGCGACTGATATAAACTGTAGTTAGTTGCCCACGTTGGGTAGTAAGACTGGTATGTAAATGATACAGTTCGATTTCATAATTACAAGATCGATATGATCCAGTCTATCCTTTTGCTCTCCTTTCTAGGAACGGTGTCCGGGAATCCTGGTAGGGAAGAACATCCTTTTCCATATATTTCCTGACATCGCTTACAAGATGCAGTGATACCCCGCGCCAGTCCAACTAAAACCAACAGCTCCCAGATGCCCTCATCGGAACCGCTCACCTTGCCGGTGCCATCATCTGAGCCGACCTGCTACACTAGTAGCCAATGGCTCGTCATCTCAGGTTCACCCATCTTCTGGCCAACCTCCACTGACTACCTCTATGGCCCAACTGCTGGGCCTGGTGCGTCCGATGTGATCTGCGCAGCGCAATGGATCCAATATGCCGCTCGGTCAGACGGAGTTTCAGGTTTAGGTGCAACGGCCACTTCTACTGTGACTGAATTGATCCCCACTAGCACTGGCGCCTGCACTACGCGCACCCACCTAGAGGGCTACGACGATACACATATTGGGCCGGTGACAACCCTATGCGACGGGTATCCTCGCGCCCTCGGCCCACGAGAAACTGCAACGAGTTATTATCCCGGAGTTGGACCATGTCATACGCTCAGCCTTCCACAAACCATAACTACCATGTTGTATAGAGAGCCATCGGCCTCGCCAACATGTTCACCTCAGTTCGAAGGTTGCCTCGGAGTCTGGCAGACATACAGGTCTCTATCAAGTGAATACGAAGCATCCGTGACGTCCTATATTCCAGGCGACACCAACAGTCCCATAGCACCTAATAACTGCCCAGATACTGTAACAGATCGCCCTGAAGATAACCCCTGCACACAATGCCATTTCCTCCCAGGCACAGCAACAATGTACTACTGGCCCGTGATAACTGCAAACGGCGACCTTTGCGCGCAGGACGGAACCACAATCCCCGCTACACCAACGGGCGAAGGTCCCAACACTGCCATCCTGGATGATCACACTCTTGTCTCGCCTAGTGTCTATATTTCCTTCACCTCCATCTATGCCTGGAGCAACCGCCGCTTCGGCCACCAGTGTGGCCTAAACCACTACAATAAGATGATCTCAGTCCATCCGACGGCCATCACCTCCCGCCGTGGACATCGCAACGCGCGCTACCCCATCTATGGAACTGCGTACCCGTTCAATTTTGCTGAGTTTCTTCCCCAGACTACAGGCAACTACACCCAGTCATTAATCCCTTGGCCTCAGTATCGCGGTGGCTCACAGTGCCCTATCTACGATCCTTCTTGTACGATGGTTCGTGACGACTACGTGCCATTTATTAATATGCCGGATGAGGTGACGAAGATTGATGCTGACTGGGAGAACTGTAATCGGAGTTGGTATATTCCGGCTGTTACTTTGGTGCCCATTATTGACGGGACTGCTATTGCCCCTACACCCACTGGAGAGCCGGAGGCGGTGCCAACTGAAGCGTTTGCCGCCCCGCAGGGGTTAGTGGCTGCACCGACGCCAAAGCCGACGCCAACTCCGGCGTGGTGAGGAATTCTTATATAAAGTGAGATGTGGTTGTGTGCTTGGTACGAAAGTTTGAGTAGCTTGAAGTAACAACTAAGACCTAGCGTATATGACATCCACCGCTAAGGGGGCTATAGGCCTCCATAGCGGTTCCTAAGGCCTCATTGGGCCTTGCTTGTTTGATTAACGTTTTAAGCAGACTTGTTTTGGTTGGGTGCTGCTTTTGATGTTCCGAAGCCCGTAACTAGTCATTTATATAATAGTAAATAATTAAGATAAATTATTATTATTACCTAGCTGAAAAGAGTAAAGAGGTGGAAAGATTATACAAATGCAGGTGAGTGAGGGCTAGTGAGAGTCACCTACAAGGGACCCTTCGAGAGTCAGGACGATGTTTTAGATCTTGGACCCTCATTCTACATAGCGACTTCACGGCACGCAACACACGAAAACGGAGCGGCTGGCGGTCGGCACAGCCCATCAATCAATAGAGCCAGCACCCGGCTACCATAATCTGGTCCCCAATTATTTTTTACAATATTTTTGTTGGATTCTGGGAGGTGTGTGAAGTTGACGACTCGCAGCAGATGCCATGGCATAAATAGACGGGCAGGTATTCCACACTAGCATATTTAGGAATCTTACATTGTATCTAACCCTTATTGATGCTCTCAAGCAAGCAATGACCCCCTATAAAGGGCTAACAATGTGGTCAAATAAGACACGCCTAGAGAATGAATAGACCAGCGCAGGCATTGCATGGCTAGAGCCCTCCGGCACCTGGAAGACTAAGCGGATGCAGCCAGGACAGGGGAAAGAGGTTTTTGATGCAGAGCTAGCAGATACTTGTAAAGTGCTTGAAATAACTGAGCAGCTGGGATATCTAGGTCCTATCAGGATTCTATTAGTCTCCCAGGCAGCTGTAGCCCGGCTACAAGACAATAGAACTGGCCCAGGGCAAAGCTAAGCAATTCAGGCCCAAGATATAGCCCGACGACTTGAGAATCAAGGATGCTAAACCTCTATCCAATAAATTCCAGGCTGTCAAGGTATACTAGGGAATGAGAAAGTAGATTAAGCTGCTAAGATAGTAGTAGAAAAGGCTCCTAGAGATATAGAAAGAGGCCTCAGTCTATTGTATCTACACAGAACATGCATTGAGATAAACCATGTCCAGAGACTATAATAGCTTGTACAGGTTCTAGACAAATGGTCCTACAGGGTCTAAAAACGCTATTAATTCCAGAAAGAATAGAAACTAGATCTGGTAGCTAGGGCAGTACCTAAACAGCTCACTTATTACTACTATCAGCTAAAAGTTAGGCACGCAGCAATACTGATCTATCTGAGTCAAATAGAGGTCCGAGGCTCATCTAGATATCAGAGCTGCTAGGCTCCACAGGGAATAACAGGCCATCTACTTGTAGAATACACACAATAGTACTACCAGAGATAGGCTCTATACAGGGCCCTAATCAAGGCACGAGTATCATTACCTAGATAAGAAGAAACAGTTCTAGAAACCATGAAACCATCTCTTTAAGAATTAGAGCTATAAATGCCCTAATGACCTTCCTTATAATAATAAATATTAGATACTCCCTAGGAAAAGCAGCTAGAGGGATAGATAAAGTCCCTAGAGATAGTCTTTATAACCTACAGCTAGTAAAAGCAGAAAGTAGAGATAAGAATAGTAGAAAGGGTAATCTAGGCAAGCCTAGATAATACCTAGCAAGTAGTAAATACTAAAGAGGATACCCATCTCACCGCCGACCCCCCCCCAACTTACTGTAAGGAGTCAGCTACAGCTCAATGAAAAAATTCTATACAGTTCAATAAAACACTAAAAATTTGCCTATTCGAATCAAGATAAAACCTTATTAGGTTTACCTTGCAAATCTATATAGAAAAATTTTGTAGATGCCCTGTTTTCTTGGCTTAATTGTCACGGATAAGGCATAAATAGAGGGGCACCGGGCATGGTTAGTTGTACTAGTCGTACTATATATACCGCGCCTGGGGTTGTCCAGCCGTTCGTGGCTTGACATATTGTAATAGATCGATAACCATGCCTGGTGCCCCTCTATTCAGGCCTTATCCGTGACATTATGGCTGTAAATTAGTTTATGATCCTCACCCATCCCACCATACTCCAGCTGAGAAAGGGGTAGCGATATACTGGTTAATAAAAAGGCCAACACTCGGCTCCTACTGATGTATATTCCGTGCTAATAATTTAGAAGGTTTGGTAACTATTAAATAATGAATGAAAAGGCAATGCACACCGCGTATATATAATTATAGTTAATGTCAGTTAAAGCGGTTGTTGGCTATCTTCGATATTTCACTCGTCTGGGTTTAGGTCGAAGTGTCAATAGAGAAGGCATGTACTGAAGATCTTGTAAACCTTATATTTAAAGAAACAGTCCCGGATAGCGCTATTTATCCAGTATTGGACGTTGCGGGAGCCAGAGGTTGCTATGGCAGCGTGAAGAGATGCCTTGGTAGCGAGATGGTACATATTACGGCCACAGGGGACCGTAATAATTTGTTTCGCCATGTTTCCAGTGTTGTATTTGGATTATGTCTTACATGTAAATAGCTTCTTGAATGTTTAGGGCTTAGGTATAGTACCAAGGTGGGACGAGAATAAAATGAGAAAGCCCGAGAAAACCTTATAGTTAGTAGATTCGCAAAGTATACGTATCCAGAATATCTTTTATCTTGATTCCTGTACATATGCTTCAAGCGTAGCTATATATGGGATAAGGGAAAGACCTAATTTATCAGTTCTAAGCAAACCGTCAGTTGCGGCACGAGTCTGCTTGAATCAAAGTGTACGGAATAGTCAGTGAACCGATTCTTTGTAGGTTTCATCATATAATGACGATTCATAGCTAGGAAACAGCGATTTGTGGCCCTGCAACCAAATCCGAGTCACTACATAATACTGTTGCACTGTTGCACTGTTGCTACACACTATACCTTCTCTATGTGCATATGTCTCATCTCCCACAGTTGCACCGAATCCTGGCCCCGACTGATTCTGTTATACTGTAGTAGTAAGCGCAACATGAATGACATCGCGGAGATAATCCGGGCAGTCGGCCGCCAGCAAGGGCAAAATGCGTACTATCGTCAGTGCTACAATCACATGAAACATCTGCAAGATTTAGTGGTCGAAGCCTCCAACCAGCTCCTCTGCCTCTGCCATGCCAATAATCCGTATGTTTCGCCTGGAAAAACTAGGCGCCCATGCGAAATACCACACAGGAGTTCCTCTACAAGATACGAAAGACTGAATTAAATTGGAAAGAATTCTGCTTAGTCCTCGGGGTGAGCTCTTCTGATTTCGCCCTTGAACAAGGGTTCTGAGTTTTTGATGCAAGTCGGATCAAGCCGCACTGAACCCATAACCTGTACTGTATCTGCGTCTGCAATGGTCGGTGAGCTTGCTGTTGTACCGATGTAGTCTCATTCGAAAATCGTGTGGGGGCCGTTGAACTAAGGCACTAGCTGCCTAGGATTCGGATCTGCTGTAAGCTGTGGACAATCGAACCTCGTTTTGTTTGTTCTTCTACTAGTTAGTTACTTTGTTACTCACTGTGGGTCGGAAAGTTTACCATGGTCCAAAAATTCCCTTCGGCGGTCGGTATGATGGACAACTGTCAACTTGATTGCTCACTTTATGGTTAAGACATCTATTCCAACTTCCAACGACCCACGACCATGGGACTCTCACCCACTGTGGTCACCGTAGTATAAATAAGCTTGCAAGGGATGACACTATCATTTAGCGTGTGAATTAGTGGACTAATAATTAAATTCAAGGCGTACCAAGCTAAAATATCCATTTAGATGCTGACGAGTACCGGAGAGCTTTTGATTTAGCTTTAGGTCTAGGCCTCGCCATACTGTTTTTTCCGTGGGTGATCGAAAAACCCACCGAGTACCGAAAGGCAGATTGATTAGGGAATACTATGGGCGCTTGTGTAATATTGTATATATTACCGTCATTTATTTATCTTGGCATGTCGCCGACCCGCCATATGGCGAAGGCACCCCCCCTACGCACAAAGTTATCCATGGTACATAGTGACTATCGAACCGAACAGGAGACATATTCAGCTTTCTCAATGGACAGTGATGTACGTTCCGTTTCCGAGCATATTTGGTCATCTGCGGGAACTGCTTAGAATGGGTGGCAATTGAAGCAAAAAGAGACAACGGTCTAATCGTCCGAATGAAAGTTCTTTCTCCTTGAATTATTCGGCCCCGGCTCACTATGTCAAATACGCAATGTGTTGTTACAAGCCAGTTTTTGGATATTCATATTTCGGGCGTCACTGAAGCGTGTGTCTTTGTAGCATTTACGGCGATTGCATGGTACAATACAGTTGAGCTTATTATTTTATGCTTTACAACATTCAAAAAATTTCGAGGATGCTACTTCTGGAGTCTGCTGGTTGCCTCCGCGTGCGTTGGCATTCATGCGCTAGGGTTCCTCCTCTTTGTCTTCGTTATCGGAGTCACGCCTTATATTTCCCTCACAATCGCTGTCTTCAGCTGGTGTGGAATGGTGACAGGACAATCTCTTGTACTCTGGTCACGCCTGCATTTAGTACTCTACCATCCACGGATTCTCCGAGGAGTGCTCTGGATGATTGTTGCTGATGCAATACTCCTGCACACTCCTATAATCGTCCTTCTATATGGGGCAGTGTCGTCACACCCCCGGCAGTTTAGGGCGGGATATAACGTTATGGAGCGAATCCAGTTAGTGGGGTTTTGTCTCCAGGAGTTAACCATCTCTATTATATATGTATGGGAAACAGTCAAACTTCTAAAATTCCAACAAGAGCAGCACCGTCGTCACATTCTACACCAATTGCTTATTATCAGCATTGTCATTCTCCTCCTTGATATTACAGTTGTTGTTGTTGAATATGCTGGTCTCTACACTCTCCAAGTTCCACTTAAGGCGTCTGTTTACAGTGTCAAACTCAAGCTCGAATATTCCATACTGGGAAAGCTTGTGGAAATCTCCCGAGGCCCGGCAACTGATCTTACGTCTTCCGTGAATGACCTGAGCTCTAATCCATTGCCGTATCATGGTGAGACTACTAATGCCATCATTGTGAAATTTGGTGGATTAATGATGCTTAGGGACAAGAATATTTACTACCACCTAGGATCCTAAACATCTGTGTGTTGGGAGGGGTGTTGATCGGACTTCTCAGTTTGTCCCAAGTGGTGACGTGCGATTACCCCGACATAAACGTTTTGGAGAGGATTCGGGGGGAAAGGAAGAGGCCCAGAGAGCAGGTAGCACAACAAGTCTTCTGCTTAAAATAGCAGGGTCGAGAAGGTATAAAAGGGAACAAAGCAACTCAGATCCGTTTTCTTAATTCATGACTTGGTGCACAGACAGGGAAACCGGTTTTATATATTCCAGGATGCCAATAAGGAAACTCTAGTCATAATACTGAAACTAAAGTTACGGGAGAGCTGATAAATTTAGCATTGACGATAAATACTTTTAACGTGTTGTGGCTTGCCCTGGGAACCTTTTTACATGGACCACTTCATTATTTTCGTCTCACCTGTGATCCTATTCCTCTCAGTCTGTGCTGAATTCCACAATATGGTCACTTCTTTCTCTTTCACGCACGATTCTATTACTGGTCCATTGCTTTTAATGCTGTTTCTGCCCATTGTCTTCACTCCATGTAGCTACATTTCATCCGCAGCCTGGTAAACCATGCTTTTTCCCTAAGGACGTATAGCTAGCTTCTTACTAACCGATAATTTGCTATGGTCATCTACATCCATCCGCCTTCCATCTTGCAGTCATTGATCAAAACTTGCTTTGGACGTCAATATAGCAGCCAATTAATAGATATCCTTTCCTAAATACTTGTGCGAGACTATGGTTATCTTCGGAATACATACTGTATATCTTCCAGGCAGTTCAAATTACCACTCTCCTATCCCAGAACCTTGTCCTTGTGCAAAATGACCTCGGGACGGCACCCACCACTAACTAGTGTTGCAATCAGGGCCTAGGCCGAGTCCTGCCTGAGGCACCAAGACTGTTCCATTCACTGTTGATCTGGTCCCGTAACAACAAATTTAAAGCTATATAGGAGTCATGACAACTAGCATGGTTATAATCGAGCGCTTGCTGCAGCCGGCGGCATCGACCATCTAGAATATAATCAGTGCTCTGCTGCCAATCATATCATGGAACATCACTAGCTGTGAAGGTGCAAGTCGGGGTGCCATGACGGTCTTCATAACGCCTTGGGCATAAGAAGTTCTTGAGGTAGCGAGATTAGTGGGGGCGGCAAGCTTGGAGCCAGTCAGTTCGGCCTGACACTTGTTAACGTGTCAAGAATCCCACAACTTTCTATTCAAAGCTAAATCTGCATGTAGCTGGAAAAAAAGCGAGATCGGCTAGCACGTAGTACGAGATCATTCATCACCAAATAACAAATGAGACATAACATGACAACGGGTATAGGCTGACATTGAGACCTCTGGTTCTCGTGTCGGTCAATTATCATCCCTACACCTCCTAGTTGCCTTCCCTGGTGAAGGGCAACATTCATCGACGGAGTTGGTCAATTGGTCAATTCAATCAAACTTGACTTCGTTGTTATACTAGTAGAAGAATAAGAAGGAAAACAGTCAAAAGAGATGACCAAGAGGGCGGTGACCGGGGCGGTCTACTTTATGCTTGAGAACACGCTATCACTTAAGCGAAGCCTACCCACATATTCCCCCATAATCCCGAATCTCGAATATCATCATGACCATAGCGTCTGCGGTATCTTTTTTCCAGGATCCGTGCTTTGCTAAGGAGATTCATTAGGAACTACTTCTGAATAGAAGACAAGAAGAAGGTTATGATCTAGGAGTATGAATCAAACAAAACACTCTGGGATTTTGCTTGTATTCGGAAGTCCTACACTGTGGCCTTGACGAAGAATCTGGACGATGGTGTAGGGGCTACTAATATTAAACCACCAGCCCCATCCTTGGTGCAACTCTAACTCTGAATCTCGACCGTGCTTCTTCCTCTTCAACCTTTTTTTTATTCCTTGGTCAAACATCATGTCATCTGTTAGCAGCGTTCTCATACGCCGGGGCACTGAGTTAATTTCCGCCCGGCTTCGATACCGTGACCAGCCTCAAATACATGGATGGCTAGGCCTCTCAGTCGTCATTGTTACGGCCCTTGCATTTGGTTTGGCAATCTTTTGGGTGGGTTGGTATTAGTATTACGAACAGCAACTATTTAAACTCATCGATAATAGATTGACTACACCTGCGCCCATGTTATTGCGACTCTGGCCGCGGTCGAAGACTCCAACCCGAATACCTATATTCGCATCGACAGCGAAGCTTCTAACGGTTCCTTCGACCCTAATGATGGCGAGTTCGCAGCTGCATCAACCACTAAGCCTATCACTAGCGGGTTACGCTCGGCCATTAAGCACCTACGCGCCCGTGGTGGCATCTGGTCGTGCTTCCGTGGATTTCGTATGTATCTGGCCTTCGCAGGGTTTGATATGGGCGTGGGTTTTCTAGTTCCCGCTATTATTCCTATTCCGATCGACCCTCTCGTCGGTTCATTTTTTGGGGAGTTCGTTGCTAGCATGCTCTTGGCCACCTGGCAGATGGCTTGGGTTCATCTTGTGATCGCCGAAAAATCTCCCAGGAGCTACTACCGGCGAATGCTTGGCCTCCGGAATTGGCCTAGAATTGCCCCTGCGGCTGCTTTGTACAATTTCCTAATGTGTGTGACTTTCTCTCTGCCTACAGCTGCCGCAAGGCTCGCTGGCTGGACTGTCATGAGCGCTGTTGCCAATCCAGGATATAAAGGGCTTCTCGGTTTCCTAGTCATTAGCATTCTCCCGGCTATATTTTTTCTATTGGTGTCGGTTCCCGCCAGGGGAATATTCATCCGTGTCGCTGCCTCTATGCTGCCCGAGGAGGATGACCCAATCGTACCCTTCGACCGCCTTTTTGGTGGCAAGGCGAAACCCGAAATTATGGGTGGCAGCGGCAAGCTCGGCCTTATAGATGCCTGGACCACTTTTGAATGGGCTGCTCGCACTCGCTACGTTAAGGTCATCCTGAAGGCTCTTGCCATTGAGGTTGCACTAGGTGTGGTTGGGATCCTTCTAGTAATGAGCCAGTTGACATTGGTGATCCCTACTAGTCAGGGCTCGTCTTCTCCCCAGACTTAATTCTTAATTAGGTATACAATTGCATCTGCATAATATTGAAGCATTCCCGGTAGTCACACTGCACACTCTAAGGCCGTTCACCAGAACGGACACGTCTTCCACAATGCTACGGTATACCCTAGCTCACGTCAATATCAGACGGTTAGAAATACCAAGCTATTTATATTGACCCACTCTACCACTGCTTGATTAATACGTCATCCAGGAATGAGAGGAGGCAGATGAATAACGTGAAATATTGCAGCGGCCTTCCCTACTTCGATAGGCCAAGAAAAGACCAAGGAAAAACAAAAAGCAAAGTAACTCAAGGACCGTCAGGTCATCCAGCACCCATCCTAGGTAGAAAGGCAAGTTTAACTTGCCCTGTCCAAATGGGCGCCCTCTACAAAGGATACTCCCTCTGCCTGTAGTCATCAGCGATTCTTCGCTCATCTTCAGCCCCCCAACATTCGTGTTTGGAACCTTGTTTTGTCTGCAAGCCCTGAAGTTTCCTGGGCTTTAATCGATGGAACAGCTTCGGAGGCTATTTGTTCATTGGTGACATGCAGCAGATGGAGTCTCCTGTGAAGCTTGAAATCGAAGACAGATCCAAAACCATGGCTTCTAATTCTAGATACCTTGTAACATTCATACGGTATCACTAAATATCTGGTAATAAAACAGGTAGATACAACACAGGCGATTTACGCCCTATCCAAATCAAGTATAGTGACATACGTGATTAGGATTTGAAAAAGCGTCTCTATGTACCGACATGGAAGTGATAACGGCTACTCTTGTACCATCGTGAGAGAGTAATATCTACTAGGCTTCTTTACGATAAAGTTCAAGCCCTGCCTATTCTGTATCTACCACTGGGGCAGTTTTTATGATTTGGATGCAGCCAAGCTGTAGCTGACACCATAATAATACTTCATACTATGGACTACCTACCTTTATATTGATACTCAATTGCTATCTATAGTCATGATGCTCAAGAAACTTTCACCTATTGTCTCTAGCTAACAAAAGAATCAATGTAAAGCGTATCAATGATTGAGAAGAGAGGTATAACTGGTGATAAATCTTTTCTATAGAAGTCTAACCGCGTGATCGCCGGATAAGCGTTCCTGCGAATGACATATTGGGACTTTCTATGATTCATTCATTTCATTCATTGGAAGACCGCTCATCAATGATTCAAGGACTCTTGCCGGAGAATATACGTCTCGGCTCTTCCCAAACCTTTCATTCTGTAACGCCTGCATTTAATCATTGCCAACACCCACCAGCGATTGGGAGCTTGCAATCCAGTCGCGCAGTGATTCATGTTGAATGGAGACACAATGAACGAAAACTAAATTGATATTAAGGTTTTTAGTACTCAAAGCATTCTATAATACAGTGCTGGGTCCTATGTCAAGTGGTGATTCCCGTTGACGTCGCAGGGGCGCAAGATTGACTGATCTGGTGACCAAAGATTCTATTTAGAGGATACTAAGAGATCAAGCCTTCGTTTTCTCTTTTCTACTTTCTTTGGCTCGATCTGTCCTATCGTCCTACTTTACCTATAAAATTTGAAGAAGCATAAACCGCGCGACTGATCAGGAGGTACGTTGGGCGCTTCCTCCAAACCCATGAGATAGGGCTTTACTGTGACGGCGCAGTCCCTATACAGAGTAACATGCTCCTTGTTTGTTCTGTTTGTATTCGAGATAGACAATATCCCACAGAGCTTCGCTCGTGGGATATTCTCTTCTTCAAGCAATTCTCTCGTATTAGAGCTACCCAATTAGATCAGTTTATCTATATTAGCCTGAGCCGTCACATTTACGCCATCTATCATATAATGGAATTAACGCCTATAAGCAAAGGAGACCTCGGGGCGCTACCCCACTTGAAAGGGTATGTTGGGGTCTTATGTAGTTTAAGGCTAGACTACCTAGTCCAACAGTAGAGCCTGATAAATTGACCAGGGTTGTGTTTGCACTGTTTATACATAGCTTGCCTGTCTCCCCGCAAACGTCTCGCGCCCCCACAACACTTGCTTCTCTTTTCCTTCCACGCTTGAAATTCTGATTATTATCATATTGCTTGGCCGTCACACAGAGTACTCAGAAAGATGCGCCCAAGCCAGCGATCTCTTGCTACGGTTCTGCTTCTTTGCTTCGTTGTATGGTTTGGGAAGCGTTTGGCCACTCCGGCGCAGGAGATCTACCAATTGTCACGTTGGCATAACGGGGTCGCATGGGCTTCCGCGGCGCCTTTCCCGGCTAGCAGCTCTTCTCTGAAAGCCTCAGCCACTAGCATAAGGCAATCAAGTATTACCGACCTGACTCCCTCACAGTACGAGGGGGCTGAGCCGCCTATTAGCAACCGCCCTTCTACTGTCGAGACAACAGAGGTCGATCGTGTTATTGTTGTAGGGAAAATGAAAGATGACGATACGGACTGGGTAGTAAATGAATTGACCGAGTACGTCTTATATCCTATATACCTGAACATATAGGCAGTGGAGCTAACATGTCAATAAAGCTGGTTACATGCGATTTATGCAGTGGATGATCCAGAAGCACCTCTCCACGTAACCAAGAACAAAGGAAATGAAGCCAATGTATATCTACAATATATTATCGACAATTATAATGATCTCCCCTCCACTATTGTCTTTCTCCACAGCCATCGGGATGGCTATCCAAGAGCTTGGCATACGGAATTCTCTGACCACAGTAATGTGAGAGCTGTACAGATGCTGCAAACGGATTTCGTCCAAAGAAATGGTTACGTTAACCTTCGTTGTAACCATAACCCTGGCTGCCCTGACGAGATCCGTCCATTTCGCGCCGAGAAAAATGAAGATCACGTGCCAGAGCAGGTGTTTCCTGAGGTTTGGGAGACTTTCTTCAATAATACCAATGTCCCAGAGATTATCGCAACCCCCTGCTGCGCACAATTTGCGGTGTCAAGAGCGCAGGTGCTACAGCGTTCATTAAGCAGCTATATGCTGTATCACCAATGGCTTATGGACACGGAATTACCGAGCGATGTCAGTGGACGAGTTATGGAGTACATGTGGCATATTATTTTCGGGCAGGATCCTATCTAGTAAGCTGTCCTTAACTCTATCAATGCCTACAGACTGACCTTCGCCAAGTTGCCCTGATATGATCCAATGTTACGAAGATGTCTACGGTATTCTGGATATCTAATCACTAACTTACGTAGCTTGGGGCAACATCCGCGACATATCCAAATCCGTGGATATGCGGATTTGGACGTAATATGTTATCCACATATGTGTAACGGTACAGTATGAATAGTAAATGGTATCCGCAGTTTGGATTTGGATACTTTATAGAGAGGCAAACAATATATATGTAGCTAATTTTGGAACTGTATAACTTACACGTGTTTTGTCTATATCTATTGTTTTAGGGTATATAGAAGTCATATTTCAGATATAAGGTATAAACTATAAAACAAGGCTGAAGGTACGTCTTAGAAGTTTTTTGTTAAGCTATATAGCTATAGATTACTGATTTTATAATCCTCGAACTCTCTTGGAGCCTTGTGAACCCTGTCAGGGTATCTATTATTCAGGGTAGAGGACCTGTCAACTACGTAAAGATACGTAGATTAAAGGAGAGGGAAAGATTAAAGGAACGCAGTAGATACTATTCCGATGGGAGACTGATCCTTGCCCTCCTACCACTGCTAACGATTTGCTAATTTATAGCTGAGGGCTCTACACCTAGAGGTTTCAGAGTTCCCATTGAAAACCAAACCGTCGTAAGGCCTGGTGTTCCTCATCAGCGGCCGAATGTCCATGCACCTGGATCAGGTTACCCTGTACAGTCATCAGGCCGAGTCGCTATTCGATCTGTAACAAAAGTAATGCAATAACTATAGGGAATAAAGAAATAACCAGAACAGTGGTGAATAACTGTAATATATCTAAATAGAGAAGTAGGTTTATACATCTTAGCACGATCTTTTCGGGAAAATTATACAAAGATAGGTAGACCTTGGTTACCCAGGTGGGCTATGGGTTTTGGCAAGGCCTACGCCCCGAGTAATCACCAAAGCTCCAGCCTAATCTGTGAATATCTTGGATCAGGCGATACAGCTGAACATGTTAAAAAGGGTGCAGAACTAAAAATTACTGTAAATCTCTATCTTGAAGAGTGGCTACGCTTTTGGACTACAAGCTCTCCGAGATACGCCGCAACCACCCCCATGGCAGATGGTGAGATCAAAGTGGAACTGCTAACTACTGCGCGAGTGACCTTGCTCGGGCAGAATGCCACATGCACCTGTGCCATTCTGTAGGGCAATTGTCATTGGGCATTTTGGAGCTTGCCCCCTTATCTAAGGGCAACTCCGATCGTTGTTCTGCTAGGCCCAACGTCCTTAGTCAACCGACCTGAGAAGCGGTGAGAGGAAATACACCATGTGTCACGACCCTAAGAGCGATATATCTATGGGTACAAGAAGGAAGCCAAGGGGGCTTAAGTGGGCCGACAAGGGGATACTTGCGGTATCACTACTACTGTATTTGATAGTGTCTATGAGCCCTCCTACCGACTATTTCTTACTCTACAGTTACATTAGTATTTTATAATATAATTCGCTGGTGTATGGGGGGGATATAGTACAACTCTATTTTAGGCCCCTTAGCCATATTCTGCACTGTGTTTTCCGTAAGCTTATTGACTTTCGTCTTTTATTTGGAAAGCGTGCATTTGAAGGTGTACTGTTAACACTTGAATGGGACTTGGTTCAGCAGCCGACTCTGATTGTCTACATTTGCACGTCACGTCCTGGCCAAACTTGTCCTTGCTGGCTTAGGACAGCGGAATTACTAACGTCGTCTGGAGGAGCAGGAGTTGAGTGGTCAAGTTCATGGTCATCATATAGTCACTGGCTGTCATCGAGATTTTCATTATCCATCGTGGCGAAGAGCTGATTCAAAATGCAATGGTTGGATCGAACCAACGCTGCATGTAGGTCTCGAGCGCGTAGCCACCACACAGTCCGATGGGTATTCGGCGTCCTGGCTTCCTGCGAGCTTCCATGGCTTCCATGTCAGCAGCGTAGTAGATCTCGAAAGGGTGAAGGGCATTAATATTCATTAAGGACAAGTGACCTTAATCACATACCAATGGGGCCTTAGGTGAGGCTGTGTATAGAGGGCAAGTCTTAAGAGTGAATAAATTAACACCAACAAGGGGACAGGCCAATGCAGTGCCATTAAGGGTTGTCAAGGAGCCTATATCGTGGTGCCATGCAGGTAGAGATAGCTTTACTAATTATAAGTATTATACAATATTCAAGCCTTTACTTCTATAACATTCTGAAGGCTTTACTTTTATTGGAGAATATCAAGACTCTCAGCATCGACACTCGCACCAAGCAAATCAGGAAAGTTCCCAGGTATTTAGAAATTAATGATTATCACCGCTCATAAGGGGCTCGTAAGATTCTATCCTTCGGTGCTGCCGTGCTGATGATGCCCCCCCCCCCCAAACTGTCTGCGCAGTTGCTCGTGACGCTGCAGCATCGGACGTGGCCACGTTAGTATGATGGTCGAAGCCGTGGAGTGTTTTGTCGAGGATAGATCCAAAGCCGCCAATTGTAACACCCTCATGGGGAGCTTGCTCCTGCTCCATGTCGAAGGGTGCAATAGAGATACCGTCTCGCGCGATTCTAATGGCGCCAACGTACGGCACCTTGACGAGCAACACGTTTTGGTCGTCTTTTTGACCGCCATCCAAGTGCCTCTCTGCAGATCGTGCCTCAATATCCAACAAATTCTTGAGAAGGGCGACACGTTTCGCTGTGAGCACATCCTCATGCAGCTCCGACATAGATTCTATGCACTCAAGAGCCCGCTCTACTGTAGTCTGGTCTCCCACCCGCTGGTGTACGAGTAGGTTTTCCGTCCCCTTGTTACAATGGCTCAAGATGTGGGCCAGCATCAGTGTCATACCCGCAATCAGAGCCACGAAATCGCCCATCCGACAGCTGGCCGTGACTAGGTTGAACGTACGGATCCCAATATGTCGGATAAGAACCTCGCGGCTGGCGCTTGTGCAGGCGATTCTCGAGTACATCCCCTGCGACATATGCCTTAGGTTTAGCATATATGACAGATGGAGCTGGTTCACTAAAGAGTAATAAAATATATGGTCCCAAACTCGTCGAGTTTCCCGGATGGCACCCGCCGAGTCTACTTCGTGACCCGCAAGTTGCAATGGCCGCCTGCGTTCTGGCGGCCATTACTCAGTGACCTGATCGATGCAGGCCCAATACCTGTGCTTTCATGACAGCACGGCACATTGAGATCCAGGATCGTCGGATGTTGCCGCCATCTATATGATAAAAGCCTTCAAGAATAAGGTACTCGAGACTCGAGACCTTCCAGCGTGCCCAGCAGGACGTCATTCGCGTTCGCCAGCTTGACGGCCGAATCTGCTAGCTGCTCCATAATGGCGCGATGATGCTTGGTTAGGCCAGGTATCGCTTTTGCGGGAGACAGGTATTGCAACCCTACTGCGAAAAGCAGCATTTGTCTTGCCAACAAGACTGGGTGGCTTTCCGGATGTAGGAGATTGGCTACTGATATTTGTTCTTTGGCTATTTCGCTCGGCCACGAGCTGCATAACTCGAAGCTGGATTGGTAGCAAAACATGGACATGCTGCTGAGGTTTTCAAGCTGAGTTTCGATGCCTTTCTGATGGGGGAGAGAACTTAATATGTAGCTTGACGTTGAGATGACCATGTTCTGGTTGGTCTACCCTCGTATCTAATGCAGAAGGGGCCGGAAGATGTGTTGACGCGGAAAGTTATGATTCTATCTCAGCTGATAGTCGAAGATTAGTCGACAATTAGATTGTTAGTCCAGGTTCGGCCTAGGACATCCCCAACCTGGCTTTTTGTTTCGCTGTAACATATATCAAGAATCTCACCCCTAGAGGCTCTCCGATCACGTGGCATGAAAGCTGGCTCCAAAGCTGAAATGAATGCTCTCATATATGGTTTGCCATACATTTGAGAAGGGTCTAGCTTTTCAAGATTTTCGGCCTCATCCTTCGAAATCTGGCGCATTTTAATGGGCTGTTGTGTGAAAGAAAGAGTTTTCTGGATCGATTTTCGGGGTTTCTCTGATAAAGTTGCGTGGCAGGAAGAACATTCCCCCAGATGCTTCTCCATGCGAGATACGTTTGAGTGCATGTCGCCAGTCGTAATGTCGATATTGTATAAGTTTGCATTAAAAATATATTAGATAGAGCCTATAATAAACCTTTCCCATGTGCCCTTGTGTCTATCGGAGCAGATAACCTCACAAACTCGGAATAGATCAATAAATTCTCCTTTTGGACCACCGTCGCTGACATCTGGTATCCTGCAGGTACGAAAGGTCGACGCGTCTGGAGTTGCTGGTGTACAAAAGGTGGTTTCCAAATCAGGACTAGCTGTATTTACCGTTTAATTTACCAATTTCTTTAATTTACCGTAAATTATATTAATTACGGTAAACTGACGTCCCACCGTTACATGGACGTTCCCAATTGGGCTGTATTAGCTGGTCTTATTGATGGTTTTGGAGAGGTCGATGACTGCCTGCATAAGGCGAAGATTGAGGCAAACAGGATTGATTATCTCCCCATTGGAAGCATTACGGAAAGTCATGAAAATAAGCACCAATAATCCTTGGTAAGCACCATTATCCATAATGCTGACTGAGGTATTCCCAATTAGTTACCAGATTAGGGCCCGATAAACCAACTCCGCCCCCGCAAGGCTCTTATAGCTTCCACATCACCCAACTGCGATTAGAATACTCAGTATTCAACTTATCATAACTCGAAGATGGCGATTCCTCAATCTTGTACCGTTCTCGTAGCAGGGGGTGGCCCTGGAGGTTCTTATACCGCGGCTGCTCTCGCACGTGAAGGCGTTGATGTTGTCTTGCTCGAAGCAGACAGCCACCCCCGGTATGGATCCGTGTGCCAGATCTCACATATTGCCCGCCTGAGCAACTAACTTGTGTAGATACCACATTGGAGAGAGCCTGCTCCCTTCAATGAGATACTTACTACGTTTTATCGACCTGGAAGACACTTTCGAGCAGCATGGATTCCAGAAGAAGGTAAGATATTCATTGAGTGGGGGAACGGGGCATTTATATCTCTCGTGCAAGTTCAGATAGGCTGACCTGCAGACGCAGCTCGGTGCATTTTTCAAGCTCAACGCAAAGAGTGCGGGATGTTAGTAGAGCCAAATAACCTTGGCAATGTGTTGGAGCTACGTCCTAATATAATGGCATCACAGACACTGACTTCATCCGGGCCAACGGTCCTAATGGATATTCTTGGAATGTGGTAAGGTCCGAATCGGACGAGATTCTTTTTCGCCATGCCGCAAAGAGCGGTGCAATGACCTTCGAGAATGTCTCCTTGAAGTCGGTCAATTTTGAGCCTTATAAGAACGAGGAGTTCTCCAGCCTACACAAATTGGCCAACCCTGGACGACCTGTTTCGGCCGAATGGACGACGAAAGATGGTCGTTCTGGTACCATATCGTTCGATTACTTGGTGGATGCGACGGGTCGAGCTGGTGTTCTGTCGACCAAGTACCTCAAGAATCGCAAGTTTAACGAAAGTTTCAGAAACATTGCGATGTGGGGGTACTTCAAGGGTAATATTCCACCAAGCCCAGGAACAGACCGCGAAAATCAGCCCATATCCGAAGGCATGAGAGGTGAGTCCGTCATGTTTATGAAAATCTTGCTTGCTGGTCGCTGACCGGGTAATCGTGTGTGTCCATAGATGGATCAGGCTGGGTGTGGATGTTGCCTTTGCACAACGGCACAGTATCAATCGGAGCTGTTGTTCGAAAGGATATTTTCCTTGCCAAGAAGAAGGCATTGCCGGAAGGGACAACGGAGGCCGAAACCCTGGCGAGCTTAGTTGGACTCTGCCCGACGATATCTTCGTATTTGGAACCGGCGGAACTGGCTTCTGGTATCAGACAAGCCACAGATTATTCCTATAGTGCCAGCGCCTATGCCGGTCCAAACTTCCGTATGGTCGGCGATGCAGGATGTTTCATTGACCCCTTCTTCTCATCTGGTCATCATCTGGCCCTGTCCAGTGCCCTGGCAGCGGCGACGTCCATCCATGCGTCCATCCGGGGAGACTGCAACGAATTCGATGCCTCCAAGTGGTACGCGAAAAAGGTTCACGAAGGGTACACGTTATTCCTTGTTGTGGTAATGGCTGCTCTCAAGCAAATCCGCATGCAAGAACAGCCGATCCTGTCTGACCTTGATGAGGAAGGCTTTGATCGAGCATTCGCGATCCTCAGGCCAGGTGAGGTCACCCTACACCTTCTATTGTGGACCGTAATGTATATTATGATGCTAACAGCTCCAAATTCGGACAGTCATCCAAGGAGTCGCAGACAAGGAAACGGCACCAAAGACTACGACAGAGTCGATCACCGAAACTATCGACCTCTGCCTTAATGCGCTCAACGACCTGCACGACACAGAGCTGCAAGGAAAGTTGACCAACATCGTGGAGGCAAAAGGCACACCCGAGCAAGCACAACTGCTCGGGAAACTTTCGCCGGAGGAGACGGCAGCCCTTCAGCGCATGCGCGCCATGCATTCAATCCTCCCCATGGGTGAGCTTGAGGATTTCGAGAACAGCAATATAGACGGCCTGAAAGCTCGACTCAAGCGTGGGAGTCTAGGACTTTGTCGTGACCGTGCAGGTAGTTTTCAACATGTAGATTAGGGTTGTCTCTTTCTCAGGATCTAAGAAGCTACCTAGGTCTACAGTAGTAGTTTATATAAACGAACAGCAGGATGGATGACAGAGTTCCATAGCATTCTCGAATATACGATGCCCCACAGACTCCATACCACACCTGGCCTACCTGCGATACGAGAGGCTTGTTGCCTGCTGCCTGAAAAATAGAGAGGAATGCAACAGGGAAGAAGTGATGTACTTGGCAGTATGTAAATCGAATCGAACAAATAAAAACATGATTATTTAATTCTGTCAGACTTCTACCGTAATCCGAGTTTTCATGCAGCCACGGGTGAAGCTCATTAGTCCGCCGCGACTCCACCTCACCTCCTTAGCTTGTAGTCGCCACCTCCATAAGGATGCGCGATTATGCGGCCAATTAGTACAGAACTGCCACTGCGGTGTAAGGTAGGTGAGCATCTCCCTCTCAGACATCGTCTTCTTTTCCTTGCAGTCAACTACTTGTTTTTCATAATGGCAACGCTCTCCGCCAACCTTTATCGTCGTCGTTGTGGTTGTAGTGTTTAGCGCCAGGGGATCAAGCCACTGCTAAGTGGTGACCCAGGCCTCCCATGGGGCATGTGGGGTGCTGTAGCTAGGTCTATATAACCCATTCAGCAAAACTCGCTGGACGGCTTGTAAGCCTACGGCCAATCTATCGCTGTGTCCTCTGAGGTCAGCTTGCCGTAGGCATCAGCCTCCTTAAGACAATCTGTAGGACAGGACTGCTACGTTCCTGTGTTTCGCATTGTGTTCGCACGTGTGTTGGCACGGCGTTTCACCGCGTAGCTATTCAGAGCTGTTGACTCCCGCCTTGCAGCCCCTATTAGTTGGTTTCTGTCCTACACCGCTTCTCCTAAAGCCAACCCAACCTTCGTATCAGATGAAACCACGCCTAACCTTCCCCCTATTCCTCAACTGCCCTAATGTCTTACCCTCCTCTCACTCCCCCCCCTAACTCGTACAGAATTCGGTTATTCCCACGAACCTCTTGAACTTTTCTGGATCGTAGAGGACTAGGAGGTACTGTATCTATTTCTTCTCTCCTCTCGGCGGCCAGGGAGGGGGTCCGGCCACTTCAAGAAAGTAAGTCTGGAGTATGTACCCCGTACGAAGTGCGTAAGTTCCTTTGTCATTAGGCACCTGCAGTCTAGTGTTGCATCCTCATGCTGGAGCTTCGTATGGTACCATGCAAAGTCACTATGGCCTGTCCAAACTGGGTAGTCTCTTTGAGGCCCCAGCCCTGGTAGCGTTCTTATGTCCTATCTAGCAGTTTGCCCCACTGCCAGCCGCGTTCGTTTTTTATGTGTCTTCGCCATCTTGACTTGATACCGCACTCTTTTGTTGGGTAGTCCTTGAGACGGCCATGTTCATTGCCAGACAAGGATCAATGGTCTTACACCTAACAAGCCAGCGGATCAGTCCTCGCCCGTATCAAGGAACTTCGACCCTTGTTTCGCTAGCTTATCTGCCAGCTCCTTCCTTGGTATGTTGTAGTTCCCCAGGCACTACTTGACCTTCACGCCTTGCGTGTCGTGTCCATGACCTTATGGAACCTGTGGTATGCCCATTGAGAGGATGGGGCAGCGTTGCTTCGTAGGCCCCATATCACGCCGGTGTTGTTTAGGTAAACCCACGTCCTTAGCTGCTTGCTCCCTGGAATGTTGAGTGTCGCCCACTCGAGACCTCTCCATTCCCGGAGCACTTCCGCGTCGATGCTGATAGAGCATTCGTCAAGCCTGCCGTTGCGCTCCCCTAGGAGCTGGTGTCATCGGTATACAGTATAGCCGTATCTAACATGCGTCTCCCCCTCCAGTGAGCCATCCACAATGTCCTTCTCTGGTAGTAGACCTCGTAAGGGGCTCGCGACTCGTCAGGCACGATCCAACTCGGAGCCCGAGTATTGGCAGTCTAGGTTATATGGTCTTGGAGTCGAACCTGAGATATTAACTTGAATCTCAGGTTCTACAGGGAGGAGGAACGAGGTGAGGAGTTTGGTAGTGTTGCCGGCGAAAGTGACGAAATAGGCGATACCAACAGCGCTTTAGAAGTGGACAATGATGAAAATAGCGGCGTCTACATGTTAGGTACTGATTTCGAAGCGGCGTTGCTTCCAGGCAGTTGAATACCGGTGGAGAGTTGGTGGTATACTTGTTACTCTGTTGTTGCATTTGGTATGTGTATCTAAAGTACTATTGATCAAACCGGAGGTACAAGCATTCCCGGCTAAAATACCACTACAGCTAGGTACCTGCAGTTTTGCGAATCAAAAACCCCCACTAGGACCGCAGGTTCGAAATCGTGGTCGCAATAAGGCCACCCAAGTAAGCAAAGTAAGCATTTCAGATGGTGTGGTAATGTATTTGCATGCTGACGCGTAATAGCCGACTGACAAATGCTGGATAGTCAATAGACAGACGTTGAACGCCGCTTAAATACTCGCAGTTTTGGAAGACATATGCCTGCTAGAGTCTAGGATCACTTGTTGTAGCTTCCCAACAAACAAAGCAAATATTGTCATCATGGTTTCGGCCAAAGTCTTGTATTTTTCGGGAGAAATTCCCCAGGGAGACCCAGAGGGTGATCAAAGAACCCTATTCCGAAAGTTAAATTTGCTCAGCAAAGAGCGAGATCATGTGGTTCTGGCATCTTTGCTAGAGTGTGTGACACTGGCATTGAAGGACGAGTGTAGTCGACTAAGCCGTCTCCACCGTGACCATGTCCCACCATTCGAAAGCGTCCTCGATTTGACAGATCATGTTGTTCAGTTAAGGAAGACGCCGCTCGGTGGGGCCATCGAGCGGGTATTGGTTCTCGTTTTCCAATTGGGAAGCTTTGTTGCGTAAGTGTCAGCCAGCCATTCAATGGGGATAAAAAGCTCACCAATATTCTGGCAAGATATCATGAGGCTCATCCACTGGAGTACAATTTCACACCGGCCAGTACCTCACTCATCGGAAGGGGCTCGGGTCTACTCTCGGCGGCTGCAATCGGTCTCTCACCGAGCATTTCCATGATACCAAGCATCGCCCAAGATATCGCCCGAATTGCATTTCGGTTTGGTCTGGTTGTGGATCAAGTTTGTCGATCGTTGGAGGTCTCTCACGATGAGATCAATGCCGACGGCGCCTGGGTATATTGTGTCCACGGGGTGGATGAGAAAGACGCGCGTGACTCGGTAAATAAATTCAACGAAGACAAAGTCAGCGCAGAACTGGAATGGAAGTCACTAGCGATATGCTAATGGATGCAATAGGCTTATCCTCCAACCAATGGCGCGTCAGTCTTCAATATCGACAACGCTGGAGGCTCGGTCAGCATAGGTGGACCGCCAAAAACGCTGAAGGCGCTTTTTGCCGAGTGTAATGGCTTTAAGAAGACGAAGAACGTGGCAATGAAGAAAATACAGGGTATGTGGCATACTGACAGAGTGTATGGCATGGAGCACGTGGGACAAGTCGTCTCCAAGATCGAATCCACACAGGAGCTGCACATTCCGTTAATATCGCCTGTGAGCGGAGAGCCGTTTCGGGAGACAGAGGCCGGACCCCTACTCGAACAGATCATGGAAGAGATATTGACCGAGAGGGTGCGCTGGGACTTGATTATTGACACTGTTACCAAGCAACTGAAGCAGCTGGAGCCCAAGTCTGCGCAACTGATTAGCATACAGCCGTCGCACTATAACCAGAACCTGCTGGAACGCTGGCGAATTGAACTGCCCAACGCAGCGGTGTCAGACCTCGCTATGATGCCAGCTGTATTGGATCTCGTTCTCGGAAAAAGTCCGCCGAAGGACACACGATCGTCCAAGATTGCTGTCGTAGGCATGGCATGTCGTTTCCCGGGCGCGGACACCACCGAAGAATTCTGGGAGCGGTTGATGCAGGGGCAAGACATGCACCGCCATGTTCCTCCCGATCGATTCGATGTCAAAACACACGTAGATCCCACGGGTAAACGACAGAATACGTCAAAGACTCCATACGGCTGCTTTGTTGATAATCCGGGGCTGTTCGACGCTATGTTCTTCGGCATGTCACCCAGAGAGGCTGAACAAACAGACCCAATGCAGCGTCTTGCCTTGGTGACGGCATACGAAGCTCTGGAGAACGCCGGGTATGTCAACGGTCGAGGCGTCATCCATCGCCAGCGTGTTGGCACCTTTTACGGCCAAGCCAGCGACGACTATCGCGAAGTCAACTCTGGACAGGAAGTAGGCACTTATTTTATCCCCGGTGGATGCAGGGCGTTTGGTCCCGGACGTATCAACTACTTTTTCAACTTCTGGGGCCCTAGCTTTAGTGTCGACACGGCATGCTCTTCGAGTTTGGCAGCTATTCAAGCCGCGTGCTCGTCACTGTGGAGTGGAGATGTTGACATGGCCATTACTGTAAGTTTGGCTGTTTATATTAACGGCTAACAATTTGCAAGCGCTGATAAAATCGTGACTACTACCCTAGGGAGGGATGAATATCCTCACAAACTCTGATGTGTATGCTGGGCTCAGCCAAGGCCACTTTCTCTCCTCTACGGGGGGCTGTAAGACTTGGGATGAGGGAGCGGACGGATACTGTAGATCTGGTATGACGTCGCCCTTGCACCCTTAACACCGCGTGATCTTCAAGATGTCCACTGACTAGCAATGCTGAATAGATGGAGTTGGAAGCGTGGTTTTAAAGCGACTCGAGGATGCAGAAGCCGACAACGATAACATCCTCGCGGTAGTCCTATCCGCAGCTACTTCTCATTCGGCAGAAGCGGTTTCGATTACGCATCCTCACGACACGGCGCAAGCTCTGTTGTACGACCAGATTGTCCGACGAGCTGGGATCGACCCCCTGGCGGTAGGTTACGTGGAGATGCACGGCACAGGAACGCAAGCTGGTGATCCTACCGAGATGAGATCTGTGACCAGTGTGTTCGCGCCTCCCCGTATACATGGCCATCGACCGATACCCCTGTATGTGGGCTCTGTAAAAGCTAATATGGGCCATGGAGAGGCTGCTGCGGGAATCATGGCTTTCGTCAAGACCATGTTAGTCTTCCAGAATGGCATTGTTCCGCCTCATGTCGGCGTGAAGACAGGTTTAAATCCTGCACTCCCAGACTTGGGCAAGATGGGCGTCGTTATTCCATTTAAAGCTGCCAATTGGAGCCCGACCGGCACGCAGAAGAGGTTGGCCATGGTCAATAACTTTGGCGCCGCTGGAGGTAACACCGCCATGATTATTGAAGAGGCTAGCCCAAGGCCACGGCTGTCTGAAGACACACGAGAAGCCCATGCTATTACGGTTTCAGCGAAGACAGCTCAATCTCTCAGCTCTAATATCAGGCGCCTTGTCGAGTATATTGAAGCGTCGCAAGACTTATCTCTTGCCGACGTCGCCTACACCCTCTCTGCCAGGAGACGTCACTACGAATACCGGAAATCCGTTGTAGTAAGATCCTTGGCCGACGCTGTCAAACAGCTTCAACCGCACATTGAAACTGCCATGGCCCAGACTCCGATTTTAGTGAAACGACCCTCGGTCGCTTTTACTTTTGCTGGCCAAGGCACTTTCTATGTGGGAATCGGAGCGCAGCTTTACCGCGACTCTCCCTTCTTCCACGCGCAGCTCAAACAGTTTGACAGTCTTGCACGTCGTCAGAACTTCCCGTCATTCCTACCTGCTATCGATGGAACAAGTGCTCGCGAAAACCTGCCAGCCTCCTCCATACATCTCTCTATTATATGTGTTGAAATTGCTCTCGCCCGACTATGCATGACGTTTGGTATTATGCCATGTGCGGTCATTGGACACAGCCTGGGTGAATATGCCGCACTGGCTGTGGCGGGTGTGCTGTCTGACAGTGACACAGTCTTCCTCGTCGGGACACGAGCAACCATTCTTGAGTCCAACTGCTCATCTTACACCCATGGCATGGTCTCCGTTCGCGCTTCGGTGGCCGATATTACGCGTGAAGCAGATGGTTCTCCATTTGAAGTATCTTGTATCAACAGCCCAAATGAGACTGTTATTGGCGGCACAGTTGAGCATCTGGAAGCGTTTTCGGCTCGTCTATCCAAAGCAGGGTATAGGACGACGCGTCTGGATGTGCCACATGCGTATCATACGGCTCAGATGGACAATGTCGTCAATGATCTCATTCGCCAAACCCAAGGGATCGTTTACAACAAGCCCAGCATTCCCATTATATCTCCTCGAGACTCGGCAGTCATTGAGAAAGGCGCTAACATCGATTCATCTTATTTACCCACCTCTCTACGAACGACGGTCGACTTTGCTGGAGCTCTCAATGCGGCGTTGGAAGTTGGCGTGGTGTCGAAATCCACCGTCTGGCTTGAGTTGGGCCATCACCCCGTATGCAGCGGTTTCATCAGCCGTACGCTCGCCGACACTCGTCTAGTGTGCTCCAGCCTACAGCGAGATAGCGACAATTGGATATCTTTAGTGAAGTTGCTGAGCAATCTATACGAGGCAGGGCTCAACATCGACTGGAATGAATACCATCGTCCATTTGAGCAAGCACTTCGACTTGTCCACGTGCCCACCTACGCTTGGAACAACAAAAACTATTGGATCCAGTACCGAGGAGATTGGAATTTGACTAAGGGCCAGGTTTTACCAGAGCCATCACTTCCAGTTGTTAGCGGGTTTCGAACATCCAGTATTCATCGACTTTACTCCGAAGATTACGACTCGTTGACAGTCCAAGTCTTGGGCGAATCCAACATGACCGATCCATCACTCAAAGATGTGATAGAAGGGCATGCCATGAACGGTTATGGTGTTGCTTCGTCGGTAAGTTGATAATAAACTAATAAACTCCTCCTTTGCTCAAACCTTCTAACCTGTGATAGTTTCTTCACGCCGACATGGCCTTTACGCTAGCCCAAAGGATCCAAGAAAAGGCATTCTCATCAATATTCAGTGGAATGGGTATCAATGTGGCCAACTTCGAGTATCACGATCCGGTAGTGAAAGATGCAAACCCTCTTGATCCACATCCCATTCTTGTTAATGCTGAAGCCAACCTCGAGAAGGGCGATGTCAAGATTAAGTGGTTCAACCCAGCCAATGACAAATGGTACTGTCATGCTATAGCTTACTACGAAGACGCTTCTACCTGGTTGTCCGATTGGGCTCGAATAACTAAGCTTGTTACCAGTCGCATTGACGCACTCAATGCTATGTCAATCAAGGGTACGGCAAACAAACTCACCACCGAACTTGCATACACCCTCTTTGGTAAGCTGGTGGATTACTCTAGCATGTATCGCACCATGCAATCGGTCATACTCAACGAAGACGAAGCCGTGGCCGAAGTCCTCTTCCCTGCAGACACCCAAGGAGACTGGGCTGTGCCACCACATTTCATCGATGGTGTCGTATCTCTGTCTGGCTTCATTCTGAATGGTGGCACCCACTTTGACAATACCAACAACTTCTTCATCACGCCTTCATGGAAGTCCATGCGTTTTGCCAAGCCGTTGACCCCTGGTGGTCGATATCTCGCATACGTGAGGATGGTGCCAGAGGGTGCGGATGATAATAGCAAGCTTGGTTCTTACGTCGGTGACGTCTACATTCTACAGGACGGCGAGATTGTGGGCATGGTCGAAGCCATCTTGTTCAGGCAGTGGCCGAGACTGATGCTGAATCGGTTCTTTCGCCCAGCAGGCACATCTCCTTCTGCTCCTCCTACCAAAAAGAAGAGATATGCAGATCCAAACCCACTACCACCTGCAAGTTCTCTACACGAAAAAGCCATGGCGACTGCGGCGGCGGCGAAGATGACTGCTACACGCCCCACATCTGCCATAACTCCTCCATGTTCTGGACAGATCAGTAAGTCTGGTGGTAGTCCAAAGATGATGCCTCAGCTCGATTACAATCTTCTAACGCCAGGAGGTTCGCCACCTCCGGATGGTCAAGTAGAAGAAACTGACAGCGACAGCGGCCACGAAGAAGCTGATGGTGATGATGTTGCATCACGCGCTATGGTCATATTGGCCGAAGAACTCGCTGTGGATATAGGCTTACTGACCGACGAATGTGAAATTACGGATATTGGACTTGACTCGCTCATGTCGCTCGTTATTTCACAGAAGTTGCGAGAGAATCTTGGCATCGAGATTCGTGATGCGTTCTACCTCGAGGTGGCAACGATTGGGGATTTGAAGAAGGTGGTTTCCTAACAGACTGTGTGCTTGTTTTCCTGCCGTGCGTTTTTAGATTTTTGAGGTATCAGTTACGTGGGCTCGACGTGGCTTCCAAAAACACATCTGTACCTAGTATTTATAGAGGTACGAAAAGGTTCATTCATTTACACTTGTTAGTTTAAGATGAGAATAAGAAGTTTGAATTCTCCTTCTATCTAGTGGCTTATGTGAGACGTTTACAGCGATGGGTCGCGATGCATGTCAGACCTTTATGGCTGCCATACGATTTCAATGAGGGAAAGTCGAGAATGCTCAGGATACCTGATATCCGTGACCTTGTAACGCTGGTCTGACTGAGTAATGACTTCTTTCCATTCCTCAACGTCACGTATCTGCATTTAAGATTTCCTAGTGAGAATGGAGAAAAATGTGTTGGTCTCTCTGGGTATGCGTACCTTGGAGTTGAAAAGGATCAACATGCCGAAATCAATGTTTCTGAAACGCTCGCAATCAGCATCGTCCAAAGGAAAGTGCGCAATGAGTCCAGTAGCTTACCTTTGATTTCGCTCGACGCTCAAAGTCATCGTGCCAGCGGGAGGCATGATCTCGTCAAAGATGATGACCTTGGCACCAGGCTTCAGCGATGGGATCAAAGCTCTCAGGATGCGTTGGACATGAGCATCGGGCCAGTTGTGCAAGACCCAGCGAAACATATATCTGGGTTCAACGGTTAGCGCGGGAATGAGAGATCTGATGTATTGGCCTTCACGTACACGTCTGCGTCCTTGACAGGCTGCTCGTTGAAAAAGTCATGAGGCATGAACGACACATTCTTGCCCTCTCGGACTTGGGCAGCTTCGAGCGTCCCGGGCAAGTCCTGGACCACGATCTCGAGTCCTGGGAACACCTCGGCCAGCGCAAAGGCGACGGTGCCCGTAGATCCGCCCAGGTCGACGAGTTTACCGCTCCGCACATCATTCGGCCAGCTGTTGATAAGGTGTTGTGGCGCGTACGCCTTATCTTGTTGGAATGCCCCCATGACGCCTGCAAATCTTCGTGCCTGCTCAGGATGCTTCTGAAGATACATGTACATGCCGGACTCGCCGTCTCCTTTGGCGAGCATGAAACCGGTTTTGGCGGGGTCGTTGGCCGCGGGCTCTTTCTTCAAGGCTTCGGTCAACCCAGCAGCACCGGGAAATAAGACGTCCGTGGACAGGCCGGTCCAGTCTTTGATTAGTGGCTCCCGCGCCATGACCTTGGTCGTCGCCGTATGCGCCACGTGGCCTGGTCGTGGTTCGTAGAACATGTGGTAGGGCATACCCGCACGCAGGACCTGACGGAGAACGGACGCACCGATGTTGACAGTCTTGGAGAGGTCATCGTACGACACGTCGCCTGTGAGAGGTACCCGGTGGGCAATGTCAAAGTCGAAGATGAATTGGGTCACGGCAAACATGGTCATGACTGCCCACCCGGGTACGAGACGCAGTTCGACAGGACCCGTGGCCAGGTCGCCCAGCTCCAGGCTAGCATCGATAATGGCCCGTCGACATTGTTCGATATTGGGTGGATATTTGACGTCAAGCGGTGCATCAGGCCCTAGACTAAGGGGCGGCAATCCTTGTTCCTGGCGGTATGCCTCTATTTTGGTAGTGTTGTCGCTGATTATCTTCACCAAGTGAGCGGATAGACTTGTATTAGAGGCCATAGCAGTACTGTGACATTTGGAAGCCGACAAATGCTGTCCAACTCATGCTGTGGAGAGCCTCCGGACTTGATTTATATGAGACGTCTCTAATGAGAGTAATACATCATGTCATTGACGGAGTTGAGCAACGCATGATTACTAGGGTGTAAGCAACGCATGATTACTAGAATGTAAGCAACGCAAGACTAGGGTACGCAAGATAATGACCTCAGGGTCCTAGAACATGGTTATTTCGACAAACATGTGACAAAATTGGACTTTGGCGCAAGTTCCTATTACTACGCTTGTAATATAGACTAAGATACATACGTGCGAGACTACGAACGGCCCAGGAATGAAGCGTGGGCAAAGAAATCCTCGAGGACCAGTAATTCTGTAGCAATATTGAGAAGCTGGAAAGATATCATATCGAGCGTAGCGATTTTGAGTGACACCAATAGCAAGTGCTCTCGATGCTCGCGCACCACAAACCGCTCATCAAGCTCCTCTACTTCACTTGTCACCTTCCTAGCCTTTATCCAATACATTCCCTTCTTGATCCTCAACGCTGTACATGCGCGGCATTCCAGTGAGACAATGGCCTACGGTGACCTCATCGTCGGCATCTGGAAATGCCGGGCCCGTCGCGATATCGAGGCCGATATCTTGAATCTGCTGTACAGGCGAGGTTGATCAAGCAATCTACGATTGATGCCCGCACACGAAAGGTCTTGGAATTTGTTGACCAAGCCAGCAGAGCGAGAATCAGGAAAAAAATAATTAAATACCAAAAAATCACGATGTTAATTCACTTCCCATTCTAAGTGCAGTTCAAGCAGTTTACTTTCTCAGGCTTACGTCTCTCTCTCTCTCTTTTGCTTTCCCTCTCTCTCTCTCTCCCTCCCTCTCCCTCTTTAATCTATTCTCAACAGAATGGTGGCTAACTATCTGGTCCCTGTACGTATCGGCTAGTAAAGATATATGACACCTAGTGAGATCTGGAAGGGCCGGTCATTCTATCCAGCTGAAACCCTCGAGGGGCTGCCCCGATCTCGGCTGGTCAGCGGCCAATATCCGGGTGGCAATTGGCTGATTTTGCTGGGCCGTCGTGCTGAACTACCATCAACGTCTTCTTCCACTCTGCTTCCTGAGTCTGGTAGACGAAGCCCGAGAAACAAGCGGAGGTCAAGGAGCCCCAGAACATTTTCACGCTTCGCCACATACCATGGGAGGGCAAGAGCGGAAATTCATTCAACTTGCTCCTTGCCTTTTGCTCCTGCGAGCTCATGCCATCTTCAAGCTTGCCTCCACGATACCATACTCCAATCCAGGCGCACGATGAATGCTATCGATTGCCAGGCCGGCCTGATCAAGGACTTCACGAAAATTTCGCTCCGTTCTTTCTTTGCCGCCGATGCACAACATGATCATGTCTGACACTGTGCTGAAGGCAGTGCCGTTGTCATCAGACAGGATATTCTCTGCGATCAACACTTTTGAATCTGTGCCCATCACAGGCACTATTTGCTTCAACAGTTGGACAAGTTCGGCATCGCCCAAGTTATAAGCTACCGCGCGTAAGTGGTACGCCTTCGCATTCGAGATGGGCTGACGAGTAAGGTAGTCGTGCTCGAGAAGCTGCACGCCAGCAGGAAGCAAGCCCGTCGTCCTAGCTAGCTCAAGGGTCTCTGCACGATCTTCCAAGACGCACTGTTCAGGTCGTATCTGAGGGAATGCTTGCAGGACCTCCTTGATAACGTGTCCATTGCCCCCACCCACGTCCACGAAAACGGGTCTTTCACGATCTTCGGAGACCAGTTTAGCATAGTCAAAGAAGCCTGTGTATGGCCGCAAATGCTGGACATTCATTGCCAAAGTGTGTATAGCTTCCGTTCTTGCCGGCATCGTGGAGAGAATCTCAAATGTGGACTTGCCCTCTTGGCCTTCATTCCACGTAAAAGGACTGTGTCTAGCGCTTTTCGCCTCCTCCTTGTCATTCACAGACAGATACTCGGGCAGCCTGATCAAGGCCCGAATTCCTTCGTCGTAACAGGGCGCGAAAAGTGCCCCAATCTGTCCAGCATAGGCCAAGGACGTGTGCGTGTGGCGGTATGTGCCGTTCTCGCGGATAAGAAAACCTGTTCTTGTCACTACTCTCAGTAGACGCTCGAGCAGGGATGCTTGGGTCTCGGTGGCCACCGCAAGGTCTTGGAGAGAGATGGAACCGGTAGTCGGAATAGTCTGAAGGACATCTAACGATAACAGCGTCCTGATAACAGCCGTTTCCATGGTTCTCACAATTAACGACGTGGCATGCTCTGCAGGGGACTGCACAAGACCGACGAGTTCTTCGGATTTCTTCAAACATGGCAGGCTGTCGACCATGAACAGTTCGGAAGAACCCTTGAAGGTTTTGCTCAAGTCGGCAATTTCTGCCGCAAGGGCCTGGATACGACTGAGCCGATCAGCCGTCATGGTGAGTGGTTTAACGAAAGCAGCCGGAATGAGAATCGCAAGGGAGTATTCTCAAAGTGGAGAGTGGATAGGTTTCCAGTAGTGAGGATTACAAACATGGACTCGTAGGCCTTTATGTATTCGTGCTGGTTGCCGACGCGCTTTAGGCTTCTCGGCCCATGTTGTCATTGTTTATGCACCAGCGTGTACATGTAACGTCATGGATGTAGTCAGCTATGTAAGCCGTCTGTGACAACTTGTAATGGTCACATGGTGTCATGGCCACATAGTGCATGTCAGCATGCCCGCTATCCTTAAGTGCAAATATGATACTTTAATAGATACGCATAACTCCTTGACGTATTCAGCGTTCAGTGTACGGAGTATATATAAGACGTGGAGTCTCCCCGTGGCCTTCTCCTCTTTCGCTCGCCAGCGTCATAACTCATCCATTACATCACTATGTCAACTGTTGAGGAATGGGTTCAGCAATTCGAGGCTCTCTGTAGTCGAGTTCCCACCTTGTTTCCTTCTGGAATTGATGATGAGAATGTTCGGCATTAGAGCATTGCGCCTTGCCGAAAAGGCTGTGCATCAGCTCCATACCCCTATGGCTTTTACTGAAGCACAGACATGGGGGCCTCTCGAGCTGTTGGGCGCCGGAGTGGCTTGTGACATGGGTATATTTAATGTCCTCTCCCGGCACTGGGGTCCCTTAGCGCCGCCGATATTGCTAGAGAGCTCAATGCCGGCCCAGCCTTGGTTGCTCGAATCCTGCGTTTGTTGGATGCACATTATATGGTCGACCAAGTCTCCTTAAGTCTATATACAGCAAACGCAGTCACTAGGGACTATGTACAACCCTACCGAAAAGGCAACGTCATGACTCAGTCAATATCTCACGTTCTTCTAGTTCCAATACGGCTGCTAATCGTGTTAAGCTCAGAATTGGCTTAATGCCTCATATTTCGGTCTCCCAGCCTGGCTTCATGCCAGCAATTACAGGGTGCTATCTGACGCGAACCACTGTGCCTGGCAGGTCGGGGCCAAGACCACCGCAACTCTCTTGGGAGAGCATGTCAAAAGACCTAAGTCTAAGTAAATACTTCAGCGACTATATGGTAGTCCCCCGTACTACCTAGGAGGAGGATTTTGTTAGCTTCTACCCCTTCGAGACTGTCTTCACCAACTCCGACGCAGATGATATCATCTTCGTCGGCATGTAAGGCCTCCTCCTGGGTTTTAACCCCAAGAAGGAAAAGAAGGAAAATCCAAACTAACCTTGTCTCACTCAGCGGCGGCCGTCTGGGCCACCAAGCCATGCGCGCCCGCAGCGCCTTCCCGCGTTCTCGGAGTCGCATCATTCTGCAAGACCTTCCCCAGGTCACGAGCAAGATCGCGGGCGCCTCACTGCCAGACGTCGAAATCATGGACCACGACGTGGCGCACCCACAACCGGTCAAAAACGCCCCGCATCTACTACCTTCGTGGTGTCGTGCACAACCATGCCGACCACGTGTCCGTCCAGTTTCTCTCACAATTTGCCGCAGCCACGGGTCCCGAATCGAGATTATTGATTCATGAGACCCTAGCACCAGAGCTCAATCCGACTAAGAATATCACGAGGTTCGACTTAAGTATGTTCGCGTCGTTTGGAGGTGCGCAGAGTTCTAAGGCGGAGCACAAGGCGTTATTGGAGAAGGTCGGGTTGGAGGTATCAGGGACAAGGAGTACGCCGCGAGAGTGGTCGATTATGGAGGCCAGGTTGAAGAGGGAGTAGATAGTCGTGTTTTCACTGACTTTTACTCACAGACCTGTAGAAATGGGGTGTGGCCATAGAGCGATTCAACTATTCGCTTCATAGGATGCGTTTGTTGTCGAGTTAGCCAGGCCCTAGATAACATTCCTACAGGGCCCAACAGCGCTAACCACCCCAGAGACGATGGCTTCTAGATATGGCAGCAGGAGCAGCACCAAAACAGCTCGCTAGTCGATCCTATCAGCTAAAGGTTGGGCACGCAGCAATACTGACCTACCTGAGTCAAATACGGGTCCGTGACTCACCTAGATGTCAGAGCTGCCAGGCTCCACAGGGAACAACAGGCCAACTATTAATTGAATGTAGGCAATGGCGCCACCAGGGACGGGCCTTGTACAGGGCCCTAGTCAGGGCAGGAGTGCCACCGCCCAGACAGAGAGAAATAGCCCCAGAATGCCGTTTCTTTGAGGACCAGAGAGCCATGAGGGCCCTAGTGGCCATTTTTGCAACGACAAATATCGGTTACTTCCCAGGAGAAGCAGCCAATTGAGATAGATAGGGCCCAGAGCTAGTAGAAGAAGCAGAGAGCAAAGAGATTGGATAGTAGAAAGGGCAATCTAGGGACGTCTAGGTAACGCCCAGCAGATAATGAATACTGAGGAGGGTCTAGCCAAAAGACCCCGAGGCAGGTAGGCGGCTTGGGAGGGGAAAAGGAACAGAACGAACACACAAATGATAGAGAAGGCTGATAAACCCCCTACGGACCATCTAGAGGTAGTGGCCAAGGCCACTGTTTAGACGCATGTGTCTGTCATAGCCAATGGCTCGATATGGATGTTAAACTTAATTTAGAGTAATAATTTGAGTTAGCAAGCGCTGATGGCGCTGGGGGTGAATATTCTTAATGGCAAATTTCCCAACACCGTCTCAAGAGAGAATCGGTGAGGTCTGCCGCACCAGATTAAGAGAATATATATGGATGGCCTGGGGCGGCTCAGATGGGTCCGTTTATTAGCAATGCCTTTGGGGAGAGATGGCGTTTGTAGATAAGTGGAGAGAATGAGTCTTTTATGAGCTAAAAATGGCATTCCCTGCATTACTTAGGTATCAACCCGAGCTTCTAAACTTATCGAACGTATCGACAAACGATTGGTAGGAATCAATGTGACAAGTCCATCCGAACCGGCGCACTTTATTCACACTCAGTGTAGCACTCCACGTCCGCTGAAAGAGAAAATCTCCAACCGTCCAGCCGGCAAGGTCGAATGCCACTTTGGCACCCGGCGAACCCTGACGATCGCACAAGTCCTCCCACACCTTCCGCTTGTCCTGACACCACTCGGCCAGACTCCAGTCGAGCTGAAACTCACCCTCTCTGGACACGGCTTTTGGAAATGCTACTGGGAGTCGGCTTTGGCGCCGAGACTTGCGGCGAGACGCGGCCACATGTAGCGCCAGGAAAAATAATCTCAGTTGGCGACGTTGGAGGCCTCATTGGCGCACGACTTCCGGGTCGAAACGAATATGGTCAGGTCGACAATCAAAGTTGCGTATGAGACGTCCTCAATACCCTCCCAGTATCGCTGGTTCGTCGGCATCGGGGCGGCGATACCCAGTGCGAGGGCAGATCAAGAAGTACATGGCAATGGTGAGGGCCTCGTTCAGGCCATAGTGCTGCGAGTTTGCACCGTTGATGGCCTCGGGCCTGATGACATTCCACGACCAGGCCTTTCCACGCTACATCTAGGCCAGTCTGTCTTCTTGGGGAAAATAGAAGTTTTCGAATGGTCCATAGCGGAGTGGGTCGTCTTCCCGCGCCGGAGACGGCACGGGTTCGACCTGGAGGTTGTAGTGCTTTCCGCCAGACTGGAGCGTAACGTTCTCCAACTGGGGGCTGTCTTGTCGAGAGCACGTAGGAAGTTCTCGAACAGGGTCTTGTTGGCGGCGTACGATTCTGCGAAATCGTCCTTGTGAAGGTAGGAACAGAAATAAGCATGGCTGACGGGGCCACAGACCTCCTTCATCTTTTCCACTAGGGAGGGAGTATCGTGTGTGAAGTCGAGAGCGATAAACTTGATACGAGGATCCGTGACAGTAGGGTTGAACGGACCCCCCGACGTGACGATAATGGAGTCCTAGTCGTCTGAAGAGGTTGTGTTGCAGAGATACTCAACAATGGCGCTACCGCCGATGCCATTGGCACCGGTGATGAAGGCCGTTTTTGCCATGTCGTGACTTGCAACTAGTAACCCCATCCAAGTACGTACAAGGTAAAGGGGCTTGTGATCAAGCTGACATGATTTGCAGTGTAAGCTTAGCCTGCAGAAACCTACCCCGCTCTCTCAGAATCTTACAGTCGTGTAAGTAGTGCTAATCACTCAATCGACTAGCGGCACAGTGATATGATGCGGCTTTATTGTGTGACTACGTCTCAGTGCATGCTGCCCTAGTCCCCCCAATGATCATAAGCTATTTTTTAAGGGAGTGTTTTGTTGCCGCGATCTGCATCATGATCTGGCAAACGAGAGATAGTAAGCACACCACACCTTGAGGCTTGGCATAATCTGGCAGATACAGCTTAACCCTCACCAAAATTCGCAGAATTCCTGATCATAATCATGGCTGTAATCCTAGCTAGTATAAAAAGTACCGGTCATGATCAAGATTACGGTCGAGATTATGGTCCAGATTATGGTCCTGATTATGGTCCTGATTATGGTTACAAAACACTCATTCATAGATATTACCTGAACATGCGTCTCATTCAGGTGGAATGTCCATACTGAGGCTGGGCCCTACTGAGCTTCACAAACTCTGACCCAAATCTCAAAGACCCAAAATCATACAAGGACGATGATCACTATTGGTTTTATTCTCGGTGCTGCTTGGTTTGCCGCCTTTGGGTACATCGTGTCTTGGTGTATCTACTGCAAGATATTTCATCCTCTCAGCAAAGTTCCTGGGCCGTTCTGGCCATCCGTCACCCGACTGTGGTTGACCTATGCTGTCTCAAGAGGAGATTTGGATGTGGTGCAACGGGAGTTGCACAAGATATACGGACCACTTGTCCGCATTGCGCCAGATGAGATCGCTTGTGCAGATCCCGAAGCTATTCGCAAGATATACAGCACAACCTCCCCACTCAACAAGTCTGATTTCTATCATATTTGGAATGTAGGATCCTTCTCCAAATACCCCAACGCGTTCGCCATTGTCGACGAAAAGCTGCACTTTGAGCGAAGACGCATCGTGAACAGCGTGTACAGTATGTCTACTGTCTTGACCTTGGAGTCATACATTGACGACTGCAGTCGCTTGTTTGTCGAGCGTATGACCGAGCGTACCGTTCCCGATCAAGCGATTGATCTCGGGGATTGGTTTCTATGGTGGGGCTCCTCTCTTCCTAATCTATAGCGGCTAAATATTAATAAACTGCATTCGCTAGGTACGCCTACGACGTTATTGGAGAGCTCTTTTTTGGTCGCTGCCTCGGCTTCATTGAAAATCGTGGCGACCAGGGCGCCTTTCTCGCCTCTCTGAAGTTAATGCTTCCCGTACTAACAACGGCGGCGGCTTCTTCGCCTCTGGTCCGTGGGCTGATTATGGGTCTATTCATGCTCGGCTCTACCGCTCGCAATGGGTTCAAAGGAATGAATCACATAATCGAAACGGCATGCAGGAGCGTGGACAACAGAGTATCCGCTGTTGCAGCTCCTGGAAAACGGGAGAGAAAGGATCTTTTACATAACCTGTTAACCATTGTCCATTGCAAAGGGGATGAATTGGACTTCGGCATCGAAGACGTCAAGAACGAGGCCTTTGCCGCTCTGTAAGTGATCGCTGCATAAATTACGCACGCACATACAATCCACTGATACATTTAATTTGGTAGGACAGCAGGCGCCGACGCAACTATGATTGAGCTGCAAGCAGTCTTCTATTACCTTGTAAAGGATCGTTCTGTATATGAAGAGCTTCGAAAGGAAGTTGACCAAGCCGTGGAGAACGGGAAACTATCCGACTTTCCCAGTTATTCCGAAGTCGTTCAGCTTCCACTTCTCAAGGCAACGATCAAAGAGGCACTGCGGTTGCATCCTAGCGTGGGATTCACTATGCCTCGGATCGTGGATCAGAGTGGCATTGAGCTATCCGGAATGTACATCCCGCCAGGATGGAAAGTCGGTATGAACGCGGCTGTCGTAGGACGAGATGAGGGCGTATACGGCCCGGATGCCGATACGTTCCGTCCAGAAAGATGGCTCGGACGCACTGATCCCAACATGGAAAGATGCAACAACCTGGTGTTTGGGGCGGGCACTAGGACTTGCATTGGCAAGCACGTGAGTCTATTCAGAGACTAACTACATTACGAGGCAGACAGAGTATGAGCACTAACATGGTCATAGATTGCTCTTAGCGAGATATACAAAATCGTACCACTATTGATTCGCAAATTCGATTTTATTTTGGTGGACCCGAGCAAGAGCTGGACGACCCATGACTACTTTTTCAATAAACAGAGTGGCCTTCAGGTTAAGGTCAAGGTCCGAGGCCTATAAGTCTGTTCGAGACCGCCAGATTGCATGCAGCGTATAGCTGCCGCTTCGCGTCGTCCATTCCTTTAGCCACAACACGGACCAAATAAACAAATGGAACGATTTAAGGCTTGGGGTCAAAAGATGATATGTATTGATTTGTGATAGTGATAACGGTTGCTACGTGATCTATCTGGTGGGCAAGGCTGGCTTGGATAAAATAGGTCCCAAAGAAGATCTATCTAGGTAGACGGTGTAAAATGGCATTATTCTGTCCTATCTCCACTAGATGGCCACTTCCCCAGTTTTTTGCAGTTTTTCCACAGGCCCGCTCTACCGAGCTGGCAGCGACTAACAGGCCAATGTCATCCGCAAAAGATAATGTACCAATATCAGGCACTGCCTCTTCGATAGCGTGGAAAACCCGAGCTGGGGTTCTTAACGTGGAGATACGAATATGGTAGAGTTGGTATAGGTGCTCATGTGTGGGAGTGGTGGTCCTAAGGCCGAAATCTTCCATACAGATATTCCATGGTATTGAGGTCAGGTTATGTGGTTACTGTCTTAGATCTCTATAGGCTCTGGCCGGATATAGTCACTCTATGTTGACCTTGGCCCCAGATTCTAGTAGCAGCTCCACAGCCACCTCACTTCCCGCGCCAACCGCGACTGATAGCGGTGTTTCTCCGTCCTTGTTCCGTCTGTTGAGCAACGAAGTGTCCCCGCCGCAACAGCTCAGAAGCCGTTTCAGTATCCTGTGACGATTATGTAGCACAGCCCAGTGAAGGGCCGACCGATGATCATTATCAACATGTCCTATACCGGCCCCATGTGATAGCAATAGTTCAAATACCTCTTCATGGCCTCCGATTATTGCACACGATAGGGGTGTCAGACCAGCGTTGTCCTTCGAGTTGCAATCTGCGTTATGCTCGAGTAAAAGGCGTACAACCTTGCTGTTGCCAGTCTGCACTGCTCGATGAAGCATGGTCAGTCCTCCTTGTGCTCTGCCACCTTCGTTGTTATCGACAGAATCACCGAGGCTCCTTGTTGTATGGTGTCCTCGGCTGTCTTCCAGCTCCGAAGGGAGGACAAGGGTAGTAGCAGCAAGGGGAGCCGTCTCTTTCAGTGTCGATGTCCAGAAGTCATCCGCGCCTTTGTCCACCCCGTAGCCGTCGTTCGGATCCAAAAAGAAATCACAATCAATAACATTATCTCCTCGGCTCTCCTCGTAACGGCCTATCGAGGACTGCCTGCGACTCGTACACATTGTACTGGATGGTGTCAACGCGCTCGAAGCTATTGGATTACTGTCGTCTAGGGCATCTGAGGCGCTGTTTTGCGGATGCGACTGATCTTGCTCTGAGGTGGCTTTTCGTTGACGATGTTTCTCTGTAAAGCCCACGAGAGAACAGAAAGTCAATATTAGCAACGCTTTATGGTGGATCGCTCGACTAACGTCTGAATCGCTGCTGTGCCCGACGATTCTGCTCACGACGGCGATCTGCCGCCGCCGCCTTTGCTCCAGCGGAGCTGGAGTCTTGTGTCAACGTTGGAAAGCCACAGGAGGTGCATAGCATTCTGAAAGCAACAAGTTACGCCCAGCGCTGCTGCGTAATCACACGAATATACGGCCGATTGTGCTTGCAAGAATTTATACGTGTTAGTGTTTGTTTTGTAGCCCCCAACCGTTGCCTCGTATGTTGATATAAAGCGACGCCACCGCAGATATAGTCGATGAGAAATCATTAGGCAAACAAAGTTATTAAACACGAGTTATAGCGCGGATGAGGGCCTCACTAGTTGCAAGCTGCATCGGAGCCGTCACCCTACAGCACACCACGAACGCTCGAAGACATTGATTGGTCGGCAAAGCTTTCTGCCTTGTATTAGTGCTGACGACTTACAAACCCCATAGGCCCTAAGAAACCATTGGTGCTGGTGCATGTAAAACTGATAAGCAACCCGCGTAGATCATTAAGATATTTGCACAAATGCCCGGGGACACAGAGGGATCAGGAAAATAGAATGGAATGGGGACCTTTTTGTTCTGGAAGAGCCATCCTGTTAGAGAACTATACAAGGTATTTGCACAAACATATCTAAGCTAGCGCTATAGATGGACGCTTATCGAACTACATGCATCACTTTACCTCGTATTTTGTGCCAGGATGTCATTCAAAAGGACCACTTACCCCGCAACATAGGTAGTTTTTTATACGTCATCGTGTCCGAACAAAGATCGGCTGTTACATCGCGAGTACTACAACCTTGATCACGACTGAAATCCTGGAGAAGCCGCTCGGCCAACTAGATACCAAGGAAAGAGAAGGTTCGAGGGAGGCAGGGTCGGGGCTGACTGGATAATTCGCATGACGGTTGATATCAGCCCCTGAGAGAGTGACAATTTCTAGCGCCAGCTGGGGACTGGCGATCGGTTGGTCCAGCCTGGACGGAGACGAGGGGACACTATCATCATCGGAATCTGGCTCTGGTTCTGCAGCTGAGGCACCCCCATCATCATGTTCTCTTGGGACCGGACTTGCGTGATCTGCAGATTGATCAGTCAATGATTTGGCCTCTTCCTCTAGCAAATAAGCCGGTGCATCCTGGAACGTAGTTAGATCACCGACTTCAGCCCCTTCTGTCAGGCAAAAAGCCAAGCGAAGTTCCATTGTCTGTCGCTATAGCATCAGTAGTAGATCGACAGTCAAAGCAACTTGCTGTAGTGACTTCTGCTCCAAACAGCAACTGTTCCCGTTTCCGGAAGAACTAGCACCTTTCCCCGGAACTTTAAAATTACAAAATCTGTCTTATATCATGCTCTGCCATCGGCCCAATACCAATCCAAGTGTTGGCAGGGACTGGCATGGGGAAACTTGGTCAATCGTTGCGAATCGTTGCGACAACAATTCTGCTTCGTGGAGAAGCGGGCCCCCATATCTTCCTACCCCTCAGACCCCATTAGCACGCCGGGTTCAGGCCTGTAGATCATGCGAGGTGCTGATGCCCATGCCATCTTAGGCAAGTGACCACCTCCGCTGAAGGGCTCGCCCAGAAGGTTTCTCATCGGACCGTCATGGGCAGATGCGTAAGCATCAGCGAATAACTATTAGTGTTCTTCTTGCGCACACAAGCGCAAGCGCGCAGTAAGGTTATATAGCCAATAATCTTCTTGCTCCAACTAGCCTTACTACGAATCAGCTGGACACTATCCGCTGTCATCCCCGTACGTTACAATTGAAAATGAGAAGGATCCATTGAAATAGTGGATGAAAAAGGAGGTCTGTAACTGCCCAAACCCACGCACTTTGAACGCTATGTGTATCATGAACCGCTTGCATAGTGGCATTTTCGTAAAATGTCATCGGCGGGCCATAACCGTGCGGCAATAGAGGCACCTAGGCAGGATTGGTTTCTCACTCGAAATCCCAGTGAATTATAAGCCCCCTAATTCGCTGCCCTTGATCTCGTTAACGTATATTAATCTACTTACTGCTTATCCGTCTGTAGTCCTGAATCTTTCCAGAGTAACTTCCATTGTGTAACGTAGCACGTAAGATTTAAGTCTCCTGTTCCCTAAATGTATAAGCTGGCGTGATTTATCGTCCAGTCCTAAATTTTTCCAGACTAACCTGTATTGTGTAACGTAGTATGCAAGTTTTAAGACTCCAGTGCCCTAAACACATAGGTTCGCATAGCCTATTATCCCGTCCTAAATCTTTCCGAACTAACTTCCAATATGTAACGTAGTTTGTAAGATTTAAGTCTCCTGTGCCCTAAACACACAGGCTGATGTAGCTTATTGTTCAGTCCTCCATATCTTTACAGACGAACTTCTATTACGTAACTAGCACGTACGTTTTATGACCTCTATTTACTTTACTCAAACATATTTTTCTCTATAACCTCCCTTTTCCAGTAAAATCACCTATTATAGGTATCACTAGTAGAAAAGTTTCTTTACCCTCATAGGGCAGTATCCAGATCGGCAGGCCGCCACTCCCGCAATTTCAGGCTTTAAGCAATGTACCCCCACCTGGTGACTGGTAATCTTCCCCTGAAAGGTGACGCCCTAGATGTCACCTCGGAGCCCCACTGTCAGGTAATCTTACATACAGTCTAACCCCTCGCGCTCGTATGCAGCCAAGACATTGCGGCTGAAGAAATAATATGTTATTATTAGCAATTCCACGCTAATGACTGTTACTATCAAACGGAGCCTCTCTAGGGAGTGAGGCACCGATAGCACTGTGACAAAGTATGACCATCAGAAAACAGCCCTACTAAACCGCCTACCTAAAGAGGCTTAGCTTGATGCCTAGGGGCCTGAACGGTAACCCCAGCTAACCACCTTGTTTTTGGGGCTTAACCGCTGCGGATATATATATTTCCTTAACCTCACCTCCCCTCCCCGTTTGCCAGTTTTGGAAAGCGACAATTATATATGCAGTACATATCATGTATAGATGATAAGGGGAACTATGCTACCCTATGTCGGCGGTGTCTCGTACTCCGCCCGCAAAGACCCATAGACCGTGGTGACATCCTATGTGAGAGCAAAGTAGGGTCCTTTATTTACGTCGATCATCAAGCGCTGTTCCTTCGTCACCTAAAATCAGATAGTGTTAGGGTTCACTGCTGAAGTTCTATCAATCAATATAATTTACAAAAGCGGCGGTTTTCTTTATAAGGCATATTATGCTGCCTGTAGCCTTAAGGACTGCGGATATTGTGGTCATTGTGACTAGTGACTGATGCTTCATGTAATGGATTTTAAGAGCTCCTTAAAGTATTCACCCCGCGTATTTCATCTGACTCTTGTTTCTCAAAGGCTGAAACCATCCGACGGAAAAGTCCATCTCTCGCAAGAAGGCGCCGTGGTGTATCGAACTCAACCAGGAATCCAGCGTCGAGGACAGCAATTCTATCAAAATCGGTGATTGTGTCCAGCTATTTAAGTTAGCTCCCAAAGGGACCAATGGCTAATAATAAAATAAAATAGTGTATGGATGTAGTTACTGAGCAAGAAAATAAAAGAATAGGGAAAGGGGAACTTACCCTGTGAGCGACACTAACAACAGTGCAGCCTTTGAAAGCATCTCTCAAAACCTGTTGGATGCGATGATCCGTCTCGCTATCAACGTTGCTGGTGGCCTCATCCAAGATCACCACCTGGTATCTACCTTGGCGGGTTCGTTTCTTGAGAATAGCCCGTGCTAAACAGAATAACTGCTGCTCTCCTTGAGACAATGGATGATCCTCGAGGATTGTGCCCAGGCCTCCTCGGCTTTCAATGGCCTCCCAGATGCCGACTTGTTTTAATACAGATATGATTTCTTCGTCGTTAGAGGCCCCCATGATGTCTGCGTTGTACCGCACAGAGCCTAGAAGTATGAATGGATCTTGTGGAACAGCTATTAGCGCCTCTCGGATTGCTGCTGGGGAGATGCTCTTGATATCTACCCCATCAATTGTGATCATGCCATGAGATGGGTTCACAAGGCGAAGTAAAGCGAGTATAAAAGAGCTTTTCCCACTAGAGCATGGATGCAGCGTTAGAAGAATAATAGAATTAATGTTGGGAAGACGTACCTGCCTGAACGGCCACAAATACCAATTCTCTCCCCCGGTGCAATGCACATCGAAATATTATTCAAGGCCGAAGTCCCATCGGGGTAGGAAAGAGAGAGATCCTGGAAGTGTATTTCTCCCTGCTCGGGCCAGGACACCAGCGGTTCTGAGCTTCCTCCAGGCTGAAATTCAGAAGGCGTGGTCTCTACGAAGGATTTAACGCGGGCGATTGCTCCGAGGGAGGTTTCAAATGTGGTCCATGACGTGATGAAGGATGACAGTAGTTGATTAAGTCCCAGAATGTTGTTTAAGGCAACGCCGAGAAGGCCTGCATTGGTGCTTTTGTGTAACTCCATGGCCAGTGCCACCACAATGATTGCCAATGCCATTACCATAATATCCAGCACTAGATTTAACCACCTCTGCGCGCATAACAGCATGTAATATGGCTTCTGGGACTGATCGAGATGCTGAATTAGAACCTCAGTGGATGCTGTTTGCCAACAAAATGCCCGAATTGTGGGCAGTCCGTCAAGAACCTCAACAAAATGGGAGTACAAGGGACTTCGGCACTCCAGGTCGAGATATCGTAACTGTCGACTGGTCTTTAGATATACTTTCTGCAAGAAATACAGGACCACCAGTGTCACCGGTATCGTGATGGCCATATATGCTGAGCCTGTTGCAATCAAGCCCACGGTGGCGATGCATCCGAAAAACGACTGCCCTAACGACATTAGAGATATAGGCAACGCCAGATCCACCAAGGCCATATCCTGACTAAAACGGTTGAGTGTTACACCACTATCAGTCGTGGAAAAGAAGGACAGTGGTGCTCTAATAACGGTGTTCAGCAGGCTCCAGTGCAAGCGGATGGCCGACTTCGGCATTAGTTCAAGGAAGATAACCCAAATGCATCCCACGACTAACACCGATGCAGCCAGTGCTAGAATAATATAGACGGAGAGATATAGCGGAAGTTGGCCGCCGCCTGCCTCGGTCCACT